CACTACTGCCCTTATCCTCACCACCCAAACTCATCTACAAAACAACATGATGGCTGTACTGAAGCTTTGGGATGTAATGTCAGAAATCCCCGAGACATGATGATTACCAATACAGTTACCAATACTGTTCCCCCCCAAAACAAGGATAGTCTTGTAGAAAGTATATTTATAATGACAGCAAAATTAAATCTGGGCAAGATATTTTGCAGGTCACTGGTTCAACCTCCTGCTCCCTCCACAGCTATCTTCAAAAACAAACTAGGTTGCTCAAAGTCTTTTCCTGTCTAGTTTTGTTTCCAAGGATGGAAAATCCACAGCCACTCAGGTAAAGTGTTCTGCCGCTTGACCACTCTCACTTTGAACTTTTGTTTTCTTACACACAATTGGAATATCTCTGGGTGCAGCTTTTCACTTTTATCTCTTATCTTGTTGGTGACCATCTCAGAGAAAAGCCTTGTGCCATTTTCCCTATAATTCTCTCTGAGAAGGTGCACATTGTAATTAGATCCTGCTGTGGCCAAACCCACTTCCTCACACAGCATGTGCTCCAGTCCCTACTACCTCAGCAGCCTCTGCTGAACTGGCTGTTCCCAAACTGGACAGTGCATATCCGGTGTGGCTTCACCAGTGCTGCACACAGAGCTCATACCTGCTGGGCATATGGATAACGCAGCCCTGCAGGTGTTGAAATCCCATGAAGAACTTCTTTTGTCCACCAGGACGGCCAGCCCCTTTTCTGCTGGGCTACTTCCAAGCCAGCTGGTTCTCAGCCTGTAGCGTCCCATGAGGATAGTCTGTCCCACATTCAGGACTTTGCCCTTGTCTCTGTTGACCAACACAAGGCTCTCATTGGCCTGCTCCTGCAGCTTGGCAAGCCTGCTCTGTCTGGTGGCCTCCTGGGTATCAACTGATCTCCCCAGCTTGGCAAGAGGACCAGCTGAAAATTTGCTGAGAGGGCACTTTGTACCACCCCCTGCGTGATGACCTTGTCAAAAAAGACTTGCTCCAGTATTGATCCCTGACCCCTCCTAACAGGGCATCAACCAAGACTTCAAGGAGACACAACCCCCAAGCCTGGGGGTATAGCCAGTTTTTCACACACACGGTCTGCCTACCCCAGCCACATATCCCCCGTTACAAGGTTATTGAGGAAGCCCACCAAAAGCCCTCATAAAGACAAGATAGAATGGCATCCTCTGCTTACCCCATGCTCACTAAGCTCAAAGTCAGTGACACTGGGTCAGACACAGCTGAACTTAAATGTGTAACATCAACCTTTGTTCAGTCACCTGCAGTCTTTTAAATGCCATGAACTTTCAAATCCAATCAATCATAGGGTGTGAGCACAAAATAAAACTAGCCAGCTCCCTCAACACTCAAACGAGTGTCATGTGGTCCAGTGGACTTGTATATGGCCAGTTTGACAGAATGGAACTTTCTGTGGCTAGTTTCCCTCCTCTCCCCAAACCCAGCTACCAGCCACAGAAGCTGGAGAGATGTGGAAGGGTTTTTTTCCAGCAAAGTCCAGATGAAAGAGGTCTCTGCTTTTCCCTTGGCCTTTATGGCCAGTTTAATCACCCAGCTCTGCAGCAGTCCCACATTTTCCCTTGTCTTCCTTTTACTGCCAGTTCACCCATAGAAGCTCTTTATATTGCCCTTCATGTCCTTCAGTCGTAACTCCAGCCAGGTTTTGGCTTTCCATATTCCACTCCTCTACTAAAATACTGACCCCATCCTCCCCTGCATGAAGTGATGAAATCTCAGACCAGCATAATTTGCTTACTATTTGCTGAATAATTTCTAGAAATGCTGTTTAAGGCAGGTTCTTATCTTTCATCCTTATCTTGTTTTTTGGAAGTAGCAAGCATATCCAGGTGCCTGTTCAGGCATTTATTTAGCTGGTACTGTGGAAAATGTGATTGTTCTAAATTATTCTTTCTTCCTTTGTTCTTTGTTGTTAGTTGGTTTGTTTCCAGTAACCTCAAACTTGGTACAGAAGGGAAAGTATACACACCTGATAGAGAATCAAACAATTAATTACCTTCAGCATGCAGTTTTGAATGCTAATCCATCTCTCGAGTGTTTTCTCTAATATTTTGCAGTATTACAGCTCTGCTGAAGCAGCCTCACATGGTTATTATCAAATAACCCAGGCCCTTAATGAGAGTTCCTTCCTATTATTCAGACCTGGACTATGTGCTCCAGCCTCCTCTAAAACAAAATGGTGGGGGGGAAAAAAAGCAAAAAAAAAAGACCTAAATTAGCCAAAGTTTATTAGTTCTAGCCAGCTCATAAACAATAAATTCAAGGGTTGTTTTTTGCTTTTTTTGACTTTCCAGACCTAGAAACTGGAAGTGTTTCTTGCTTTTCAGGTATTTGTATTTAGTCTAGAATGTCCCAAGACAGATTTCTCACACTTAAGAGATACCACTGGTTCAAAATATTCTACATTGGTAATTTCATTGGTTGTTTTGACAGGGAGCGATTGGTCTATTCAGTTTTCTGAACTATCATAATAAATAAGAAGTATTTCTGCAACATTTTTTCTGTTAAAAATGCGGATCTATACAATAAGAAGTTGTTAGAATTACAATATTCTGAATTACATATTCTGCACAGTTACGTATTACACCTCTGCTTCAGTAACATGGATGGTACTACAACTGTACTTAAGGTTGCCAAAAATTCTCTTCAAAATTCCTCTTCTGGGTGTTTATAAGTTTGTCATTTTTTATAGCTGAATTGTTGCATTAATTCTCTACTTTTGGGAAACTTTAAAGATGCCTGAATATGATGAACTCATACTTTTGTTATTATAATAGAGTCATAAGTGAGATGTGTTTTGTATTTACCAGTTGATTCTCTAATTGCTCAAAAAGCTGCACACTTATTTGGATTATTAAATTTGCCCTCTCTCATCTGGCTGCAGAATAGAATCAGATCCAAATCAGGGCTTAGCTGATGAAAAACTGGCAAAGCATGGTGCCATTACCCCTTTCACAATTCTCTTTTTCTTGTGACTGTGCCAATCTCAGACCTGTCTTTCAAGATCCCCTCTGGTGACTAAAGAAAGCCCAGAAGTAAAAACAACCTCTATGACTTGGACAGCCATAGGTGACAAAGGAAGACAGGAGCAGACAGTGGGAAGGGGTTTTTACTGTCCCCTTCCCCTGGACAGGGCAGGAAAGAATGATGAGCAATTTTACCTTCCTGAAAACCTAGTCTTGATCTTTAAAGTTCACTTTCAGGTGCCTTCACAGGGTCTGTGCTTCTCTCTGTGAGTGTTCCTGTCATCTTTACACAAGTCTTTGAATTATGGATCCAGTGATGGCATCTGGGGAAGACCAAGAAAGAACTCAAGAATGCTGAAAACACAGAACAATGGAAATGAGAGTATATACACCAGTGAAGTGGCTAGAACACAAGCCTTCTGTTCTCCAGCAATGGCTGGTGAGCTAAAAAGACAAAATCAGCATTCCCCGTCTAGGAGACCAATGTTGGATTTAACCCCACAGCCACACCTGGGCAGAGGTCAGGGACAAAGCTCTTTCCAACCTCTCTCTCTGGAGTAAGAGTGCTTTGGCTGTTATCAGCCAAATATCTTCTGCAGTCTCTAAACAGGGCCCAGGTATCTACCTCAGCTGGCCAGGCCTCCATGATGTCTCATCTCCTTCTCTGGTTTCACTCCTTTCATGCATTTGTCCCTCCATGGAGTTCTCCACTGTGGGCCTGTGGTTTCCGGCAGCTGGACTTTTTCAAAGTTCCACTCAAAACGAAACACTGTTCAAACTTACTAGTTTAACCTAAGCCACTACTCCTAAAACCTCAGCTTCTGAAGGGGAAGATAATTAGATATTAACCTCAGCTTTCAATAAGGAAAAAAAAAGTTTTGTCATTTCCCTTTGGTTTTGGAAAAAAGTTCAAGCATACCAAAGATAAAAATTCTAGGCTCTAAACCAAATAACATAAAACATATTATTTCAAGATGCTATTTTTAAAGACCAAGATTTCACTCATCTCATGACTTTTGACCAGAGGCTTGGCTCAGGATGTGAGTTTGCCTTCCACCACACAGGAGGGTTTGCGGGGAGAAACCACATGGCAGAGACTTGGACCCTTAAAATTCCCACTGTCGTTCGACATCGTGTCCTGACAGATGTGTCCCAACTCTCAACATTCCTGTAAGATGTACAGCAAGACTGCCATTTCCCCCTTTTCCGTACTAACACATGCAGTGACTACGAGACTGTCAGCAGGTCTGAAACCTTCCAGTAACCAACCTGTGTAACACCAGGATGCGACTTCATTAGACATTTTCCTTTTTTAAAACCTCCCAAACACATAATCATAGAATCAGGGTTGGAAGGGACCTTAAAGACCATCCCGTTCCAAACACCACTGCCGTGGGCAGGGACACCTTCCACTAGACCAGGCTGCTCAAAGGCCCATCTAACCTGGCTTTGAACACCACCAGGGCTGGGGCATCCAAACCTCCCTGGGCAACTTGTTCCAGTGTCTCGTCACTCTCACAAAGAAAAATTTCTTCCACGCACCCAACCTAATTTCCCTCTCTTTCAGTTTTCACCCATTTCTCCCTGTCCAAATTCCATCGGGAAATTCCCTGGGGCCGGAAATTACCCGGTCACCTCCACGGTGTCAGAGAGACGGCCGGTCCCACCGGGACCCGTCGGGGCAGCGGGCACCCACCGCACCTCATGCGCGACCACCCTCGCCTCTCTCCCACCCCGGCGCTGCCAGGCGCGGGCACACACCAGGCACATGCCCGGGACCCCCGGGAGCCCCTCGGGCACGACGCCCACGGCCCCCGCAGGCGCCGCGGGACCCCGCGCGGGCGGGCGGCGAGCCGGGCGGTGCCGTTGGGGCGTCCCCGTCCCCCCCGGGGGCCGCCCCGCCGCCGCCCCCCGGCAGCCGTGGGGCCGTGCCCACCGCGGCCCCGGGCGGCGGAAGTGTGTGTAGGGGGCAGTGCAGGAATTTCCTGTGACGTCCCGGCCCGGACTCCATTAGGTGCAGCTGGTCTGAGAGGAGACAAACCCGGCGGGCAGTGAGCGGAGCGGGCCGGGCGCCTGGGGCTGCCGGGCGGGGGCTCAGGGCAGCGGCGGCCGCCATCGCCAGAGGGAGCCCCGAGCGGGCGGCGGCGCTGCCTCCGGGACCCCCGGCGGGCGCAGGGCCCCGCTCCGCCTCCCCTCGCCCCCGCCGCCTCCCCCTCCTCGCCCCCCCGGCTTCCCACCACGGCCGCTCTCGGCGAGGAAACTCTGGCCTCCGCTTCCTCCTCCTCCGACTCGGACACCGGCGGAGCCTCCCCGCCCCCGCGGAAGAAAGCCCGGGCCTCCCCGGCGGCGGCGGTGGAGGGAGCAGGAGAGCCCGGGGCTTCCGCGGGCAGAGCAGGCCTCACCTCGTCCCAGTCCCCCTCGGTGCCCGCCGGGCTCGCCCCCGCCGCCGCCCCGCTCAGAGGCAGCAGCAGCAGCGGCGGCATCGCCAGCAGTGCCATGCAGGCCAACGGGGCGGGAGGGGGCCAGCAGCAGCAGCAGCCGCCGCCGCAGGGCCCGGAGCTGGGCTGCCTGGGCGCCCAGAACGGCGAGGCCTCGGCGGGCACGGCCGCCGGTGACCAGCTGGCCCACGCCAACGGGCTGCTGCCCTCGGCCAACAGCGGTGGCCCCGGCGGCGGCAGCCCCGGCGGGCTCGGCGTCAACAACGGGGTGCCCGCCGCCGGGGGGCCCGGCCCCGCCGCCGCCGAGCTGGGGGGCGGCGGCGGTGGCAGCGCCCTGAAGAAGAAGAAGCGGCTCTCGCAGTCCGACGAGGACGTGATCCGGCTGATCGGGCAGCACCTCCACGGGCTGGGGCTCAAGTAAGTGGCCGCGGTGGGCGAGGGGCAGCGCGGCCGGGGCGGGGAGCAGGTTCCTTCCTTCCTTCGTTTGCTGCGGCGCCCTGACCCGAAGGGTCCCCCCGGGGCCGGGGCAGTCCCGCACACACGCCCCGCCGTCCTCCGCTCCGTCCGCGGGGAGGGTCCGGCGCGGGGTCCCCGTGGAGGATGGGCAGCCCGAAGCGGGGAGGAGGGGAGAGGAAAGGGACCCCCGGCGGGGGGGTTGGTGGCCAAAACTGCCCCGTCGCAGCCCAGTGGCCTCCAGCGAGGGGACAGCAGCGCCCGGCTGCGAAGCAGAGCGGTGGGGCAGGCCCACTCCTGGAAAATGGAGCCGCAGCTGTGTTTTCCGAGTCTGTGCCGGTGTCTAGCGAAGGGACAGGACAGGAGCTTCCCCTGCCAGGGATGGCAATATGGAAGTCGAGTTGCACACCGATAAGGGTAGATCAATACAAATGTGTTAGTGGGGGAGAAGTTATCTGGTAAACATAATGGAGCCCGCAGCTGGGCGTGGGGGGGGCGGCTTTTCGCAGATGAGCTCCAAGATTTGGCTTTTCAGCTCGGAGGAAGCGACACAAAGTAAACTGCCACTTAAGCAGGCTGTTTGGTTTCACTCTGGAAACCTTTGGCCCTCTAAATGGTGAAGGCCTCTCTAGATTTGTGCTGGACACGTGTTTTTGCTAATAATCTTACTTGCAAACAAGAAATGAGAATGTTGGCCCTTTCTTAAAATCAGAATAGAAAAAATAATTTCCCAGTGGAATAGGGGAAGTCCTAAGTATTTAATCACAACACTTGGGAGTAAAGCTGAAGCTAGCCGGTATGTCATCATTTTGGAAGGAGGGTAGAGAAGTCCTGCAAAGTGCTTATGTAGCCACAAAAGAAGTCTTCAAAACACTGCAGAATGGGTCAGCTATAAAGCACATATTCCATAAAATAAATTGCCTCTGACACAAGAGGCAAGTTTACAGCAGCAGACAACTCGTGACTATTCATAGATGACACCACAGTAAATAAGCTATTTTTAGTATAAAAGGGGGAGGGCTACAGGTTCCTGAGTTTGTTTATTTTTTTTTAAGGAGCCAGTCTTTTAAGAAGTGATGAAGAAGAAAAAATTAGGCCTGTGCCAGATGTTGTAGTTCTCCTTGTTCTTTTAGGGGGGAGGGAGCAGGGGATGGCAGCCAGTAGTTAACAGCTTTCTAGACTGTATCTTCCTTCATGAAGTTTATCTTCTGTGCAGGGCTGGGTCTTTGTGGTGGCTGGTAAGTCACATACTTTATGGTACTTCAGCAAAGCTTTCAAGCTCCTTGACAACTTGCTTTAGCTAGAGGTAGCTTTTCACATGTCTCAGGTAACTGAGATCATCTTCTTGAACAAGCATCTGAATCTGGTCATCATATTCTTGTTTTATTAAAGTTACTTTGAAGTATGGTAAACTGTTATCATAGCAGGCGGTGTATTTGTGAGGGTGAAACTGGTCGGGTTTTTTTACACTGTATCTCTCCTGCAGCCAGACTGTTGATCTCCTCATGCAAGAGTCAGGATGTCGTTTAGAACATCCTTCAGCTACCAAATTCCGCAATCATGTCATGGAAGGAGAATGGGATAAGGTAACGTAGGGCTTATAGGACTGTATTAACCACTGTTGAAATTTATAGTATCTATGAGAGAATTCAAAATTCATCCTCCTTATATACTTTTTTTTTTCTTATGCCGATTTCTGCAGGCTGAGAACGACCTGAATGAACTTAAGGCCTTAGTGCATTCTCCGCATGCAATTGTGGTAAGAGGCACACTTGAACTCTTTCAGAGCTGTGTAGTTGGACTAATTGTAGTGGTGTAATCTTTCACTATGGAGTTGGTTGTCCATAGTTCTTGTTTTCTCTTTTTTGTTTACTTTAAGCTGCTTGCATGCTATCTCAAATGTTACACTAATCTGAACTTCTTTTATTCTGTTGTAGAATGTGAGATAGGCAGCCCAGAAGTATTGAGGCTAGGATTTGGTGTACTCAGTGTTAAAACTCCATTAAACATACCTAACTGATAAAATATAAATCCTGTCACAGTCCTAAAATAGGTCAGTTTCTGTAGAAACTGCCTATGTTGAATACTAATTTCAACCTTGAAATACTTCTCACAATCTCTGTGTTTATAGGAGTTAGGCTTTCTTGAGGGAAGAGAAGTTTAGCAATAAAATGGGCTAATACTAATGTGGAGTTGGTATTGTAATAGCACATTACAAGAATATAGAGGCTGCTATAGACCATGAACAATACTGTTGCTTTTCCAGATGGCTTTTAAAGAGAAAATGCATTTGTATTGCTGTTTGGGATTTTATTTAGAGCTTTTTCTCTTTGGGTGGCTTTTTTTTTAAAAAAAAAAAAAAAAAAAAAGAAGATAAACCTAGAAATAGAAGGTTAGTGGGTCCTGTGACTTGACAACTACAATATGTGTTATGATTTCAGTTGCTTTGAGTAAAGTGTTTCTTGTTTTGATTTTTGGATCTCAAGATGAAAATCATCACTTGGCTCTTCAAAGAGCTTGTTCTGTTGTGTTTAAACGTTTATTTTAGTGAGATGAAGTTAGAAAAGCTATGGTCACTTAGGAGGCAAACAGTAGCAAGGCTTTTTGAAGTGTCTGTGACTGTAAACAATGAGGAATCAGCTGATGGCTGCTTAGTTCCACTTCTAGCTGATTCATTTGTTGTCAAGACAATTTCCTGTCTGGTGGGGGAGGGAAAGAAAGAGAGAACAGGAAATGAAGTAGGAGACACAGATGTTTAACAAAACATCAGAGGGTACTTGACAGAAGTTTACATTTGGTTCTGTTAATTTGGTCAAAGCTTAGCACCTCTTAATTAGACCATTAGTTCACTTTCTCTTTTGTCTAAGACCTGAAGGAGTTGAGAATATTGTATGCAGCTTTCGATAGTTTGTGCAGCCTGAAAGCATGGATCTGCTATATGGGAATATGAATGGTCATTTGAAACAAATTTTCTCATGTTTCTGACTTCTGAAGTAACGAAGTTTGTCTGTAGTATTAAAGTGTTTTGCATGTCAGTGAGTCAAGAGGTTTAATTGAGTTATCAACATGGTACTTTTTGGAGAACTCAAATCAAGAGAAAAAGATGTTTTCCTTCTGTTCTTCTGAAGATCATTCTCTAATACTGATGTCTTAACTGGTTCCATAAAGCTTGGTGCAGTAAAGCTTGGTTTAGACTTCACCTGAACCATATGAATTATTTTCTTTTTGAAGTTGATCTCCTTTATATAAACTTGATATAATTTAAAACAGGTAACAATTTTGAAGGTCTTATATGTGTAAGACAACATTATTTGCAAGGATAAATTGAGCTTGTGTGTGTTCTATTGCATGCACAGAGTCTCCTCCTCATCCCCTGTCTAGCTTTTGTGCACATGGTTGAGGTTCTGGGTGGGTATTAGTGCTTTCAGCAGTTGGGAAGGTAGAGAGATCATTACAGGTGAGGAGGGATGCTTTATCCTCTGTCGGTATTCCCCACTGCAGCAGAGTCAGAGCTAATGAAGGTGATAAATGTCTTGATGAGGAAGAGTCTAAACAAGGTGCTGCTGCAGGTAACTCTTTAAAAATAGAAAATTGGATTTTGAGTTGCCTGACTTGTGACTCACACTGTGACTAGATGTTTTAAAAATGTGTGCATACAAGAAGAATGGGTACCTAAAAATTTAGATGACATAGACTATTTAACTAAGTAGGGTGTGTGTTTTGTGGTTTGTTTTTAGTTTGTGGTTTGGGTGGGTTTGTTGTTTTGGTTTTGGTTTTTTTTTCCCCTTACAGTTAGTATGACCTGGACAAAATAACCAGGATACATAGTTGCTTTTGAAATGTCTGGTCAGTGATGGGAGATGTATATGTATTTTAAAAATCCTACTCATGTTTAATTTCCTGATTTCTGCAAAGTGCTTTAAGTTCTGCAGGTGAAAACACTAAATATGAAATGGCTGATGTGAATTTTTAAGGCTTTGATGCAGTGTTGATATGGGGGGAGGAGGGTGTGGCAGCACACAGGACAGTTTGCTATTTCTATTTGTGTCAACACAACTGAGTGCTGTACAGTATGTGATTAGTCATGTTTACTTTTCCAACATATAAGATATAGCTTAGAAAATCTGTAGGAAAACTTTATAATTGAATCAAGCATGATGTTTTTCCTTGAGTAACAGTTAGAAAACACCAACTTCAAGCCAGCCCGAGGTTTTGCTTACTTTGGGGCTACTCAAGCATGTGATGGCATCTGTCTTGGGTACTTCATTGCACCTAAGAAGAAACTTGGAGATTATTCCTCTACAGTCATCTAGAAAGTATCTTCAAATTGTTCTCTTTACTTATTCCAGAGGTATACAGCCTGCAACAGGCAGTACAATCTAAAAACTGAGTTAACTGTTACCATTTGAGTAAAGTGCTCCACCTGCCTGCATGGTATCCCTCTTGCTACCAGCATTAAGGACAGTTCCCTGCTGGAGTTAATTACTCCCTGTGTGGCAGGACTTGGTATGGTTGAAGTGTCATTAAATTCCATGCTGAATTCTGTAGACCAGAATGTTTTCTGCCCTTTACATATCAGGGCATTTGAGTTTTGGATTGTTTTTAAGGGTTTTCATCAGTGTTATACAAAACTATCAAAGTAAAAGACTACAGGATAAAGAAAACTGAGATCTTAGTTCTGTAGGCTGTAAGTTGATAGCTACTGTGTCGAGTTTGTTTTGAAACACTCGCTGATAATTTCACCATGTATTTTAGTTACCTATTTAATTTCAAAGAGCAGTTGTTTCAGCAACGTTTACTTATTTTGGACTCCTAGTACATTAATAAAACTGTTGTGGAGCTTGTTTAGATACACAGGTTGAAAATAACACTAAAATCTAGACATAAACTTAGATTATTTTGCATTTTGCTCATTAAACTTCTGAAGATTCACTGTTGGTTACAGTTACTGATCAAAATGGCCCATTTTCTTGCCTGTGGCAGTATGTTTGTCCTGTTCCTTTCACAGTTCTGTTTACTGAGGTTTTCACCTTTGGTTATGTAGTGATGGTGAGTTATGGTACATGCCAGACTTTCTAGAATTTAGGATTCTGGAATGGGCTTTTGTACTAACAGTTAGGACAAGGAAGGAGTACAGTACTAAGCATTCATGTTAGTAATTGAAGGCTGTAGTTTGAAGAAAGAAAAATGCTAATATTGTATACATTGAAACAAACAAACAAAACCCTGTAAATCTGTTAACTCTTTGTTTTGCCCCAGGGTAATCCGAGTTCAGTTTACACCTAAATAATAGCTTGTAGAAACAACAAAGTAATGCACTTTATCCTCATCCTTTCTGTAGAGGTGAAAGACAGGATGAGGTAGTAATAACTGAACAAAAACAGGCAGACTGCAGTGCTGATGCTTGGATTGGACTTTTGCAGGGGTCCTTCAGGGTGGGGAATCTTGGCTATAAGCTAAGAAGTGGAGGTGTCTGAATTTTAAATTGTTCAGCAGTAATGAGTGTAATGATGTTGAATTTCCTTTGCAAATACTATGATAACAAATCCCAGGCACTTGTGTTACTTTGGTATGGTTTTGATCATGATCATTTTGATTTTCCTTCTTTGTAAGGCAGCTAAAAAATACGGAGAAATAATAAGCTACTTAATCAGTGGAGTTTGTGCTTTTGCTTTACAGTTGTCAATATTATAAACAGTTGTCTTTCCTTCTAGAAGAGGTTGTCTGGGCTATAAAAGAGGTGATGTACCCAAAATAGTCATAGATTTTGCAGAAGGTGGTGTTGGAAGAAATTAGAAGTACTTTTAGGAGGGCATAGAGGAGTTGAGAGAAATCTGGTTTTCAGCAACGTCACTAATTGCACAAAACTGGGAAGTAGGAGACAATGAGTGCCCCAACATTAAAAAATGACCTGCAATGTGATGCTACTGGAGTGTGACTCTTGCCTTAAAGGAAGTTCATGCCATTGTTTGAGTATGCTGTAGGGCAAGTTTTGGAGCAGTTATCAAAATAGCTTAGCAGTTCAATTTCATTTCCCCATTAAGACTTTAGTCCCTGCCCTCTGCTATTGAAAAGTTGCTATTTCAAGTTGCTTATTTCTTATTCTAATTCCCCATTAGGCTGCTGTATGAAATGTATACTACTTGGTTTTTCTGAAGGCCTTTATATTCCTGATATGCCTACGTCACACATGGCGCTGATGACATCTTTTTTAAAACTGTACTTTCTTGCCTAGAACTGAAATTACACCTCTTTGGCAACAGCATTCTGAGTGGTAGTATTCCTGTAATGCTTTCATGGAATTGCTGGGTCTGATGTTATTAAACCCATGCTAGAGAGTTTTTCTGCTCCTTTTACTTTTTCCTCTAACAAAATGAAATTAATGTGCCAAGTCCTGAAAGTAAGGAGGGAGAAAAGGTAGGTTATCACATTTAATAGAAATATTTTATAAATTAAATAAATATTATATGCAGTGAATGGAGAAGTAAGTTAGGGAGGGATTACAGTTTTTATTACAAACTGGAAATATCAGGCTATTTTTTATCTGGTGGTGATCATCAGTGTGAGGTGACTAAGAGCAGTGAAATACAGCATGTGCGTGCTACCTGGGCATCTCCATGTATCCTGGAGAGCATGTGCACAGCTGGTGGAGGAAGTTCCTGTCCCTCCTGCTGCTGGTATATAAGCAAACAGCGTGGGGTCTGCTGGCCTGCTGCATGGGGCCAACCACTGGGCTTGTAAATAATTGGGATATCTTTCATTTGGTTTTTCACATGTCAGAACATTGAAAAAAGTTGTCTCACCTGGAAGAACTGTACAGTAATGATCTAATAATTCCAAATTCAGATAAACTAAAGAGCTGGATTGGGAGTGCAGTACAGGTTTGTCTGTCAGATACAGGACAGCAGAGCACTACAGACAAGTTTGAATATAAATCATCTTTACTGTGTCATGTTTTATGCTTCACAAAGCTGTGTGGTAAGTTAATAGCACTGTATGTGAAAACTTCATTCTTTTGAAGAACTGAGTGTCTCTGGAAATGAAAACGCATTATGTTTTAGCTTTACATTTAACATCTAGTGAGCCTTAAACTTTCATGTGAACTTTAATAGGACAGGAACATCTTAAACTTCCTGATTATCCCTCTACTTAAGGAGGCTGGCAGTGTGTTTGAAACTAAGTAAACATTGACCAAATATGAGCATGAAAATAGTGAGGTGCCTGAGGTCTGATGAAAGCAAAGGAAACTGGTGATTGAACTGGTGGTATGTTCATTAGAAAAGCAAATCTAGTTTTCAACACTTTTATCTCCAGTCTGTGTCTCACCAGTTTGTCTAAGCATGTACATTTTCCCTATTTTCCTCTTCAACCTGGTGAGTTTTGTGGACTAAACCTGTCATTTCTGGCTGATAACTGGTAGCAGTAAAGAATGTGTACAAACACAAGATACTTGGTTTCATCCAGAAACAACCAAAGTGTGTTTCTACTAAATTGGTATTAAAATTTCTAGGCCTTCAGGTTTTTTTAATATTCTAACTTAATGCCTATTTTACTTTTTTTTTTTACCCACAGATATTTGTTTTTAGAATAGCAGGCTTGATTTTTTTTTTTTTAATGTAAACAACCAAAGACTGTATAAATGAAAGGAACACTATGAAATAACAGCACTTAATTCAGAGTGTTGAAGTGACTTCTAAATATAGGAAACTATTTTTTTCTGTAATCCCGAAAACAACACCCAAGGAAAACAAGTTAACATGGAACTACAAAAAAATCCCCGAACCTCAGGCAGCGTGAGTGTGTTACTGTTATATATTATGCAGCTATGCAAACAATCCATGTCAACGCCTGTGTAAGCAGTATGAGAAGTTGTTGAGTTGTCCTGTTGTGTTGTGTGTTGTCATGCAGTCTTAAATATGTGAATAGCCGATTTGGGGCCCTTTTCTTGATAGAATGTTTCACTGAAAGCCTATCTAATGCAGGGTTTGAAGGACGATGACTAAAGAGAGAGCAGGTGAAAATGCGACCACTTGCAGGGGGGGATCTGAGGAATGAGATAGGAACATACTTGGAGCCCCATCAGTCAGGGAGGAAATTCACAGATAACTTAATTGTTGCAATGCTGTTGAAAAGCCAACAAAAGAAATTGAGTAATGAAACATAACTTAGAGCTGTGTTTCTGAAGGGCATAGTAGAATGGTTTCTACTGTTCTGTTTAGGCTCAAACGTTTTCTGAAACTTCAGTCAACCTTTTTCCCCTGACTGCTGCTTTCTGTCATGTCAGAGGATGAAGTTTTTGCTGCTGCAGCAGAAGTACCTGGAATACCTGGAGGATGGCAAGGTCCTGGAGGCACTTCAGGTTCTACGCTGTGAACTGACGCCTCTGAAATATAATACAGAACGCATTCATGTCCTCAGTGGGTAAGTGTTTGGGTTTTGAGAGCTCTTGCAGAGAGGTTTTTTAAGGAATTCTGTAGCTTTTGATGGCTGATGTTGTGAGGACTCAAGCTACTGTCTTGATGAATAATAAGCTGTACTGAGATGTGATAAAATGCTGCGTAAAGAATGCTGTTTAGTAGACAGTATTTTGTTTCAGATGTTTGGAAACAACCTGATGATGATTTACTTTAATACTACTAGAACCCAAATTAATACATGTGTACATATCTATCGTCATTGATCTTGAGAATTATTAGCCATTATTACCTTATAATTTAAGTGAGTATAATCTGGTTTGCTCTTAGATGAAAAGACATTTCTACCCTCCTAAAATTGCTTGTGTTTTGTTTTCTTTTTGTATGGGCAGTTTGCAGACATTCGTTCAGAAGATGTGTTTGTGTGAAGTAATTCCTTGCCTTTTTCCCTATTGGTCTCAAGCTTAAGTTACCTGTTCGTAGTTCATTAAAAGTGTTATGGTCTGTATCGTGCTTTAAAATGAAAAGAATGATTCCAAAAAGACTTGGTCTGTTGGTGTATGTGCACTTTTGAAACAGGTACCTGATGTGTAGCCATGCAGAAGACTTGCGTGCAAAAGCAGAGTGGGAAGGGAAAGGAACAGCTTCCAGATCTAAACTTTTGGACAAACTCCAGAGTAAGATATTTTAGCGTTTAGAATTCTTCTTACCTCTATTAAATCCAGTATAGCTTACACATCCCAGGGAATTGACTGTGTTTGCTGGTTGGTTGTTTTTTTGTATTTCTTGGTTCATGGGGATACCTTTAGGTGCCTTTACCCTTTGGTCTTCTGTACCTAGCCTTTTTTTGACTCTGATAAACTGCTTGTAATAAGACCTGTTACTTCTTAGCTCTGCTGCATGTAGTAGTGATAAACTTGGTGATTAAATGTGTGGTTTAGGGAGGGGTGGGTGTGTGTTATAAATGCCAGCCACAGTGAGTGGTGGAAACTAAGTGTGGCCTATAACCAGTGGTGATACTGGTACTGGTTGATAGTGGTCTCACACTTGGCTCTGAATTATGGTTTCTCCTCTCTCTTGTGGCTGTGGTAATACTCTGTACCAGAATTATAAAACCCGTGGTATTCTTTCATTTCATAGTCCTAATAGAGAATTCCTTAAAGGAACATAGCTGATACTGATGTTCTACAGCATTATAGATTTTGTTAAATACTGAGTTTTGAGTTAGCTTGTGTAAATGGTGCTTGTTGGCCAGGACAACATACTCTATAACAACAAATACTTTGCATACAGCTCTGCTTTCCAGAAGTTCATGCTTCTAATTCCAGGTGTATAGCAGTAAATTCAACAAGCTGTATGCTGTTATTTACTAAGATTTCTTCCAAAACCACTCAAATCAAAGTGTGCTCTTACTTGTAACTTTCTTCTGAAAAGTCTTTCTTCATTTGTTTGTTTTTTCTTCCTAACTCCTCTGAAGCCTACCTACCCCCATCAGTGATGCTTCCTCCGAGGCGTTTACAGAACCTGCTCCGCCAGGCTGTGGAACTCCAACGGGACCGGTGCCTATATCACAACACCAAACTAGACAGCAATCTAGATTCTGTCTCGCTGCTAATAGATCACGTTTGTAGTAGGTAAGACACTGTCCTGACTTCTGAGGTGGGCAGTCTTTTCTTGGTCTTTTAAAATAATCTGATTGTTAGCAGAAACATGAAAACTGTTCTGTGCTGGTTTAATGGGCTTTTACTGGGAAAAAGCAGTTCTCACTAAATGAGCAATGGAGGTGGGGAGTAAAGAAGGTGTGCAGAGAGGAGGTTTTGGTAGCTGGATATGGGGTAATGGGATCAGACTGAAGCTTAAAAATTTTAATCAGATTGGTGTAAAAATAAGATACCGCAATGCTAATCCATAGCCACTTGTTTTTTGTCATTTTGGACAGCCAGTGTCTTTATTCCTCAGCACAGGATTGCTTTGTTTTTTCACTGGAGAATCAGTGGTGTGTTGCTTTTCCAGACTGGGTCTTCAAGGTTACTTGAATGCAGAAAGCCTGCTGAAGCATGCTTCTATGAACTCAACTTTCCCCTGTAACTTTTAAGAGTGGACACAGGCGCTTTTAGACACAAAGGTTAAAACAGAAGAGAAATGTGCAGTTTATTTTTCTGAGTTATATAATATATAACATGAATAATATAAAGAACTATTTTTCTTACATTTGTAAGGTAGTAAGGAATGAGTATCTCTTATACCTTTGTATTGGCTCTTTAGACTGTCTGGATAACTTTTTTTTGGTGGCAAAATGGAGGCTGCTTCTGAATCTTCAAAATGCAGTACTCTAGACATGAAACGGGAAGATGTTTGTTTTTAATGAATGGCTGACTTGAGCAGTTTTTCCTTGTGCAGCAAAACTTGGCCAAGGACCTAAAAACTCAGTGTAGGTTTTATGGAAAACTTCTGGGCTGTGCATGGTGGATTAAGGGAATAAGGGCTAGAACATAAGAGCTGTATGGGATATCCTTATATGTTTATCCATGTAGCAGGCTAACACTTGGGCTTGCAGGGGAATCGCTTTCAGTTAAGGTTAGCTCATCTGAGGAAGTTCATTAAGGACTGATAAACTTGCTTACAGAGATTTTCTGAACACATCTGCTTACACTTGTGTTCTTGGGTTACTTGGAATCAGTTTTTAAAGGTGCAGACTTCTGTAGTACTTTGCTGTAGCCATCTTAAGGTTTGAAAATTACTGTCTATTGCACTTTATGTATTCAAGTAGCCTTTAGCTTACAGTTCTGCTGCACTGCATTGTTTCAGCTGGTGTGTGTGTGTGTGCAGACATTTGAATGTTGCCCATTTTAAGAGCTGTTGGAAATGATCATATACTGGTATTGTGGCTTCCCTCCTTCAGAAGTGAGTCTTAAAATCAGACTACCTAAGAGAGATTTAACATTTAAGTAAGTCCATGAGTAGTTTTGGATGTTGTGCAACAAGTTTGATATTATTAATCAAATCCCAGGGAGTATTCGAGATCACTGTGAAGAGCTTGATTTACTGAAGCCAGGCTACAAAGAGACAGGTAGAAAAGATATTACATGCAACAAACCTGGGTTTGAATTTCCCCCATCTAAATCTATTTGCTGACATAAAAGTTTGACCATAGTTTGGGTTTCTGGTTTGTTGATTCCTTTTTTTCAACTAAAGTAGTACTTCCTAAATTTGCTTATTTGCTGTGTGTATACATACATAGATACTCATGGCTACTGTAATTTAAAAACCCCTAACAACAACAAGAGCCCCAGCAAATGTACCCAAAAACCCACTTGAAAGGAAAGGCTTCCATTCTGTCCTCATCCTTTTGTAGCTGCCTGTTGCAAGGGTCTGAGTCCAGTTTGTGGTGTGCTGTACGTGCTGCCATGCTTGGACATAGTGAGGGGAGTTAGACAGTGGAAGCAAAATTTTGACAAAGGTGACAGAAGTAACAGTAGTCATATAGCTTAGACAATTCAAGTCCTGTGCTACTTAATTGATGGAACACTAATAAGTTTCTCCTTTTTAGATGGAACCCTTTTGGACTTAAGGCACTATTTTGGTTAAGCATGCTTGAATTGCACTAACGGGCAAAATGTGTAACTACAAAACTCACTTGATACGAGTGGGAGATGCAAGTGAGGCACTACTGGGAGTAAAGGTGCAGGATTTCATCTTATTGTGACAGATATTTTGACAGTAGAGAATTGATGCTCTTGGGGAATGATGATTTTTGGTTTTGAGAGCCTTTGGCCTAGTTGGGTGTGTTGGGATTTTTTGGTGCGGTGTTTTTGTTCATTTCCTTTTTTTGGTTTTCTTTGTTGAGGAATAAATCTTGCATTATATGTACAGGGAATAAAAAGGTGGTTATTGAGTGGTTTTTTTCTATAATTTTGAACTTGTGTAAATACAACAACAGGAAATTTTATTAGATGCTTTATCTCAGTAAGTGAATGACATAAATCAGGTATTTTGTACTGAACAGAACAATCTGTAATGAAACACTTCATAAAAGGTGAAGAAAAACCTTTGAGCTTCAGTAATATCTAATTACCAAAGCTAGAAGCTGTTGAGACAACTGGTTCTGGTTTCTTGTTTCAAGACTGCTGCTATTTCCTTCCACAGCCAGGTTATTTAATGTGGTTTTGCTGTCTGTGAAGTCAAACTTGCTGAGTTCTGTTTCACTAATTAAGTGAAGAGGACTTTTTGTGGGAGCACTCTGATCCAGCTGGGTTGTGAGCAGCGTAATTCAGTATTGGGATGTCTCTGCAGCAGCTATAATAACTCTGTCACCCCTTTTAGGAACCAAAAGGTATCTTGCTATGAAAACCGTGTGCTCCAGCATTATCCATCTTGTTTTTCATGTCTACAAAACCTTGGCTGCTTTTCTTAAGCTTTAAGATGGAAGAGCTATTGTTCCATAGAGTATTATTTTGAAATGAAATGTGCTGAAAAGACTTTCCTGGGACACAGCATGCCCCTTGTACTGTGTGAGTTATGGATGCAGCCTCACCTCCTGGGGCAAGTTGCTGCTTTGAGCAAAACCATTAATTTATAAAAATATGGCTAAATAACAATGAAACACTGCTCCTGTAGGTGGCACGTCTCTGTATAAGGGCTTGCCTGCTTCCCTCTAGACGTGAAGGAAAACAAAGTATTTTTTTCATGGGTGGGGCTTTTTACCTTGGGTTTAGTGTTCTTCCAGGGGCAACTAGGCAGTTCCTGGTCAGCTGAAAGGAGGAGAACACATTTGTGTTTCTCTATAAACGAGTAAGTATAGACATAACCAAGGAAGCCAAATATATATATATATGTATATTTTATAACTTTCTACCATAAGACTGTATGGTTGGAAATGAGACTGTATGGTTGTTCAGTGCTGCTTGATAGTCTTTAAGCACAGACTAGGAAACCTCTTCTAATAAAATAAAATGGATGAGAGGGTACAGACATTACATGAAGCAGAACTTTCTCTAGCTTCAGGGAAGAAATGTTTTTTTAGGTGTCTGTCAGCCTGGCTGCCACCAAACTGTATTTGTAAACACAAATGTGAAGGAAGTAAGTTTTCTGCTTAAATTAATGGGGGGGTTGTTTGACTTTTTTCATTTTTATTTTATTTCCTTTGGTGGGTGTGTTGTGATGTGTTTCTGCTGTTGGTTGGTTGGTTTTTTTTTTTCAGCCAGTTTATCCTCAGTAATAAACAAAACTGTACATTCAAGGGCACTGTCATTCCCTTAGTACCACTATGTCCCATCAGAGTTGTGTTGCCCTGAGTGCTGTAAAAACTCAGTCTAAGACTAAACCACTTCAGGATCTCTGCAGCTGAAGAAAAAGTGGCTGGTTAGAAACTGTCTTCTAGTGCATCTGAACAATGAACTTGTAGTATTCTTCAGTATACAGTATATACAGTATACTGGGAAGTAATACTTGCAGTATTACTTCAAAATGCAGACATCTGCTGTAAAAGCCTACATTTCTTTTATCTTAGCTCTGAAATTCTTATTTGAGAGCTTGTAGGCAAGATTTAAATCAAATAAAACTTGTCTCCAGTTCTCACCTAACTTGATAATTTCACTGTTAGCTTTTTTTGCTTTGTAACTAGAATATTAAATATTGGCTCTAGAGGAATGTTTGAATCTTCTTCAGTAGTTTATCATGTAATATTTTATTTGATAAACTCGGCATTTTACAAAATAGTTTAGATTTTGTGAGGGAGAACTGTTCAAGTTGAAAGCTCAATGGTGTCTTGCTACTTATGCTTAGATGTTGTATGTGGTACTCTGCAAAGCTGAAAAATGATAAAACAAAGGCAAAGAAACATCTAATTTATTGCAAGGTCACATTTGGGAAAAGGAACTTTTATGTAAGAAAAATTTCTTAGCAAGATACAGCTAAGTGAGTTAGCTACAAAAACCTCAGAAGTAAAAACATTGCACCTATGATTCAGAGACCTATTCTATAGTATTTTTCTGTACAGTAGAAAATTATATGGTAATAAACTGCTATACTCGTGATGAGGTCAGTTTAATTCCAAGTTACATGAAAGTGTAACAAATTATGTGAGTGAAATAAGAACAGTTCTATGTTCTTATGGTTAATTATGATGACTTGATGGTGTGAGCTTGTTGCCAGATAAGACACTTCATTCTGTACTTGCTTGAAGCAGCTGTTAATAGAGGGGTTTTCTAAGTTGTCTGGTCTTGTATTTAAATAAGGTTTTTGTTTGATTGGGTTTTTTTGATAGCTTGACTTCAAGAAGAATCGTACTGCTTTCTTATTAATCTGTGAATGCACCCCTTTGTTTTCCCAGGAAACAGTTCCCATGCTATACCCAGCAGATCCTAACGGAGCACTGTAATGAAGTGTGGTTCTGTAAATTCTCCAACGACGGCACTAAATTAGCAACAGGATCTAAGGACACAACTGTTATTATATGGCAGGTTGATCCAGTAAGTGTGAAAATGTGTCTGACTTGTCTTTCACTTCCCTCTCAGCTTTCTCCTGATAGGATGGTGTGATTCTTGTAGGACAGGCTGAATGGACCGCAACCCTGTTACATCTGATTCCCTGGGATGTAAAAGTCTTGTAAATAGCATAGCTGTAGGATACTTCATACATGTTTCCTCCACATATCTATTGGTATATAAATAAAAAGGTTGATTGATGAATCTAAGTCTGCTTCGGCTTGTAGAAGGGATTATGAAAGTATATCCATATGTTTCATAGTTATTGAAGACTGGGAGTAAATTTGAATGTATACACACAAAATTTGAAGTTGCTAATGCTTGTGAAACACTATCAGAAATAAGATCTGGTTTTGGTTTTTTAACCATACAGGTGCCATCTGGTATGGGAGGTGGAAAATGAAAGGTTTCTGCAGTTCCATACTGGTGTTCAGTAGGATTTGAAAGCTGAGTTTCTTTTCTTTCACTTCAGGTTAGGGAGCCATATAATATGAGTCCTTTTTTCTATTAAAATGATGGGGGGACTTCAAAACCCTGTTCTATGTGCGTAATGGTTACGTAGCCCCAGAACTAACAGCAGGCACCGTGGCTTTTTCAGGTATAAGACTGCTGTGATTTTTGTCTTGTCTTACTGGGGCAAGCGTGCTCTGGGCCAAGAGCTGCAGAGCTGCAAAGCTGACTTCTGTTATTTAGTGTGGAAATTATCTGTATTTTGTTTGTTGTTTTTGTTTTTAACAGAGTAATTTAGATGAATTAGGGATCAAAATGTTCTTTGCTGTTAACTTGTCACTTGACTGTAGACGCATATCTTCCTTCTATATTGATGTGTTTTAATACAAGACATCTTGATTAGCACATCTTAATGTGAATTGTTAGCTAATAGCTGCTTAGTAAAGCCACGTAAATGTTTTGTGAGTTTTAGACTAAGCCTTTTGACCAAGGGTTGCTAAAGAATAAAAATCTCTAAAAAAATAGTGGAAAAGTGGTTTTGTAGAGTTTTATTGGTTTGTCTGCTTTTTTGAGTGCTTTAAAAAAAATTGAAACCCTGTCACGCAGGTGGTTACTTAAAATAGCATTAGGCCACATCAAGTAATTCATTTTCATATTTGCCAGAAGATGCTTCTCACATTTCTTGTAGCAGTTGGCAGTGTCTTTTGACCCATAAATTTAATCTGATTTTCAAGGCTTTTGGTATACAGAATTATTCTAATCTGTTTAGATAAACTACATGGAAACAAATAACCAGCAAGGTCTGGGCAAGTGGTGGGAGAGCCCTGTTTTAAATGAACAGTTTTTGATTTTTCCACACACGCTTCACATGTGTGAGAATTCTTCATTTCTCCCTTTTTTTCTTCATCACCCCCCTTGAAGTGTAAGGACACTGCTGCAATGTGTATTTGTAATTTCATACCTTAAATTTTTTATTCTTTTCTAAGACCCAGCCACATGTCTAGACTGTCTTAACCTATGCTTCTGCTGTCATTTTTGTATGCTAATTTCCAAGTTCTAATGCAGACTCAGCGGCATTAAATAGTGTCTTGAGTTGACTAGATTTGTGTGGGATGCATTATTTGACTGTCAGGAAGTGTGGCAGAATCTCTGTGGAGCACAAGGGATGAGCACACTGTGCATCACCTTGTCTAACATGCATCTTCTTTGTTAAGAGTTCTCCTTTAACTGGCTCTCTATAAAAATCCCTTCTGCATTTTCTGAAAACAGTTGACAGGTTTTTGGCGTTTCAGCCAAGGAGCTCAGCTGCTGCAGACTTGAGATGATGCCTGAATAGTTGCTTGTCATACACAACAAAAATTTGGAAAGGTGTATGTAAGGGATAGAAGTGCTGAGATTTCTTTTGGTGGTGAGTTGGAGGCAGGTTGTCTACATTTGGGGATGTTTGCCTGAAATACCACTGACTGCTGTTTTAGAGCATGGTATAGCAGCTTTATGGTATTTGGAGGGAAGCATGAGAGCAGTATAGAGGATAGTAATAAGCCACAGAGCACTATCATTAGAAGAGGAATATCTTATGTATCTTGTTCCTCATGAGTTTGAAACACGCTGAAGTGACAGGCTACTTTAATCCTGTTTTAAAAAGAAATGTATCTGTTCCAGACAAGCTCCAGGATGTGAGATGATGTCAGACATGACTCAGTTTCCTTGAAAATCACTTTAGCTATAGACACAGCAGTGTCTAATGCAGTCCAGGAATAATAAGAATGGAAAAGGGGTCTTGAGGGAGGTCCAGTCATTTGCCTGTCTTCCTCTGCACACTGAAGATTATTCTTAGCTCACTTTCTTTTGGGGAACTTACTTTTTCTAGCCATCAGAACCCCCAGTGCTGCAGGCTGGCTGAGAGTCACCAAATCCCTCACAGCTGATCCCAGGAAACAGTCCTTCATGCCACTCTTCCTCTGGTCTTTGTCTTTAGAATTAAGAAGTGCTCTGTTGATTAATACTGAAAAAAAAAATAAAAAGGAGAGAGAAGGGACAATTAGAGAAATCAAGCTAGATTTTCAAATTAGTCATCCTTTTTGAAAAGAAGTTGGAGATATAAGCATCTGCCGTGCAGGGGAAAAAATGGGTAGAGTGGGTAGAGGGAGCACAATTTGATTGCCCTTTCCAAGAAGCTTCAAAATAATCATTGTCAACTTTTTAACAAGCTCTGTTCTACTTGTGTATATGTATGCTGTTACCAAGAATCAGTGCTAATACTGTACTGAAGCATGTTTCTGTATTTAGGAAGCCAGTGTGTGGTTGTTTCACAGTATCTAGCTGTACTATTTATTTTTACAAGTTTCTTGAAAAGTCAAGTTCCTCCGACGAGGCAGCAGTAAAACAGTTGTAATTTAGAGATGATATAAGATGCTGTATGTGCCAAGTATGCTTCATTCACTAAATCTGGCAGAAAACAGCTTGCTGTCAGCAACACTTCTGAAATAAGAACACCTCTCAAGGAAGTTTTTAAAAATATCTTCCTGTAAATATCCTTCCTTGAGCAGCACACACACAAATTTATAAAAATATAGGCACTTCAGGCTTTTTCCTTGAGCTGTGAAGGTTTTGGTTCTCTATTTAACCATAACAGGTTTCCAACATGTCTTTACTTTTAAGAAACTAACCTAATTCTGTAAAATATAGGTAATAGTACTTTCATATTCTAGTAGAAGTAGAAAGACTTGGCACTACAGAAATCTGCACTAAGGAAAGTGTAATGTAAAACTTCGTACACAGTGGTATTTCTTGACTTTTGTTCAGAATCACAGAAGACCAGAACAAAAATACCTATGAGTGTTCTTGTTTTGAAGGTTGAAAGTTAGGCACTTTCATTTTCTGGCCCTGTAAACTGGCAAACCTGTCATGCTGTAGATGGATGCTGTGGAAATGTGAAATGTGGTGGGAGTTGATTTGCATTGTCTCAAGAACACCTCTCTTGTTCCAGGACACTCACCAGCTAAAACTACTTAAGACGTTAGAAGGTCATGCGTACGGGGTCTCCTACATTGCCTGGAGTCCAGATGACAACTACCTTGTTGCCTGTGGCCCAGATGATTGTTCTGAGCTTTGGCTCTGGAATGTACAAGTAAGTGATGTCGAAGAGTGAAAAAGAAAACTTGGTGGTCAGCCTGCTGCTTTTGTTTTAATCGCTAAATACTACAGGTGTGAAAGAAGTAATTGCTGCAAACTCGTGCCAAGGTGGGGATGTAAAGAAGGACTGCTGATCTGTGTCCTCCTCTCAGCTGGAAAAAATAACTATGGTAGCCTGCAAATGCTCTTTTACTTCAGAAAAAACTGAAACTGGAGTTCAAATTTTAAGTGTCTGGGATTGTGCAGCAGTTCTGGTGTGTGTGGTTACTATGATTTATGAGAAGAGATGGCGTAAGTGCATAGGATGTCAGAGAGCTCCTGAGGAGAAGGACAGCAAATGAATCAAGAGAAGTAGAGGGCAGAATTATAAATGAAGGGAAGAAGTTGCTCACTGATGATTTTAACAAGTAGCAAATGTAAAATATGCAAACTATTTTACTTCATGTAACCCTCCCAGTGATGTTAGTGAAAGATGCTTCAATTTATGATTTCAGAACTTCATCTTTCTGTCAGGCACTTGGGCATTTTTCCATTCCCTCTATGAATCTGAAAATCACTTTCTGCTGTTGAATTTTATGGGCACTTGATTTGATACAAAAGCTTCCTTTGCCTTGGTTGAGAGCTGTGTAAACTTCCTTGTGCTGTCTTGGACTCTGAACTAATTTAGTTTTCTAAAACAAAAACGTTCCCTTTCTTCACCCTTGGAACACTTTTCTTCTGTTTAATTGACTAAATTGGCTTAGTGAAGAGCATTACTGACAGTGCCACTCATTGGTGTTCTGTCTTGTGAAACGGTGGCTTTATACGCTAGGCATGAAAGCTAAATTTTGGCATGGAGAACTTCAGCTCAAGTAGGAAAACATTCTAACTATTGCAATATTCCTAATTTCTTACTAAAATGTATTTCATCACCTCTTTTCTTCTAATCTCTCCCTTCCTCCTTTCTTTCAGTGTTTTGGTTTCTTTTCATTTGATAGTGCTTGTCACTCTCTTGGCTTGTTCATGTAATTTCTTTTTATTCCACTCCTTACTCAAAATCTTTTAGCTGTCTGACACATCAACTATTCCATGTCTCTTGATTTGAGAGACAAAAGAAATTGTCCCAAATCAAGTCCAGATTCACTGTATATGCTAAAGTAGTTCTACTTTTTCATTGCATAGTTCATAAGTATGTGTTGCTTTTTAATAAACTTGTTGAAGCATATACACTTCCAAACACTATTCATGTCAGATAAAATTACCAGTGCCTTTTTGGGTAAGGCTTGTGGTATAAGGCCCTGCTGCCTTTGTTTATTTTCCAGACTGGGGAGCTGAGGACAAAGATGAGCCAGTCTCATGAAGACAGTTTAACAAGCGTGGCCTGGAATCCTGATGGGAAGCGTTTTGTAACGGGAGGACAGCGTGGACAGTTCTATCAGTGTGTAAGTTCTCTGCATCTGTCCCTTTGAAAGCAAAGCAAGAAATCAAAGTTTGGTCTATGCTTTTTCAAGTTTTGTGTGTATGTACACTAAAGCTTCTGGTCCCTTGTAATTCGAAGAAGCAATACATTAATGCAGGTATTTCAGCAGCACTTTGGATGGAGCAGTTTGAAGGGTTAGAGCATCTTTGGTTGGCCTCAGGGAGGATTTGTGGTCTGGAATTTTTTTTCTTAGCTGCTTCAGAAAAAAAGAACTAATAAAAAGCAGTACCTTTGTCCACAAGTGTTTTTATTCCACAGTGTTTTGACTGCATCTTTCTTAGTTTTTTGCATGCTGTCTTTTCTTAGTTAAAACAGAAATGTGAAACCCTCATTGAAACCAACTTGACTAGTGTTGCTTTGGGGTGGTGGTCCACAGTTTCACCATATTCTTGATTATTTTTCCAACTGGTTCCCAGAATAGTCATGTAGTATGCAGACCTCACTGTGAAGGTCAGCTCAGTGATGGGGTGCAGGTGGCAGGTGTCTTGCACAAGAAAATAAGTGACAGAAGCACCCTGCTCTCCAGGGCACATTCCTAAAAGCCCTTGGTTAAGACAACCAACTCCTAATTCATTAAGCCCTCCATTGTAAAGGGTAAGACTGCTTTCTGTAGCAATCATCTGAAATAGAAAGTGAAAAATACTTCTGTCACAGCTCCTCAGAAATCTGAGACTAATGGTTGAATGTTTTTTTTTCCTTCTGCTCAGGATTTAGATGGTAATCTCCTCGACTCCTGGGAAGGGGTGAGAGTACAATGCCTTTGGTGCTTGAGTGATGGGAAAACTGTTCTAGCATCAGACACACACCAGCGAATTCGGGGTTATAACTTTGAGGATCTCACAGACAGGAACATGTAACTACCTCTTTTTTTGGTTTTGAATTCCTGCTTCTTAGTGTCAGAAGAAAACTGAGGAAGGGTGTGGGGACAGTATGGGAAATGAGTTATTAAATGTTCTCAGTATTAAAAGATGAGACAAGAATTAGTGAGCAAGTTTCAGCAAGCATTAGATCAGGTATTAGAAATAATTTCCTAAGCACTGGAGTAGGTTTCTGGTGGATGTTTTGGCATTTCTGTCATAAGTACTTGTAGTCCTCTCAATTCTTGGTATATTTTAGTAGATTCTGCCTTGAATTTAGGAGTTGAGGTCCAAAACCCCTTTTGGCCAAACCCAGAGTCTGGGTGTTTAGCCTATAAACTTTTAACTATAAACAAGTATTGTAGACCTGGCTTGGACTGATATATAGAGTCATACCTAATTTCAGATTTGGAACTATTTTTCCCTGATAATACTGCAAAGACAGGATGTTGTTTGCATCATTATCTGGTTATCTTGACGCTTATGTCTTATAATTTCAGAGTACAAGAGGATCACCCTATTATGTCGTTTACTATTTCAAAAAATGGCCGTTTAGCTTTGTTAAATGTAGCAACTCAGGTGAGTTGGGGATGTTGAAAGGAAATAGAAATAAATCTGCTTGCAACTTCTACCTGTTTATAAATATTTTTATGTGAGTTGTAATGTTTGATATTAACTAGTATAATATTAACTAGTTGTATATTGTGTAATATGAAGGCCTTAATATTCATAAACATAGCATGGAATTCTCTGACAAGAAGGTGATCTTATTCTTGAGACCTGATTTTTTATTTTTTTTTTGACTAATTTATAGCCAAGAGTTTCATATTAGGAAATATGTACTATTAAATTTAATTATCTGACTGTTGCATTGAGAAGCCAGTTACAGCAAGAACTGTGGCACTTTACATGTCTGGGGGCATGGATTTTATTTATCTATTTCTGCTTTTGAAACCTTGGGTAAGACTAAAGCTTTCAGAGTGGAAGGGACCTAAGGGTGAAAGTTTAATATACATCTTTACTCTTTTCACCTACTAACAGTACCAAAGTTGGCTCTAAAGTAGTGCACTTCTATGTGTAATTTTTTTTCACTGTTCAGAAGACTGCCGTTAATAATATTCAATGATAAAATAACGTTCTTTATATTTCTTGTTTCCAGGGAGTTCACTTATGGGACTTACAAGACAGAGTTTTAGTGAGAAAGTATCAAGGTGTTACACAAGGATTTTACACAATTCACTCGTGTTTTGGAGGTCATAATGAAGATTTCATTGCGAGTGGCAGTGAAGGTAACACCATTCTTTGTGCAGAAAACTGAAACACTGTATCCTTCCTATACCTTCATCTTATAGATGACAGTTGCTAACAACAACATTATAAAAGCAAACCAACTGGCTCATGAAATAAATTTGAGGCATGCTGAGATTGTGGCATACTTCAAGAAGTAATTGTGGGCTGGCAGAAAGAATCTTCTGAGAGGATGGCAGAGGTAGAACATATTACTGACTCTTTTGTGTTCCTCCTCTAAAGCAAAAGCATCTGCACAGTTTTAATTAGAAGTGGGTGGGGTGTTCTTGAGGACTTTTCTTTTTGTAGTATGATATTTAGACTTCTGGTTTGAATAAAATGTACTTCTGGGGAATAATAGCTTCATTTGCTTGTTGAAGATACAGGTGTGGTGAGATTATTTTAATTTCAGTAGAATCATTTTAATTACAGACAGAGTAGCCTCAAATTAGGCAGTTGTTGACGTAGTCTGGTAGAGTTTCTTGGTGATTAAAAGCTTTGTGGTACATTCTTATTCAGCTGTCTGTGGCAAGAGTAGAAATTTATTAAAAGCTTATGTGTTGAATTGTTTCAGTTCTGTCACTGGTGTAGTGCCATCACCTGCCGTGGAGGTCACTGAAAATTCAAGCTTATGCAGGACTAAGAATTACACTTGTAATATGTAAACAAATTATTGTGAGTACTGTGTAACTCACAGTTCTTGGGAAACAAGATTGGCCAAGGCATTTCCTACTATCTGTTTCTGAGAACCACGAAACATGTCTAAAATAAAACCAAGTTTTACCCTCTGACTCTACCCAGTGGAATATGACTGAAGGACAGCACCTCCAGCCCTCCAGTCCAGTGTGAACCTCATTTCATGGCTGGACAGGCTTCTTGGTTTGAGACCTGAGTGCCAGAAAATTCAGGATTTGTTTAGCCATAACTATGTGCATGTGTAGGTGTAGATACTGTAGTGCACCAGTCTTTTTTTTCACCCTAGTTTATTGGCTTTCTATTGTCCTCATTGTTTAAAAACCACTGTAGTTGAAACTGATGGTTCCTTCGATTTGAACTGTCTGAAGCTGTTGCCTTTTTGCAAATGTGGCTACTGAAACTATTTTTAAAATACAAGCAAACAATATTAATAGGTCACATTCTCATAGCTGGCTTTAAAAAGTAGTTGATCACATTGTCATAACTTCATTGTCAAAACATCTTGTCAGCTGGGTAGGGGTTTTCCTGACAATTGCATCCATAAGAAGAAAATAGAGGTGTCTGTCTCAGAGGGGAATTGTCTGCTGCCTTAATGTAGCTATCTTGTTTTTTCCAAACCAAAGTACTGCTTTGTCTTTAGGCTTTGGTTATCTGGCAGAGCAGAGGCGCGTGTGTGTAGTGTGTGAATTGTGTTGTTTGGTGAATAGCATGGATGCGTGGTCCCCTTGAAATCCTAAGTGGAATGGAAGTACGGCCAGAACATTTGCATCAGCACAAGCACATGTGAAGGTGGTACCCTCACACAAGCTGGCTCTGCACAAGACAAGGGAGTTACCACATGGGAAAAAGCCATGAGGCTTTTCTAGCAGGGAGGTCAGAGAGCAAGTTTGTTTTATACGGGACTGGGAGGAGGAATAGAGGAAGATTGGTTTGTTTACTGAGCCTTCAGAGTGACATCTAGGTGAAAGCCTTTCAGATGGATCAAAATACTTTCATTTGATTGCTTAAAATTAGGCTTTTGTGTAATACTAGCAATACATACTTGTCCAGTTGATGTAGCTCCGTTTGGAATATCCCACAGTCATTCCTAGACAGGTGAAACCACAGACTTGTTACAGGCTGCTGGTCTACAGCTGGGACAACCCTCCACCTCTTCTTCCCACTCCCCAGTTATTCTTAAATATGGCTGGTTATAAAGGATGACTCTTCTCTAAATGTTGCAGTAGAGTGTCTAACCATTTCCCTATTCTATTTCTAGCATGTTGCTAGAAGTAATTAAAAGCTTCCCAGCACAAAATAGGATGTGTAGGGTTTATTTGCATCTACTTTAATATGTACAAATTGATATCTTTAAATACCACACAATAACTGGTTGTCAAAGACAGTAATAGCTCACAATTTGAGCCATTAAGCTTTGCTCTCCCTTGTTTGCTCTGTTTGCAGTTTCACTGGAGTGTTACAGGTTTTTAGTATTAAGATGTTTTTCATAAACTACAGAGCTGTGATCTTATCTGGTACTCATCAACAAGAGGTGGTTATAATTATTCTTAGTATTCATGACTTTATAGTATATTTACTAATTTGCAAATACAGTTATTTGAGGGGGGGGAAATCTGCAAGTTTTTCTTTAGAATAAGATTATAACTCCGTACCTGTAATTAAAGAGTGGTTTAATTTCTCTTTTTTGCCTTGTATTGTCTTATTTGCATGGCAGTCAAATGTTTCTCTTCAAACACCAAGTGTAGTAGACTTGCAGGTGTTAAAAAAGAACGTGTCTCTTAATGGAAGAGCTTTGCCTGCGTTCTTTTGATCACTTTTAAAAGAAAAATTTTGTCAGCGCTGTTCCACACTTGAGACTCGGGTTTTTGACGTGGGCTTTAATGAGAGCTGGTGTGAAAGTGCTGTTGGCTCCAGAGGTGGGTGTGTGCAGAGCAGTACTGCTCACGCTGCTTTTCCATGTGCTTGGTTCAGATCACAAGGTGTACATCTGGCACAAGCGCAGCGAGCTGCCCATCGCGGAGCTGACGGGGCACACGCGCACGGTGAACTGCGTGAGCTGGAACCCGCAGATCCCGGCCATGATGGCCAGCGCCTCCGATGATGGCACTGTTAGGATATGGGGACCAGCACCTTTCGTAGACAACCAGGATATTGAAGGTAAAAAAAATGCACTACTGAAAAATTAGTCACTGCTTTTTTTCTAGTGTATGACTGTTGGTTTTTATCTGAGTTACTCATTTTGTAGAATAAAAAAGGCAAAACTGTGGTGTCACTAAGACCTTAGGGTTATATTAACTTATTTATGCAGACTCCATAAAAACCTTGCTTTCAATGCTTAGGTTTAGTAATGTACAATGTTATTAAAATTTAAACAGTGCATTCTAACCACACTGCAGATTGAGTAATGGTATTGGAATGGTTACAAAAAGAATTTCCAAGGTCTAGAGAGAGTGTAAAGAAAATCTGTACAAAATTGAATCTTTACTAACCATCAGTAACCATATGTGTGCAGGGGGGAGAGAGACAATGCTCATTTTTTTGCTGCCAAAATGCACTCAGGTGTTCCCATCCCTTCTTGCCTTCTCCAGGATTGTTAAGGAGATGACTGCTGGGGAGTTGTTGTACACTTTATATGCTTCTGTCATTAAGTATTCAACCTTGCAGTAAGAATTTACAGGAGACACTAAAATGATATATAGTATGTCCTATTGCCACATGACCTCATGGATGTGGCTTCAAGGGGAGCCTGGACAAAGTAATCAAAGAGAAATCCATGAAGTGCTGGTAGATAAGTAAACACCTCTAGTTCAGAATGTCCCTTAGGTAGAAACGCCTGAAAGGTAGAAGGATATTAGGAGGAAGAATTACCTCCTCTCGCTGCTCCAGTGCTTTGATACATCTGCTTCTAGTCTTGGACTAGGTGGACCAGCCTGGCTAATCTGTAGCACCTGGAATGCACCCATAAGGAGTCAGAGCCTGTCCTCCAGCTGGTTTTACTCATGGCTTTGTTGTTTGGTTTTCTCCAGTGAGCTACTTGCTCACTCTTTCTTAGTTCCTCCAGAAAATGAACCAGTAAGTGCCATCAAAACCAACCAACCTCAAATGGATTTCTCACAGCAGTGTTTTCGCAAGAGATGAAGGTGCATGGAATAATACCTAACCACTTAGGAATCCTAAATGGGGTGACAAGACAGCTCTGTAATTAGCACACTCCCCATGAAGTTGTATGTAAATGCGTGTTACATCTTTTTGGACCAGATGCTTTTTGAGTACCCACACCTAACATGCTGAAATAATATCTAGATTGTTATGAATAATTTTATCTAAAATAAGTAATTTGAAGCATGGAATTTAGCTACAATATAAGATCCATTAACTAGTGCATGTTCAGTTAAAATTTATGTAAATACACTGTATTCATTATGATAGAAATATGAACTGTTGCTAAGATCTTCAAGCTGTGATTTCTTTTTCTCTGTGTTTTTGTTTTTGCTCAGAGGAATGCAGTAGCATGGATAGTTGATGGCGAATTTGGAGCAGACGACTTCAGTTTAACTTAATTAGTCGTATTTTAAATGGCTTGGGATTTGGTGCAAACAAACATGATTGATAGCTGGACAGACATGCTCGTCATGAAAAAGAACCATTTCTGAAGCCCGGTTGGGGCCAAACATTTACCACCTTTGCTTCATAGTAACCAGTTGAGATGAAGCACGTCTTTAGAACTTTGTTGGACACCGTGTTGAAATTACCCCCCCATCGGTTGTGAAGAACTGTGCTACATTCAGGCTAACCATTGAACTCAGTATATATATTTTTCCCTCCTGCCTTTTTGTCTGGCAGGCTACTGTTCTTGTTGCTCTTCTGTGTAATGAAGTTTAAATGCTTGTTTGGAACACTTTATTTAACAGTTTAGAAGGCTTGATAGAAAGAGTGCTTTAGTCTGAAGAGTATACATTGGATAGGAAAGTATTTCCTTCTCTTGTTTCTCAAGTCTCTCTCCGCCTTACTTAGCTTGAGATCTTTGCAGCTTGGTTCATGGATTCTAGCCTTGCCCGTTGCGCAGTATATCTATCAATTGAGAGGATAAACCAATGAACTATGTCAAAAGCACTCTCAGTATCACATTTGACAAAAAGTTTTGTACTTTTCACATAGCTCGTTGCCCTGCAAAGGGGTTAACAGCACAATTTTTTAAAAATAAATTATTTATAGGATTAAAATGACTTCATTTGTATACATTTGGAATTAAAACAATGCAAGAAGTGTTGTGAAACACGGTATCACTGATGCTTTTCTGGAGTGTCCTGAGACCCAATCAAAAGCAGTGGCTGGAAGGAGATTTATGTAGGCAGTAAAGCTTATTTCAGATGGAGGAATTCCCTGTCCATCTTAACAGATAAACTGTATTAGTTAGAAAAAAAAAAGCATTCAGACTGCACCACCAGTCTCAGAGTTGAAACAAAAAGAGGTCTTTTTGGTTTTTTTCATTACATAAATATATGCAACAATGCTGGTGTAAAAAGTAGATTACACTTTGAGGGAAGAATGTGTTGAAAGAGTCCTTTCTTCACAAAGTCTTATACTTTGTATAAGTAATTTACGTACAAATCATAATTAAACACTTGTATTATGATGGAAATTTTTTCTTTATTTGATAAACAAGGGTGGACAGATTTTGTTGTTGAGAATATACTTTTAAGTTTGCAGATTTAAATGCCTCTCCCAGACCTTGTTGCAAGCTGGTGCCATGAACATCTTGACACATCTAGGAGTAGTTCCACTAATGTCCCGTGTTAAGAAAAAACAAAGACTTTTATAATTTAAATATTTATTTTTTTGACATAAACAGATTGCCTGGCATCTCTGTGCTTCTGCACTACACACAAATCCATTATGAGATGGCACTGGATTCCCTTTTGCCACCTTGGGTGGAAAGGTAGTGTTGGTACTGCTGCAAAGTAAAGAAGGAGCAGGGAAGGTCATGCCACCAGGAGTCACTTGAGCAGAAGTGTGGACTTCATCCTTTCATGAGATAATGATTTAGAGTCCTTATTAGTTATGTGTGGAAGAAGGGTGGGGGAAGGTTTGCTGGAGTTCCTGGGAAGAGAGGTATAGCCACTTTGATGAATGGGAGTGTGGTGTTTCCCAGAAAAACAAAGGTTAGCAGGTTAGATTTTTTTCTTCTTTTCGATTCCAGCCATCCGGTGGTGTGTGTTTGTCTTGCCTTGCGTGCAGACTTTAAGCATGAGCTAGGATTCTGGTACTGTGGTTGAGACCAGCCCCGAATCTGACATATGAGTCTTCTAACACCTCCAAAACCAGGTAGGAACTTAATGTTCAGCCTTAAAATTAAGGTGAATTCTTTGACATCAATTACTGCTTCACAGCACTGAGAATACATGTGTAAACTTAAGATTATACATCCATTCCTTCTTCCTTTAATCACTTCTGGAGGAAGCTTTTTCTTTCCCTTCTTAGTTCAGACAGTGTAAGATGAGTCAGGCCTGGCCTTAATGTTGCAGGAAAACACAAGTTCCCATGGTCAAATTTGAGTAAGCTAAACCTTGGGGTTTTAGGAAATTAATTCCTAAATTGTAATCAGTAAATTGTAAAAGTGTTTTACATGTTCAAAACATGATATAATTCATAAGCAATGCCAGCATGTGAACCTTTGGAAGTTACTCTAGTATCGTTTTACTCTGGAGCTTAAGTTTTCAAGCCAAACATTATTTAGGAAGAGTAAGGAAAATAATGGTTTTGATGTCTCATACAATTGTCTGTCACTATGTACTCATGGAAATAAAGTGGGAGCTTTAGGCAGGTGGTGAAGTTTGGATCAAATCTCAAGTGTAGACTTAGTCTCATATGCACTTCAGGCATTTCTAATGTGGAGGCCATGACTAACCAGAGTGAGACTCCTTCCCTGGTACAGCTGGGGGGGTGCGTGGGCTGATGCCTGCTATCCACGGCAATGCAATTAGGAATTTAAACCTAACATAGGACCGCTGCCAAAACACTGCCCCTCTCTGCTGGACTTGGTTTGTCCCTCTGAAGGACACTTGAGATATTCAGAAGCTGAGTTAGGGAGAAGCAGGTGTGGGATCTCTCTCCCTTAGTGTCCTGGTGCAGCCATGCCATGTAAAGGCAAGCTCCAAGCAGGTGGCACTGCTTCCAGTGTCTCAGTGACAGCCTGTTTGCATCTCGTGGGCCATGAGCAGGCAGGACAGAAAGGTGAGATTAATCTTCATTTTGCCACACTACTCAGTCCCACAGCAGCTGCCATTAGAGATGTAGCAATGAGAACCGTCCCAACCTGGAGATGAAAGAGCAACCTAAACTATTTCCAACACATTGGATATTCATATGTGGATTGAAAAGTACCAATACTTTTTGTGCACAGACAATAAAATGAGACTGGGGTGGGGTGGGGGGGGAAAGCCCAAATCAGTTTGCTCATTTGCAGCATGTTGATTTCCATGTGCTTAAAAATGTTTATAGGCTGGAGTGTAAGGCTGGAACAAGTACACACCCACAATAAATAACTGTATTTCCAGTCAGCAGGCCCATGGTTTTAGAAAAAAATACTGTGTGTACTCGTTTTCTAACTTTCTCTGGTCACCTGTTGGCTTCAAATATTCACAGTAGCCCCAGGTTATTATCAAGGCAGATCTCAAAAAAAAATGCTGAAGCATTTTATTATCTGAATGTTCTTTAGCTGTTCAGGTAAGTAATTTTCAAGGCACAATGGAACACAAAAGGGAAAATGGTAGCTCTGTTCATGTTTTGGAGGGGAGGGAAGTGGGGGGAATGACACCTTTGTTTTTAAATTCCCTCTGTCTTTTCTAAAGTTCTCCAACTTTAAAGTTAACTTCTCTTTATGATTGGAGCAAAGATGCAAGCTAGAAATCTGCCCAGATCTTGCCAGTTACTTCTCAACTTGGCTTCAACCAGGTAATGTTTAATAAAAACTCTTGTCTACTGTTGGGAGTTGGTGTCTAGTTGTGTATTTTTACACTGCTAAATGATACTCCCACCCAAAATCCGTTGTAAAGGCTTCCTTACCAGGAGGCCAGGACTCATACAATTAGCTGTAGCTCAAGGGGATATGTTGTAGATCCAAATGGGGAGGGAGGTAGAGAAAAAAGAATTGACATAAGAAACAGGATTTACTGACCAACAAACAAACTACTGTAACTCAAGGGGGAGGAGGAAAAATGCACTTTCAATAGTTTGTCCATATTTTTAGCTACAAAATACACTTGTATCTATTTCTTTTTGAGACGACTATTACAAGGAACACCCATCCCATAAATGGTCTCCTTTTGCCTTCCTCCTGTCTTTTCCACATTGGCTTGAGTCTATTTTCAGCTGCCATACTTGATTTCTAAAAACTGCTACTTTTAACGATGTCTAGAAAGCAAAATCATTAACTATGACACTTTTTTTAAACAGGGTGGACTTAATTGAAGTGTGCAGTGTTGAAACTACTGCTGCAGTAGCTGCCTCTAGTTGAAATAAACTGTAGCCAAGTTTTCTGTCTATTCATCCAGATAATCTGGATTCAGTAAAACATCTGTGAGAGTGTTCCTCCCATCTGGTATGAGTGTGTGCGTGCATGTGTTCCATGAACAGACAGAGAACCAAATGTTCTAGGTACTTGTCATGTTTTATTGCATACTTTTAAGTAGTGTGTATGTGAAGTGTCCTTTGACCAGAAGGTTTTGGTTAATATCAGTATATTTTTATAAATTTGAAATTCATTGTGCCCCATCTTTTTTCATAAACATTTTTCATTCTTAGGGTATATGTGCTAGATTTGAAACTTAACATTTTTAGGCACAGATGGAAAAAGTTATTGGCTCCTTGAAAACATATGGGACAAAATGGATCCTCAAAGCATGTATGTACTTACAAACCAAGCTGTAGAGATCAAGAAAAGAACTTTATTGTTGATCTCAAGATTTCTAAATTGTCAAGATTTATATGGAGTTGTGGTGGAACTAGTTAACACTTAGAGCTTTTGGTATGTAATGACTATTTGCTATGGACTGATATTAAATGTTTCAAAGGATTGCGTTCTTAAACTTTCTGGATTTTTGTTACTCTCCTCAGATATTATTAAGTAGTTAAAAATTTCTTTGCTATATTACATTAAAAACATAAGAACTTTGGGTCTCGTATTTATTTTCACTTGTTTTACTAATTATTTACAGAACACCGTTTTAACTTTTTTATTTTATAAATGTGTAGTATTTTAAACATATCTTTAAAAATTGTTCAATTGGAACTACATTAACTTCTGATTTGTTTTTATTAGGATTTTTAAAAAAAAAAAATACACTTTTTCCATGTTGGTGCACAGCACTTAAGAGAAATGTTTGTATTCCCTTTCTTTCAATTCAATAAACAATAAATAACTGGAATGAATAGTTCTTAGTTTCCCTAACTTCACTTACATGACTGACTTGGATGTTAATTTCTTGATCATTAATTATAGATTTCTTCCATAGTATTTCACATCCTAGCTAGGAAAATTAATTTGTGGCAGTGTAGCTGCAGCAGAGCCACTCAGTGCTGTGTTGAGGCTCTCCAGGCTCTGCTGTCTGGCTCTAATCCACCTCACCCTTGTGTTTGTGCTGTACTTCAGTGCTCGACTTGCCCGTGTCCCAGGCTCTGCTTATCTCACTTGCTCAACATCTGCTCCCTTGAGGCTCTGTGAAATCAGTCATTCCTTATTGCTGCAGCTTGCTTAAATACCAGACTCTGGTTGCTGTAGGTGATCTGTGAGTTTTATGGGGTATTTTTGATACTTCATAGTAAGAAGGTGCTCCTAAAGTACTTGGATCTCCTGCCTTCATGTTCCCTCTAACTTGACCCCATGTTCTTATCCCTCCTCTCTGTGCCTTAAAGCAGACCCTCATCTTTGTCCTGTATTTTTATTCAGCTTTATATATTTTTATAGCTTATGTTGTGTTAAAAAGTTGTACCTGAATTTCCACTCCCTGTAGCTTTTCCAAACTCAAACCTTTTGCTGATGTGCATTCAATTTTTGAATTCTTTTAACTTACATATTGATTAGAAGAAATCTTCACTCCCTCTAGCAGCACCTTTGCATGAACTTTGGTCTCTCCCTTACAGTTTAGACACTATATAGATAATTATGGCTTAAATGCAGCTGCCAAGAGAAAGGATGTGCTGTACACCTCTGCATGTCCTCCTTTGTGCTACTTCCCTTAGTTGCTGGTATTTGTAGGAGGGTTCTTGGGTTGCAGACCCATTTCAGCCATAAATTACTCACACAGCAGATGAAGGAAGTTACAAACGAGCCCAGCCAAAAAAGCTGTGCTTCATCTGCCATCCTCTCTGCCTTTAATGGGTCAGAAGAGTGCAAGAGAAACAGGTTATCTGTATTCTGTGGGCCTGGGACTTTTCACATTTGTAAGATTTGAGTCCTGTGGGTTTGGGTTGTTTTTTTTCCTAATGTGTTTTTTGGTTTTTGTTTGTTTTTTAAAATCATTCAGATTATTTCAAAGAAATTCCATAAGGCACCTGAGAGTAGGTATGCATTTCTTAATTAGCTTAAATCCAGTCTCTGCCTGAGAAGAGCCCTTCCTTATACCTTGTCCTGTGCTGTGCTGCCCAGTCACTTCCCTGTGTGTCTTGTATGTGCCAAGGCTGTCACCTCATCCCAGAAGGATGGCAGTGCCAGTTGTGTCCTCATTTTTAAAGATCTGTAAAGCTCTGAAGGGTAACCACTGAGGCTTGTATGCCTGTTTCTGCCAAAGCTGAGCTGGTGGCTGTACTGATAACTGCATGGTGGTTCATAATATATAGACCAAATTTTCCTACTGCTACTTCCACTGTCCATCATACCCTAAACTTAAAGGCATAAATGGTCTTTTGGCACTTGTATGAAATACTAGAGAGCTTCTTGTGAGAAGAAAGAATTAGAATAAAGCTCTAACACTCCTGAACAGATAAAGATTTGCATTTTTGGGCTTATCAGGGTTTCTGGCTGATTGTTAACCTGCATGTAAAATTGTTCGTAGGACTACTGGTCAGATCACCAATTTACCATGTTCCATAATACAAAACCATTTTAGAAAACCAAGCCAGTCATTTACTAGATTGAGGAGGCAAGTATATTCTTTAAAAAACAGGCTCAATAACCAACATTCTGTAACTAAAGATTAATTAGAGGGAAAAATGCAGTTCTACACACTTTTACTAACCCCCAAATTCTTAACTGTTGTGTAATCTCTGAAAACTGATGCAGGATGATCATCTTTGCAAGCTGGCCAGGCTGTAGACTGTGGGTGAGGAAAAGGGCTCAGTAACATCAGTTAAATTGGAATCCATGTGGGATTTTGATTTATTTTTACTGATTAGGAGTTTTCTGTCAATCATAGCTAATGGCTCCTCACAAAGTTATACATGGATATCTCAAGTCCAAAGGGAAATAAGTGAGTAAGTGAAGTGAGTGAGTAAGAAGGAATCTGTATTTGACCTCACAGCAACTTACAGTGAAATTATTTTTTTTAAAAATCAGTCACAAGTTTCTAATTCTCTTGAATTCTGTGTGATAAGCTTGGGTTTAAATTACCGTTTTCTGTGGGAAAATAGAGGGTTTTTTTTATTTTTACCATCATTAACGTTTCTGTGCTCTGTGGGTCTCCCAGGAGTGACATAACTGCAGCACCCCTATTTCTAGCTAATTAATCATGTTTTTAGCTATTACACATCTATTTTTTTCTGTAGCTGACAATGACCTCTGAAGATATCTGTTGAAGCAGGCACTAACCTCATACAGTAAAGAAGGCTTCAACGTTACCCATGTAATTATTTAGCAGAATTGTAGTCTCTGAAACCTGCTGCTGAGGTTTTTGCAATTCTTATTATCTGTTGTTGGATATAAATGAACTGGGAACTTATTCATCATGTTTTTAGAATAGGATATCAAGCTGCTAGTTTAAGTACTGGTCTTAAAATTAAATGAGGTTAATGCTCATGTTTCTCAGTGTGAAACAAGTTTACTGAAATGTATTGACTGTCAGCAGTACCTTAAGGACCTAACTTGGGTCTTTTCTTCTAATGCCCAAAATATTTGTAGTAGGTTTTTTTTTCCATATACAAATAAGATCATTTAATTGCCTACCATAATCTGCTAAAAAGTTACTGACTTTGTACTCTCTTGAAGTTTCATTTGCTTTCCTTTCTCCAGACCTACCTTCTCCCTGGGTTTTGGCTTTATAGGACAGTACTTTTTATAGTTTGATGTTCTGCTGTCAGGTAGTCAGTGGCATCCAGCTGGGGTAGCTGTTTCCTTAGTTATTTTTTTAATGAACACTATTTTCAGCAGTTTTTCATCTTTAACACAGCTGAACTCAGAGACCATGCGTCAAAACTTTAAAGCCAGACTTCTCCTAGAACAAACACTGAACACAAAGTATCTACAGCAATAAAGCATCAGTGTTGCATTTTCATGGTTAGCCCTGAAAACAATTGTTAACGCCACCTGTACACTAAAACCCAAATATTTAAGAAGAAAAAGTTCATAAATTTTTGGATGTAATTACAGAAGTGTATTTTTAAAGTGTTTTAATTGATGTTTGTTCCAAGAGACCTTTTTGCAAGCACATATAAAAAAACTTAAAGACAGTTATTGGACAGTGAGAGTACAAACTCAGGTTTATACACTTATTACCGATGCAAGAGCTGCACAGAAAGAACTTGCTGGTATCACTGAAGCAGTCACATCAGAATTGGAGTAAGTGGGATTATGGGTTACCAGACCTTTTCCCTGAGCTAGACAACCTCTTGTTTCACCCTACTGCCTATGCCAACAGCAGGTTCAGGGAATAGCAACTGCAGATAGTCTTCTGCTCTGTAACCAACTCCACCCCAGTGCAATATGATCTTTATCTGGATGTCCATGATGTACTTCAATGACAAAACAGGAGTTGAATGGAAAAAGCAAGTATGAATCATGTTTCTTGTTTATCTGCACTCTTACACACAAGTGTCATGTCCACCAAAGGGATCTTAATCCATCCAAATGCAAGGCTTCATATACATTGCTGCAGGGGCGTGGGGAAAGGGAGGAAAATGTAACTTGTATTCCATTGATTTTTGTCTGGAAAGAATACCAACACAAAGATGCAAGCTGTGTTTGTGTTCCACTTTGAAATCTGTTCCAAGTGTTCCTTCAGATTAGGTTCTGATAGGACAGCTTGGCAGCCAGTCTCATCCTGACATCTCTCAGCAAGAATCAGGTATCATTGCTGCACTTAAATGTGTTCTGGAACTACTGTCATTACCAGCTCATGCTGGTGAAACAAGTTTCCCTGATTACCATTTAATTCTTACGAGGTCACTTCTGTAAGCAAGGATTTCATCTTATAGAAACAGCAGCTCCAGCAGTTTGGCTTGTAAAGGAACAAAAACAACTGCTACACAGATCCAATGTCTTTTGAAAATACTTTATGTTAAAAATACAGAAAAATATTTCTTGTTCAAAGAGGAAAAATATACTGCATGATGACACTGATCTAGGTGTGTTCGGGAGGTGTCTGTGGCTCCACCAGTCACTGGAGTGATGACCCAATTTGGCAGTTAATGGTTCTCTTTCGACTTCTCAATCATTTATCAAAGCCAGAATCATACTGTGACAAAACAGAAAACATGATACCAGTGGATTACTGAAGCTTGTGCAAGCAGGAGCAGCTCTCACTGTCACAGGAGAGCTGCACTAAAAGAACCTGAAATAGAAAGTCAAGGGATCCCTGCTGTGTGCTTTGCTTAGGAAGACAAGGCTGCAGAAGCAATAGTGCCACAGAGAACAGCAGCTCTGCCACCTTGGAATAAGTGGCCTTATCACAGAACAGATCTATTTGTAATTCAGCCAGATCAACTTCATTTTTTAAAAACAGAACTTGTAAAATAAACTTGGTCCTCAAGAGTATTTCCTTTCTAAACAGGCCATTTACTGTAGGTGCTGAAAGCTTGTAACTCTTCACATTGTACTTGTGGTTTTGAGATTAAGGAATAGCCTGAGTTTCCAAACTGTGTTTGATCAGAATGAATAATGGCATATAAAGAGTCCAGAGAGAGCTGTCAAAATATATTACTGAGGCTTAGCAGGATGCAAAATGCTAAGACATGAATACCAGCAATTTCACAGTGGAATAGAGGAGATAAAAATAGCTGGCAGAAAATCCCTTTGTTTCTTGGGAGCAATTTTTGAAACTAACCTGTAAAGGTACATGAAGAAACAGAGCAGATGAAAGCCCAGCTTAATCATGGCTTCTTTCATGTGTGATTTCAGTTGTCCTCGGTTATGGATCTCTGTGGGATCAAATACTCCCATGTTTCCACTTGGCACCATAATGTACCTGAAAGTTAAGGAATAAAAAAAGCAAAAACTAACAACAAACCCTGAAAATGTAATCACTGAAACACTAGGGAGTGTCAGGGCAAGAGGCAGGGGAAAGCTTGCCAAGAAGGGACTTTCATCTGAAGAGCCGTTTCACAATTCAAGGTAAGGGCGTTCTGGATATTGCAGCTATCTACAACCCACAAATAATAAGAGAACAAGAAGTACTAAAAGCATCAGCCCAACTTCCCATGTATAAATGAGATTCCAGGTAATAGCCAATTCCAGTTAATTTTAATTGCTGTTCACAGTTAGTTGCTGTCATGGGGAAAACGCCCACCCACAGTGTAAAGATACATTAGATGAAAGGGACTGGAAAGAACCCAATTTAACTAAGAATCAATACTTTGTGTAGCAAAAAAACCTCACAGAAATTCACAAACTCCAGTGGTTCACAATGAGATGGCATAAGCCAAGGCAAAGGATCTGTGCCGTTACTCCTGCCCTTGTCACAGCCATCCTGGGACACCTCAGCACAGACACTGAGGCCGACAGGATGAGTCAGGCAGAACTGAAGATGTCAAGTTCTGCTGTCTGAACCCACATGAGAACAAAAGTTGAGTGAAGCCAAGTGGAACATAAACCAAAGAAGCATAAAACCAGCAAACCACATGTTGATGTCCTGTGACAATTAAGCCAGCAGCATGTTCTCTTGTCGAAGAATTTCTTGAGGGAGCACATGAAGTTCTCACTCTAGCTGAGCTCAGGCTAGAATATCGCTTCCCTAAGCTACTACACAGGCTCTACCTTCCTGGAATCAGACTCTTTCTATGCAAAAATTTATCTCTGTCTTAAAGCTGGAGCAGAAACACGGTCTCAGAACAGAACACTTGGTCAGTTTTCTTAATTTACTCCATTGGCACCACTTGTAGTCCAAAAGGCACTTCCCCACATCTTATAACATTTATTTCCATAACAGGAGGGGAAGGAAAGGGAACAAGCAACAGGGAGATTTTCTAGCAACAGGACATTGGTAAAGAAAAAGTTCACCCCACAGTAATTGCCTGTCACAGAGGCACTGGAAAGCACTGCAGTGTATTTGACTAATACCAAAGACAGTTGTGTCCCATTAAAAACAGCTCATGTTAAATAATTCCAGTTTGAAATTCTCTCCTAAATTTGAAGTTTTGAATGGTTGTTCTGTTTTTAGTGTTGTAACACAAATTATTGTCCATTTCCTGTGAATGTAACACATTTTATTGGAATAATGTTTCCTGCACCAATTTATCCTAGAAACAGAATGCGTAATTTTCTTACATGTCTGGGATATGAGTGCCATAAAGACAGCATACATTAATTTTGCTTTTTTCAAAAATGGTGACACTTAAATGATGCAACTTAATTGCGTAAGCTGAGGCATTTCTTCCAAGAGGCCCACAAGGCAGGACAGCCTATATTCTATATCTGAGGAGCTGAGCCATGGATACAATGCTGCTGGATGCTGACAAACCCAGCTCAAGCCAGCTGTCATCCTCCACACAGCAAAAAAACTTCTGCAGCAAACAAGTGAACTGTCAGCTATAATAAATATACACATTAGTGCCTCCAGGATTTCAATTCAGTGGAAGCTGCTACCACAGCAACAGGACACTTCCCTCTAGATTTCCCAATTTTTAAAGGGATGTAGAAGTTCTGACCAGAATTTTCAGTGAATCGTAAAGATTTAAATTTTTTTTAGTTTTTTTTTTTACTCTTTCAGTTTTATCTTCTTACAGGCATGGCAAGAATCTCATGATTTGGACCTGTTCCTTAAGGAGATCTATATAAAAAAGAAGGAAAAAAAAGCTGAATGCTTCCTTTTTTTTAAAGTTTTAAAACAAGGAGAATGTAAGACAGAACTGTCTCACTGGGGACACTAAAAAATTAATCAGAAAAAGATTAAGTACCATGTGAGTGTGCAAAACAATAAGGGCCAGCAGGATGTTAAAATAAACATACTGCAAATTTTGAAGTCTCTCTTGATACTGTTTTTGACTAATTTATCCTTTCCAGGATTTGTTTCTGATACCCTTCCTGCACAAACCCTCTCTTCTCTCACTAAAATCCTTGAGAGAATTACTAAATTAAGCTAGTATTACCTGTAGCTGCTATGTAGTCAATTGGATTAAGGAGGTTTTAAAGTGAAGTGAATAAGGGGAATCCTACCTTTTCCTCTATCACTTACAGTGCAAAGCAGGGACGTCTTCAATCTCAACTGAATTATTTTGCTTCTGTATTTCTGACATAAATTTCCCCTCTTTTACTTTGAACCCATTACTCCTTGTGCTATCAATACAGTTCCTAATGAGCTGAAAATGCTAAACCCCACACTTGCTTTTTCAAGCCTCCAACTCCTTCACTAGAGATGGGATAGTCCAGGCTATTAATGTGGGATAAACTCCTCAATCCACAGAAATAAGGGAGGATTAGTGATACAGGCCTAATATTATGACTTATTGCCTACACTGCACATCTAAAATTAAGAAAACAATCCTGGATTTTAGGATATTCAGAATATTTATGCTATGTAGGACATATATAAAATGAGAGCTGTAAATACAAAAGAGTAATCAAAGCTTACTGCCTAATGTGTAAAAATAGAAATACCGCCACTTTTAAAACTCCCTCTGACCAGTTTTAGAAGGGAAAGCAAGTGGCTACGCTAAAAACTAACTTAAGTACACAAAATGAGCAAAGTGTTCAGCACAAGAAATTTTGACAGCTTCAAAGAAAACGTGTTGTCTGTGGTGTCTCAGCCTTGCCTAAATGAAACGTCAAATCCTAAGTTTGCCAGCAGAACCCAAACCAAATACTGGTCACTATAGGTACATAGGGAGGGGCAAACAAAACCAGGCAAAACCATGCCCTATGTGTGTGTATTTAGGCAACATTTATTTATTACGCATAAAGTTATACTGTCTCATGTTTCTCCAGCTTAGAAACACTTGGAAGGCTTTGCTGGCAGTTCTGTAGAAAATAAGGGTGATATTTATCCATATTTAAATAGCACAGCTATTTTGCCCAAGAACAATCAGGTTATCAGTACAGAAATCTTCAAATTTGTTTTAATAAGAACTGTGAAACTTCTTGTTTAATTCTACCAGGAACTCAACCCATCCCTGCAAACAGCCCTGGCAGGTTCAGGCAAACAAGAATTACAGCCAGCTTTCCATACCTGTACATGTGACATTTGGGCTTTTGGGTTCCCTCAGTATAGTGACTGGAGATAATTACTGACAAATCCACATCCAGTCTCCATCAGCTAAACACCAGGGAAGGGTCAATTCTCCACACACCAAATGATATCAGATAAAAAGAACATGGTTTAAACTGACAGTCCCAGTGTTGCTACATGGAAAGCCCCACTGGTAGCTAAACTATCTGCAAGGCTGGCAGCCCAGTCTAAAAGGAGCAGTAACACTGACAGCTGTCCTAGGGAGAAAAGGCTGCAAACCTTCCCAAATCCAAACCTGCAGGGTGAGTGGCCAAAACCAGCGCAGATGAGTGGAAGGCACAAGTCAGTAAATGAAGGAGGGTGCCACCACAGCCCAATGGTTTTACAACAATCAGCCATGCCAACCTAAGCACTTTTATGCTGATATCACTATCAAGAACAACATGAAAACATTATTAACTCTGTTTTCAGTGCTATTTCATAATCCAAATTATTCTGCTATCATTTCCTATGAATTTGGGAAAGACCCATAAATGGAGATTCCTGGGCACCAAAGAAGGCCAAGAAAGCAAGTGAAGGCCAAAAGTTTCGTGTCCTTTACACTGCTTGGTTTCTTGTCATTTTAATGAGAAGAAGTTATGTCAGTTTGATTAATGAAGGCTATTTGCAGCTCACACACCTGAAACATCTCACCATGACGTATTATTCATCTTTGTACTACACTTAAAGCTAAACTAGTAACAGTGCTAAGAAGAAACCCCACAGTCCCTTGAGCACTTACCTATAAATATTCCATGTGGCCACTGGCAGGTTAAGGAGGAAGATGAACCAGTGCAATGAAATAAGCATTAATACCGTGACAACTGCATGGCCAATCACCTCAGGCACCACCCACTGCAAAAGAGGGAAAGAGGAAAGAATTACACGCACAAATGTAAATTCCTTTATGGAAAAGACATCTAACCACGTAAAATCTGAAAAACTGACATCAGAGGCATGTGGTTCCATCACAGTGTGGACAAAATATGCATTATATATTATGAATACCTTCAGGCAGATTCTGCACAAGTAAGCATTGAGATACTGCAACAGGGGTGCTTTTTCCAAACATTTCTAGAGAGCAGCACAGTCTGAACACTACTACACAAGCATTCACGAAAGAGAACTGAGAAAGTATACAGAGCTCATCTGAAATCACTGCAGAGAACAGTGGGTTTAGGAATTCAGATAATTAAAACCTGCACGAACAGCCCCAGGCTTGGAACAGATAAGAAAGCTGATCAATTAAAAAACTGGTATCGTTAAACTGGGTCAGCCCCCGGCAATTACATGTTCTTGGCTTGACAGGATCCTGTACCATTCTCTCTCACATTAAGAAAAAATACATATAAATCAAAGTGAACACACACATGGAAAGGCCACATTGATTTAATGCTGAGTTTCAAGCAGATTCATTTAAAATGGTACTTTTGTGATAGAATTTGCTGAAAGATGGACATCCAAAAAAAGACAAGCAGGCTAAAATAAGGGATACATGCCAATCGCGGCTTCTCAGATACCCACCACACCCCAGTTATCTGCAATTCTCAGATGAAGGATGTGGTTTTCTAAAACCACAGCAAATGCAAAGAAGAACAATTTACTTTATTTAGCTTGGAGCAGCACGATCTAGCATTGATGTAGTCACATTCCAGATCTGATAGTGTGATTATCTGAAGTTTGGGATAAGGAAACACTGTATGGTAATTCAGAATACACAAAGCTTTAATTTTAGTCAATAAACTGGGGAGAACCCTCTGCTCTCAGCCTTCACTGCCTAGCTCTACGTTGCTCTATCAAAGGCATATTTCAATTAGTTACAACTCACTCCTATTTTAGATAGAAGGCATGGCTATATTTTATCATCAGGCCAAGTAATTTTATTATAAATTCCCAAGGGCAACTGTTGCACAAGTGCTAAAGTTCAGTTCAGCCCTTAAAACACACAAGGGAGGCAAACTCAGTACTTTGAGTATCAAAATGGTTACTACAACCCTTGAAACCAAAATTTAATTGGCAGGAAAAATTAATGCACTTTCAAACTCCACAAAATTGTGCAGTTTTAAGCAGCAAATCGACTTTTTTTTTTTTTTCAACATTTAAAACAACATTGAATTAATACTTTTCTATGAAATAATAGAGTAACATCATTCCTGAATGAACTTTCATACTGAAATATGAATATTCCAGACAGAAAAGTCCTCTCAAAAAAGGCTTAGGATGCACGTGTGAACCTCGCCATTCTGTCTTCTGTAGAGCTCATGGTTCTTTTCTCCAAGGAAATGAACGCTATGAGATCTTTCTCCTATTCCTAAAAGATGGGTAAAGGCTGTTCACTTTTCATCAAACAACTTATCCTTCTAGGACGAATTTTTTTCGAGTGCTTTTGCTAGAAGAACTGGGTAGACCCTGAAAAATCCCATCAGGATTGAAAGAATGTGAAAGCCAGCTCTCTTTTACTGAGAAAAGTAAAGAAAAGAAGTCAAAGCTGCGCCTTTACACTGCAACAACGCCAGCCAGCAAACACTGCGGACCAGCCTCTAACAAAAGAACGTGGAAATCCCGATTGCCGAGGAACTCGGAGCGCCACAGCTACGAGCACACACCTAACACAGAGCACGGCTTCCTCGCAATGAGAACACTGCTGGCCGCACTTTTTAGGCCCGAGTAGCTCCCGAGCACCACTGGCTCCTTGTGCCGCGCCCGTGTCTCCTCAGCCGCGGCCGCGTCGCCCGTGGAGCCGCAGCTCCGCGGAGCGAGCGCGCTCCGGGCGCCGAACGCGCGCCGCCGCCGCAGCCCCCGGGCCCCGCGGCCATGGCCCAGCACAGCAGCCCCCCCGCCCTCAGACCACCGGCCCCGCCGGCGCCTCAGCGGGCCCGGTCCGCCCCGGTGCCCCTCCCTGCCCACGCCGCGCCCCCCACGCCGGAGGAGCAGGATACGAAGTAGACGGAGAGGAAGATGAGGGCGCAGCAGTCGATCAGCGAGAAGATGAAGACCACCGACTCCATCCCGCCGCCGCGCCCGCCGCGCTCGGGCCCTCCCGGCCGCCGTAGGCACCGCCCCGCCCGGGCGGGCCCGCGCAGCGCGGCACGCTGGGAAATGGAGTTCCCTCTCAGGCGGGGTGGCGGCCATGCGGTGCCGGCCCGGCCGCGTCTCCGATCCCCGGCTGAAGCAGCGCATCAAGCAGGTACCACCCGCCCGCCGGGGCACCCTCGGCACCCTCGGCGCCCCCGGTACCACCGGCACCACCGCCAGCTGGCGGGGGATCGTGTATCCCCCTCTGGCTGAGGGGCCTTGAGCATCCGGCCCGCTCAGTAGCAGGAGAGGACCAAACCCCGGCCCCTGCCTCTGAGGGCTTTAGAAAAGCCTTAAAAAGGCTTTAGAAAAGTCTATTTGTTTATTTAATTTAATTTTCTCTATTTTTTTTTCTGTCATTCTTCTGTCCTCTTTAGTAGTCCTAGTCTTGAGGCTGGCTTCACATGTAAAATGAATTGGGCAAAATAAATATACTCGAAGTATTCATATATATATAGGTATATACGTGTATGTATATACATACAGACGGTGTGTATTTCTGTGTGTATATATATGCAGATATATGTATATATACAGGTATGTGTGTGTAAATATATGTGTATAAATGTGCATGTACATGTATGTATTTGGACCTTAGCAGGACCTTCTTCACAGAAAGGGTGACTAAACATTGGAAGGAGCTGCCCAAGGAGGTGGTGGAGTCACCATCCCTGGAGGTGTTTAACGAAAGACTGGATGTGGTACTCAGTGGACATGGTGACACAACTGGACTTGGTTGTGATCAGTCCTAGGTTGGACTTGATGATCTCAGTGCTTTTTTCCAACCTAAATGATCCTGCAGTTCTGTGATATTGGCAAATGCTGTTTGTGTTTGGAAATGTGTACAGTGATTTTATTGATTAGCTGAGAAAAGGGAAAAAGGGGATTACTTCCCAAATACATGTAGGAACAACAGGGAAAACTGTGATTCCTTCAAGTGGCACAGTGCTGTGTCACATCTTATGATAGTTCATAATGGCTTTGCACCTTGAACACCAGGTTTCTGAGCCTCTGTATAAGTGTACTCCACTTATAATTCCTTAAAATGAGACAGTGACTGCTCAAGGGAACTTGCTTGGTTTCATTCAGAAGGTCACATTGAATGTGGCTTGACTATTCCAAAGTGGAAAACCCAGCTGGGTTTATGCTAGCCTTGATGTTTCATGCAGGGCATGCCCATGGGTGATATGAAGTGTAAAATAATTTTAAAAGCTAAATATGTATTCAATTTAATTGTTTTGTATGGAGTTATTAATGTAAATGAGGGTTTGAAATCCTCCTTGCTGTGGCATTTGTGATACCAGATCTTTTAGGATGATTCTGTATTTTCTTCCTCTTTTTTTGAGAAGGAATTCATCTTTATGGTATCAAAAGTTCTTGCTGCTGATTTGGAGAGTGGGGGAAGAAAGCAAGTGGAGTACAATTGTACATGAATTTTAGTACATTTTCTCACGTTTGAAAATGGGTTGGATTAGCAGCTATCAGAGCAATAAAAAGGCTTGATAGAATTCACTTTATTAACATTGTTCTCTGTAGCATTCTCTGAAATGTCTTCTAAAGATTAAAGTTGTTCTTATGAGTATCCATGCTGATTCATATAGATAGTTTCATTTTGAGGGCAGGAGATCTAAACCAACAGGAGGATTACTGAGAGGAGCCAAGACAATAACATGGTGTGTGGGCTACAAAGTCAGCTTTCTTGCTAAATAAAAGTAACAGAGTTGGTTCAGCAGAAGTCATCAAAGCCCCCAAATGTAGGATGCTGCCTGTCCCCAGGAAGCAGAGCTCCTTGTAATCTGTGCTTTAATAAGCATTTCCCATTTCATTGGGAAATAGTGTCTAGTGTGTTGCAAGACAGTGATAAGCTGATTCTGATTTTCATTTCAACTTTTAAGGAGGGCAAAATTTAAAACAGGCATATTTGGTCAAGCTGTTCTGGTGAAGTGATTGACAAAGATTTTATTCCCTGCTTAAAATTCTTCATTTCAGTATCTTGCAAGTAGTAAATGTGGGCAGTATGTTGACATTGGAATTCTAGCATCTGATTTGCAGAAAACCTACAGGTGAGCCAAGATTTGTCTTCTTATATCCTGTGTTCAAAAATGTAGAATATATTAGTTTGTTCTTTTGCATTCATTATGGAAGTTATAATTTTCTTTATGTTTCCTTCATTACCAGTTGTTGAGGTTGATTGAAACAGTAAGATTGTTTCCCTCTGCTGATATATTTAATGACTCATATTTTATTAATTCATTGGTATGACAAGATCTAGTTGTGGTTTGGGCTTTTTGTGGGTTGATGCTTTTCTGTTTTAAATAAAAAGCTGCAGATTAATTGCAGCATGTTGGGGTTTACCCCAGTGAGTTTAAAATATGAGGGAAATAAGCACCTCAGTGCAGACATGGCGGGGGGAACAGAGGATCCAGTCAGACTAATACCTTGCTTGGTTCCTCAGCAGGATGATCATGTTTTTTGCCCAGGTAGTTTTTAATAGGAGCCTGTGTGGAAGCTTGGGAATCAACTTCCTATGTACTTTTTCCACTGGGAGTGATATTATGTTGAGGGAGAAATCAGTTGGTGTAACATGTTTATTTTGGTTTTTTTTTTCAGTGTAGATTATGGACGAAGAAAAAGAAATGCCTTTAGAATACAAGTTGCAAAAGGTAGATCTGTTAATATTGTGTCCAAGATGCCAAATTCTTTGATTATGCTTTGGCTGTTAATTCTTAACATAGTTGAACTTTTTCTTGCAGTGTTTGAAATAATCAGTAATGAAGAAGAACACAAAGATTTGGCAGTTTTAGAATCAGAACATGTGTCAAAAAGAGCAAGACAACAAGAGAAAAATGAGTAAGAATTTTTACCACTGGATTAATGATGCCATTGCTGTTAACATTTCTTTAAAGCTTTCTGTGTTTGGTATATTACATTTTGGTTGTTTCAGGGTTGCAGGTGGATCCTTGATTTCCCATAGGCTTGTCTTCTTCAGAAGTTACCTGCAGTTATTGGAAACTTTTTTGGTGCAGAAGACAAGCAGATATTAGACCCAGTCATGATTTCTCTGGTTTTGGGAACATACAGCCCTGAATTAGTGGACAACCTTATGGCTTCCTTGATAGTTTTCCACATAATGCCCTGTTCCTCATGTGTTTCAGTTCCTTTGTTTTGTTCTTAATCGTTCTAGGGTGTGAGAGGTACTGGCCACATGTGAGAGATAAGACTACCAGACAGGCTATTCAGAGTAAATCACCTGTGAGTTGTGTGAGGTGTGAGGTTGGAATGAAATTTTCTGACTCCTAACCCTGTCCATATTCTCATGGAGTGTTCTGTTTTCTGTAACCTGGGATAGATATTAAGGATCTCATGGGAAAGTAGGACACTTGTCAGAAGGCTCGGTCTGGATCAGCAGTGATTTGCTCCTATTTTCCTTGGTGAACTGAATCACAATGAACCTACATCACTTTTATATAGGTCTGTCTTTCAGACAGGTTGGCAAGTTGATCCAACTCATCACACACTTGGAAAGGATGCATTTTTTAACTTTTCATAGTAGAAGATTGAGAGCATGGGAGTCAGGAATTTCTCTCCAGCACTAGGCTACCTACTGTGATTATGGGGAACCACATTGTAGAAATCGCTTTTGTTTTACAGATGTCTCACTTGCAGTTCTGCTCTGATAAATTCATAGTTTTTGCCTTTCCTTCCCTGTTAAGGACTACTGGAAGTGGCACAGATGACTCTGACTATGATGATTATCCAGAAGATTTAGTAAGTTTTATTTTATTACGATTGTTTGTATTTGTATAATATATGATTCTGTGTTGTGAAATTGCGCTTGAAGAGTTTAAAAGGGGAGGTAGAGATAAGGTCTAGTCAGAGTTAGTAATTCCAACTGACAGTCTGTGCAGCTGGAAAGAGGCAGTTTTCTGAAGGAAAAAGAAGAACTTGTGGGGAATCACTTTTGGGAAGGGATTGAGAGCCTGAAGGACTTGCCTATCAAATGGATGAAGTGATTGAAGGAACTGACATCTCCAACTGCTGCCAAAAGAGGTGCTGTCCCATTACCAGGAGTCATTACAGGGTAACCTAAAAAGGCTGCTGCCCCTTCAGCCAGCACATGTAGGTTTATATGCAGTCATTTGGTTGGCAGAGGAGTGGGTTGGAAGATGCCTGTTTTCTCCAGCAGTGATAATGCTGAATTATGCTTATGAAATAGTTTTCATTGACCTCTGAATATAAACCAAGTTAAAACCTGTCCCACGTGTTTTCTTTACATATGTGTAAATCTGCAGTCTACAAATCAGATGAACAGTTCCCTGCTAAGCTTATACAAGAAAGGAAATCCTGATTCTGTTCCACCCACTCCAAAAAATGACCCAGTGGAGACGTCTCCTCGTGTGAGAACAGCACCTCAAACAAGCACCTTTGCGCCAGAATCCAGAGGTGAAAGACGAATCTCTGATGGTGGCTGGTTCATTGATAAAACTCCTGATGGGAAAGACTTCTTCATTGACCTTTCTGAGGATGGAGAAGGAGAGGAAACAAAGCTGATTTCTGAGGTACTTTGTGTTTCACAAACCCAAGGTGTTCTAAGTAGATGCATGCACAGAATTGCATTTCAAATATATTTTGTACAGAAGGTAGAAAGTCACCAAATAATGAGTTTCTTCCAGTAGTTCTCAGTATGAAGGAGGCTGAGATTAGTGCCCATACTGAGAGGAAGATGAGTGGAACATAGCTGTTGCTTATTGCATTTGCCAGTGACCAGCTTACCCGGTCTGTGGCTTGCTGCAGCCACAGCAGGTGGTCTTCCTTAGCCAATGTAAAGTCTTAGTGACCCTGGGGAAAACAGGAAACTTTTTTTTTTAATTTCTTTTATCCTGTAATAGTCCTTCTCTCACATGTACTTGTGTTAACACTGAATAACGTTTTCTTACACCCCCTTGTGACTTAATAGAAATAAAAATTATTTCCAATGGAGTAAATACATTCATATAGTTGTATTCATCCTCAAAGTAGATTCCTCCATGGCATGCAAATAAATGGTGTCTGATTTTGGTTATTAGTTTTGAAGGGGTTTGCTTGGTTTTGGTTTGGGTTTTTTTGCTCATTACTATGTTCTCTTAACAAAAAAAAGTGACTATTGTAATTAACCCATTTAAAAACAATGCAAATCCTAAGTACAAAAAAGAATTTTTGCAAAAAAGAAGGTGTAAGTACCTGCCTTACTTGTCTTTATTTATATAACTTGTGTAAGTTAAGCATCATAGACACACATTTTGTTCTTTTAACTTTGCAGAAGTTCACTGACTTGGAAGGTTTTGTGTATATAATTCTGGTTTGATGTCCTAGAAATCAACAGAATTTTCTGTCTTGGAGAGTGAAAGAAAGAAGACAAAGGGCAGGAGAGCAAAAAGAAAAAAAGGAGAATTTCAAGATGTAGATGGAGAAATTGAATCCATGTTACTTAAGAAAGGTGAGAGGTCATTTTTGGTGTGTTACTCCAAACAAAGAGATGGCTTTAAACCATGGAATCTGTTATCAGAGGAGTATTTTCTGATGTGCAGAGAAGTGACCCCAGGTAGATTTTGAAAGAAATTCAGCCCTAATGTTGTATTAGAAAAATATTGCAGTCCTGTGTCTGCTACTAAAAAATAATATTACTCTGTGTGGTTATCTGTTTGTTTAGGCTGAGTGCATTTTGTTTAGTATTAGCAAGTATATTTATACCATGGCTAAATTTGTGTCTTTTCCTCCTTAACAGTGAGAAATAAGGGGTCAGAGCTTTACCACCCTTCAGTGAAGTTTGAAGATGTTGGAGGCAATGATGAAACATTAAAGGTTAGTTAAAATTTTATTGGTGGGCTATAGGATGCACTGAATAAAATGTGTTATGAAAAATGTCAGAGAAGAAATATTGCAGAGCTCATCTTCATGGCATTGAGCAAAGCTGCTTATAACAACAGCAAGGTTGTTGTTTTTTCTCTGAGTAATCTTTCTGTAAGCTGTCATTGAATTCAGATTGTTACACAGAACTTGTTTTACTTTGCCCTGTCTATAAGAATAGCAAATACTTATTTCTGCAATTTAAATGGAGATTTCTCGTGTTTTTAACAGGAAATCTGCAAGATGCTCCTTCACATCCGTCATCCTGAGGTCTACACCCACTTGGGAGTTGTTCCACCTCGGGGCTTTCTTTTACATGGGCCACCAGGATGTGGGAAGACACTGCTGGCACAGGCAATTGCTGGGGTGAGATGGCTTCACATTTACAGCTTCTTCCTTTTCTGAGTTGCTTTTAGAGAGAAAGAGAATAATCTTCTTTCAGAACAGACTAGAGCTTTTCATTTTAGCCATCCGATGATAGTCTGAAATATGTTAATCTTTACTTCCTTTGTTTGAATTCCATCTGAATCTTTACTTGATAGAACCTCATACATAGAGTCATAGTGACAAGGTTTTATGTGTGATTTAACTGTTTGGCAATATAGTCACAGGTGTTTTGAGAAGGGTATAAACGAAAGATAATTTTGGCTAAATTACCATACTGTTTCAAGTCTAGACTCAACTTTACCACCTTTTATGAGGCATGACATTAATTCTGTTGGGTGACACCTGTTGAACAGCTGATTTCTGAATTCCAGGACTGGATCTTGCCTGTGTCATATTGATGTTTTCAGAGCACATGACACTACTGGTGTTAATAGTTTGTGGTGATGGTGAAGCTCTGCCACTGTTCTTGTTTTGCATATAAATCTAAGGACTTTTAAGGGCTCTCAGTGATAACAATGGACATTTCTTTTTCTTTAATACAGTTGCTCCTTAAATGATACTGATTATAACCTTAGATTTAGATGTGTGTAAATTACTGACTTCTGTAGTGCAGATAAGGAAAATACTGATATTTATTTCTGAAATGTTGGTTACACCCTTCTGTCATTGTTTCAGATGTTTTAATTAGGAAGATTTAGATGGTTTCTTTCTAATACCTTATTGTAGAGTGAAGCCCTTTGAATAATTTGATATTTAATGCTTCAGTAAGTATTTGTATGCTGGAAGGGTACTACATTTGAGGAAAGAAGCATGTCACAAGTGAAAATCTTTGAGATGAAATAAATTTAATGACTGCTTCTTAAATAGTCTTTTTCTTAAATAAGAGATTTTCAGTAGTGCTCTTTTAGGCAAATTACCTTCTTTGAGCACCAAAGGGTCTCTGGTGTCCTTGAGTTGCATAGATTAGGGTTCACTCTCTTTTATATGTTAATTTAGGAATAGTTTTCTTTTGTATGTAATTCCAAGACCTTGAAATAGGCTGCACCAACCTGTAGCCCTAGTGTGCTACAGTCTATTAAAGTTGCAGTTCTATTTATTTATTCTTAATAGCAGAAAACTTTGAGTGTGAGCTTTACAAGTGTCTTACTATACAATCCTACACAGATATTTCTGGAACAGACTCTGGGAACCAAACCCAGCGGGGAATACCTTCCAGACTGCTAAGCAATGCTTTGGTGCCCATTTTAAGTTGGAGGATGCTCCTTATCTTTTTAAAAAATTCCTAAAGATTTAGTCTTGAATATGTAATTTGTAGGCTTAAAAGATGTGATATTGAAAAATATTTGTCCTCAAGGCAGCCAGCATTTCTAACCTCTGCATATATTAAAAAATGTTCCTTGTTTCTTCCAGGAGCTTGAGCTCCCTATGTTGAAGGTGGCAGCGACAGAGATTGTGTCTGGAGTGTCAGGGGAATCTGAGCAGAAACTGAGGGAACTGTTTGAGCAAGCTGTGGTAAGACACCCACTGGAAATAGCTCTGTGAATTATTTGTCTTTTTCTTTGTAAAGATTCATACTTTGTTGTTGTGGTTTGAATTTGAGTAAATGTGAGTGAGTGAATCTTTATCCTGCTACACACATGGGTTGTCTCCCCTTCTGTGACCAGAATTCCATTGTACTGTCATGATGTCACAGAGCACAAAGCTTACTGTTCTGAAGCCTTGACAAAAGATTGTTCATCATAGCATTGTAAAAAGAGCAACATAAATTATTTACATATTTAGATCTGCTTGGCTTGATATATAAAAGAAAAAAATGAAGAGCAGTTCATTGTGCTTTTTTGTTACAAGAGGTTTTTGCTAATTTTGTATGGCATGGAATATGAGTGAATGTGAGAGATTTTAGGCTTTGGCAGTCCTTTTGGTGAAAAGCAGGAAATCTGGAACAAATATGATAAGAGCAGGAGAAAAGTGGAAAGTAAAGTCTTGCTTTGGTGTGACTTCTGGAAGCAAAGAGATCGAGATAGGTTGAGATAATTTTAATTTAGAGAAATGCAGATGTTTCTGATTCTTAGTATGGAGCTGATTTGTTATTTCATGAGGTCAGTTTTCTGTTCCTGACCTCTGAGAATGTTCTCACTTTATTTCATTTTTCTACTCTCCCCTGAAACTGTATGTAGGTATTTAGAGTATGCCCCTAAACAGGGCAAAAAGGTTGATTGCAAAGCTGCTTGTTATGTTTCCTGTTCATATAAATTTTAATTTTTGGAGAGCCTTGTTAAGAAGTTGTTTAGAATAAAATTGCATAGGTTATGGCAAGCAAGGAGTCTTTAGAAATTACATATGTTTTGTATGTGTAGTGATCAAGGGGAGGTTGCTCCAAATTACTGTTTCAGAAATAACATCTATGGCATAAAATATGTCTAAAATAAGATCTCTTGCCTTTCTGATAGTCTCTTACGCTCCCTTAAGTAGTTTTCCCACTTAGTTTTCGCAGCAGGTTTCGTGCAGGGGAAAAGACGATTCCTCGTTATTTGTGTGCTGTGGAGTTTTTGGGGCCTTTCCCCCTCTGTCACAGCGGGAAAGGGAATGACCACGAGATGGCGCAGCCGGTGCCTGGGAACACCCAGTGCGGGTTTTGTACTTGGGACATTTTTGGAACAAGATTCCACTGTTTTCCTTGAGTTTTCCTTTGCACTACTTGGCCTTTTCGGGAATATTAATGATCTTACATCAGCTAAGCACCGTTATATTAGTTACACGAATTATTAATCTGTGTTATTGTTGGCCTTTGATGAAGTTCATGGGATTTTAGAACACTTGTGGGAGTTTCTCACTGCTCGTTTTTACTCTTCGAACATGGTCGAGCTCTCTAGTAGCCTTGAATTTCCATGACCACCTACTGCTCCTTTTGTTTCATTCTGTGTGTCAATAATCCTACTCTTGAAATTCCACAGCTCTAATGTCACTAACAGAACAAACAACAAACCAAACCAGACCTTTCTTGTGTGCTTTTCGTTCATGGAATTCAGCAGGCAGTCACAATGGAATATTTAGGGAAAACGTAAGGCTACACAGAGGTATATTTAAATTTTAGACAGTGTGTAGAGACATTTTGAATCTCGTGCCTTAATTACTCCATAGCTTCAGATCAGTGAAGTTTCATAGTCTGATGGCTCTCCAGATTGTCTGCAAGAACAGCAGAATTTTTCCAGGACTTGATTGTACAGCAAATTTACAGTAAGGGTTACAGATCAGAAGACCTGAAACATTTCTTTCTTGTAATACACCCTGCCAGTGTGATTTTGTAATTACGAATCTTTCTTGTTCCTTAGTCTAGTGCTCCATGTGTCCTTTTCATTGACGAGATCGATGCGATCACCCCAAAGAGAGAAGTCGCATCGAAGGACATGGAGCGGAGGATTGTAGCTCAGTTCCTGACTTGTATGGATGGTGAGTTTCAGGAGCAGCTGTGCTAAAACCAGATTATAATTATCAGCCTCACTGTCTGCTTCCCTTCAGTAGTGATTTCTGCTTACTTTAGAGGAGGTAGTGGCAAGAATTTTTCTTATTTTGATAAAGTTTGCCTGGGGAGTGGTGGGAAGATCATAATAAATATGAAGGGGTGTTACTACAATATTTTGACAGTGGTTTGTCAGATTATATAAGCCTGTCTATTGTATAAACAGAAATAATGGGGGAACCTGTTAATTAATAATTAATGTAGCTGTTAATTTTTAAATTTTTGCTTGATGACATTGCAAAATGTAAGTTTTAGGTAGTAGAGACAGAGATGAGCAGCAGTTCAGTCTGACTGTTGATTAGTTTATCTCTGCTGACTACTATCATGTGCTGCAGAAACAAGAGTCCCACAGATATGGGAACCAAGTTTGACAGTGAGTATGAGTACTGACTTCCTTCATTCTTTCCCTTAGACTTGAATAATGTGGCTGCCACTACCCAGGTCCTTGTTATTGGAGCAACAAACAGACCTGACTCCCTGGACCCTGCACTGAGGAGAGCTGGGAGATTTGACAGAGAAATTTGTTTAGGGATCCCAGATGAAGGGGCAAGAGAGAAGTATGTGTTGTAAAGTAAAACTTCCATTTTGATATGTTGATAAAGAAAATAATGTGTAAGTTAACATACAAATGAAGGAAAAGTACTTCATTGTGTTTAGTTCTATTTGTACCTGAACACACCTGTGGGTCAGCACACACTGAAAAGTTGCAGAAGGCATTAAGTGAGCACCTATTTGTCTTGTTTGCTGTGCCTACATTTGGAGTAACTTCCCTTCTTGTGTGTAGAACTGCTTTTAACATTATGTTAATGGCTTTCCAAGTGCCTTAACAGTACAGATGATGGAGTCAAATGTATCTTTTATGTATCAGGAAGTTAACATTCTGTCTTTGGTGCTCCCTATGTAACTGTTAAATTAGGAACATAAATTAAGTAAAGCCCATTTGTACCTTAAGCAGCAAGCCTGGATTCTTCCATTCCTTTCCTCATGGAAACATACCAGTCCAGGCGTTAAGCTGAGCTGCAGTCATCCTGCGTTGTGTAACTGTCCCTTTTTACTTCAAAGATCTGTGACTATCAGACTAAGTTAAAAGAAATAAATCTATTTTTGCATTTTTAATTAAAAAGGAACTGCTACTCATTTCCTCAACAGCAAAAAACATGGGAAAGGAAGCTTGAAAAACGTACAGCTTATCTTGTTATGGAAAGGAAAGAAATGTTAAAGGATAAATTTCTTCTTATTCTCAAATAATCTTACTTTTAAGTTGGAGAGGCAAGCGCTTCTGCTTGCAGTATTGCCCACTTTGCGTTGTCAGCACTCAGGCCATTACTCCGCCCTAGGATTTTTCCCCTCTTTTGGCCATACCTCCATTTATTTTTTTCCTCCTCCCTCCCTTCTTCCTCCAGATTTACTGCCCTGTAATAATTATGTTCCTCTTGGCTGTGAGCAAGACATGCAGATGGTTAGAGGTAGAACTAACGAGTCACCTGAGGAGAGTTGTGATTGTCTGATAGTTCCTAGGAACATGTTAAAATGATGATATTCCCAGAAATAGCATGGTGCCAAAGGACGGGAGCTGTGAATGTCAGAGCCATCACAGGTTCCAGTGGAATCACAGGCATTCATATTATTGTTTGCTTGTATTTGTGTTCCTGGAGGTGTGGGCTTCAGGGACTGATGATTTTCTTTTTAAAATTCTTCCCTTCTGCTGCTTTCTGTTTAGTTTTGTGGAAGGCATGGTGGTGTTGGTTTGTTCCTTTATTATAAAATGAAGGGGTTGCATAGGCCTTATAAGTCCTCACAGTGTGCTGATTTAGTGTGTTAGTCTTGCTGAGGGCAAGGTTTGAGCTGTGTAGTTGTGGTTCTGCAGCCTTAAGGGGTGCAGTGAGATGAGAAAAGGCACCTGGAGATCTTGCTTTACCTTGTGTTTTCTTGTGCAAATTCAGAATGGGCCATTTGTAGTTCTGAACTGTTTACACTTTGACTCAATTGATTAACTACAGGTCTTGTCAGACAGGTTGAAAAAATCTTGAGAAACAGGCTGTTATCCCTAATAAAGATTGAAAGGAGAGATGGTGGAACTTGCTAGTGGGGAGGAAAACAGATTAAATATATTATAATTTTAGAGTTTTGAAGAGTTTAATCACTTAGTTTTTTCATAACTTTTCTGTAGTTGCATTGATCTGGAAATAATTTGAAGTAGATTTTATTGGAACTAGAAGTATGTTACTGATCTGGACTTCTTTGGTTTCTGCTGCCTTTTAAAAATATTTTGCCAATTAACTGCTATTTTGCTGTTGTATTCGTTTATTCTGCTTTCAGTGGTCAGGGTAAGATACTGAAGATTAAACCTTCACACAGTCTGATTTCATTTGCTTCTTGCAGAATACCTTGTTGTGGATGTTCTTCAATAAATAAATTTTTAAGAAGCAGCATGGAACAGACAGTGCAGGCTTAGGTTGTTAGGAATACAAGGTTAAATGTATCAGTGAATAATTCGTCTGTATCTCTATGGTACTCTGAGACCTAGCCTGTCAGTTTTGAATATAAATTAGGGTTGAAAGGTGACCTTTAATATTTTGGTCACCAAAACCACCGATAATGCCTGGTCAATGGTGTTGGTTTTTGTTTAAGAAGTGACAGGAAGTTTATAGCACAGTTCTGTGGGTTTCAGTGTTGGTTACTTCCTACTTGAGCAAAAGCTTCCCACTGTGCTCCTTCAGTTCATGTGGACTGAACGAGATCTTAAATACTGTTTGTTTTCATATGGAAAAAAAAAAAAAAGTAACAGCTTTTTGTTCAGCTTTATATTTTTGGTTTTTTTCCCTTTCTTGGTTAGAATTCTTCAGACTTTGTGTCGAAAACTGAAGCTCCCAGAGTCGTTTGAATTCCGTCATTTAGCACGGCTGACTCCGGGCTATGTGGGGGCTGATCTGATGGCCCTGTGCCGTGAGGCAGCGGTGGGCACAGTCAACAGGGTCCTGATAACATCTGAGGAGCACGGCAGGAAGCACACACACTCTGCTGGGAACACAGTTGAAGGAAGCCCGGGAATAGGAACGAATGTCCTGGTGGAAGAGGGCACCAACCAACCAGAGCTTCCACCTAAGGTATGTGTTCCTTGAAGCATGTGTTTTTAACATCTGAAGAGTTGAGCCATTTTAGAGTTATGAAAGTCATTAATCATAAATTCTCAAACATCCACAGCCAACCTAATATTATATTTAGATTTAGAAATCACAGCTTCTAAGGCATTTCCTAATGACCCATTAGGAATGGGTCAAACCATTCAATGATTGGTTCCATTCAATGGAATCCCAAACCCCAGTCCTCCTAAAAGTTATGTTCATGTTTTATACAAGGTGTGTTTTTTTCCCTGGGATTTTTGGATTTTTTATTCTGTGTTGTTTTGTCTTCTAGCAGAGCGGAGTTTCAAAGTTGGCTGTATCTCTCTTCAAAAGTGTATTGCTTGTAACAGAATTTTAAAAGTATCAGACTTGCACTGAATATTTTGTACCAGCTTTTTGCTGTGCCCTCAGTGAAATGTCTGTGAGGGCCTGGGGCTCTTCCATGACCTGGTAGGGTTACAGTAAGCCAAAGTCTAAAAGTATTTATGCAGCCTTTGTTTGCCTTCCAGCTATGTGTTTACTTGAGGTAAGTCATATGTGGTGTCTAGTACCTGGTTTGAGGAAGAGAGGAGCTGTTAATGTGCAGCACAACTGGAACTCTGTTGCAGAAAATAGTATTTCAAGGGCCAGAATTATTTACTGGCCTAAGTAACATGAAGGTTAGTGAAGCAGAGCAACTTCATATAGAAATCTTTGGTCCTGCTTCTCAAAATTTGGAGTCTGTATATGCCTTCATTATGTGTGGGCCTCTTAAAGATTTGTCAGGAGATAAGTGGGCTTAAATGCATATTGTGCTCAGGTTCTGTTTTTAGGAGGGCTGTCAAAGAGCAGTGTTGCTGTGATGACAAAAATCAGTGTAGAAAGCTGTAGTAAGCCTTTGTATTAGTATAACATAAGCATGGTGCTCATACCTCCCAGTGCTTCCTGGGGCCTGCTGTAGCCAAAAGAAGGTGGGGAGTGGAAGCTAGTTCCAGCTTTTATCAACATCACCGTGATCAAAGGGGTCATTGAGAATGAGGAAGTCTAATCCTAACAAAGCCATGTTTTGATAGCTGGCAGGAGGTTGACATAGTCTAATACAGGGTATTGTCATTAAAACCCTTGTATTATATTTATAATGGAAAAATAAACATACAAAACCTTTAAAAATCATTCACACAATTCAAGTAAACAAACACAGTGGTCTTGGCTATTTCAGAGTTTCTCTCAATGGCTCTTGAAGAGGAGGGAGGACTTAAAAGGAATATCAGGCATTCTAAGCACTTGTATTTCTTTGTGGTCAGTTGTAGAGCTGTCCTAGCTGAAATTGGTAGGAAGTGGTACTTTTTCTTTATACTCTTGTAGAAAAAATGTTGAAAGTTAAAAAGAGTTTTTACATTTATTTTTTCTCTCTCTATCTTATAATGGAAGTCAGTTTTACTTGTAGTGCAGTATCAGTTTGCTTTGATGCTGCCTTTCTATATTCGAATGGGGATGTATTTATGTTGTGAAGATCTGAAGTTCTTTGATGGAGTGTTTTCTCAGTTCCCAATATGGAAGTGATTGGAGAAATTGGAATATACCTCCCTTGGTCACTGTGGTCTGCAACATGGGCCAGTGCAAGAAAGTATCACCCTGCTTCTCTGTCCTGTTTGCCCAAACTTTTGTCAGGGCCTGATTCAAGAATAAGGTCTAACCAGGTTGAGGAAATGAGTTGTCTTGAAATAAGATGATGTTAAATAAAAGTGGATGTTCTAGAAGTGTGTTAAGAGTTTTATATTCAGTTTATACAAAACTGAATATTCTGCAAATTGTTGGAATTGTGCTGTCCAGCAATTTTTCACTTTCTCTTGAAAGCAGTTTCTTGTTAAAAGTAGAATTAATACATATAAATACATATTTTGGAAATTTCAGCGTGGAAATAGCTTTCTCCAAGTCAATGTGGGAGAAGCAGTAGGAAGAACTAGAAGGCAAAATACATGTGCTAGCTCATTTTCTGTATCATCTAAATCAAGATTTTAGGCTCAGCTCACTGCTTTCAAACCTGTTAAATGTACACGGAGCTTCCCTGAAATATTTTTATCACTAATAGTAATTTACATATTTTATGTCTATTGTACATAATAATGTGATTGATAGTTGAATTATGGCTTTGAAAAAGCCCTTTAAACGGCTCTGATTGTCTAACCCAGTTGCATAATCTTTTTCTCTCACTTTCCATGTACCTTAAGGATGAATTGCAGAGACTTTTGGATTTACTGAAGGAGCAAGCCCCCTTGCCTGAGGAGCAGCTGCAGAAGCTGTGCATTGAGATGAATGATTTCATTGTTGCACTGTCATCCGTGCAGCCCTCTGCCAAGAGAGAAGGCTTTGTCACAATTCCTGATGTGACATGGGCAGACATCGGAGCCCTGGAGGATGTTCGGGAGGAGCTGACTATGGCAATATTGGTATGTCCTAACCTTACTTCCAAAGAGCTTTTGCACTCCCCCCCATGCAGGAAATAAAAATGTTTGTTTTCAGTATTTATTTAAGGTATAGAGGTATTTTTCAATATCTTTATTTAAAACAGTCAAGTTTATATAATTCACTTCAGAATTTGGTTCAAGTCTGGTGTTTGTATTTAATATTTTGTTTTTTGTATTCATGCTTTCAATGTGTATTGCTCAATCTTTAAGTATTCTGAAAGTTGTGTACCAATAACCTTGGTTATGCAACTGCCACACAAAGAATTGAGAACTACTTAGCTGGAAGCTTAGCAATCATGCTGCTAATCAGAGGGAAACTTAACCTTAGCACTTTTAGGTAACTTTGGTGAATAAAATATTTTCCTTTTAATAAGGATATTTCTCCCATTTAGGGGTAATTAGCAGTGCAAGATATTAAGGTGCTGATTGAATATCTATTCTTTTAGTCTATAAAAAAAATTGGAAAAAAGAACTTGCTATGAATAATTTTCTGTAGCTAAAATGCAAAGTTTCATGTTTTCTTTATGCCAGAGATAACAATGATAATTTCTTTTTAGGCACCTGTGCGAAACCCAGAGCAGTTTAAAGCTCTGGGCCTGACTACTCCAGCTGGTGTCCTGCTTGCAGGTCCTCCAGGGTGTGGCAAAACACTATTAGCTAAGGTAATGCATTTTCTAAACATCATTAAAGACACTGGAGAATCTTTTTGAAATTGATGTTTTTGCAGGATGAGTCTGGATCATAGTGTAAGAAGTTGGACTTTTGCACCACATCTCATCAGAAAATTAAATTTAGGCCTTTGTGCTGAAGTGATTTGATTTTTCTTGCATAAAGTTACAACTTTGCATGAATGGAGAGGGAATTCCTGCAAAACTTGAAGGAATGAAGTTGGTTAAGGAAAAAGTAGCAAAGATGAGAAGAAACTCTTGGATAACCACTCCATGGGATATTTTACTGTAACTAAATTATATGTTTGGGAGTACTCTGCAATTCTTACTGAAAATACTTCTGTTTTCCTTCTTGAGCATTTCAGTTCTTAAGGCATCTCCACATAAATGCAGATAATTGTGCAAATTTCAGATTGTTTCTCATTTTGTCTTCAGATGCTCCTACAGAGTTGAGTATCTCTTTAACTCCCATAGTTACTGGACATTCTTCAGCTGGTGAGGGGGGGATGGGTTGTGAATCTGGAGCTGCCTCGTCAGAGAGAGAGAATACATTGCTAAATTCCCTGCTCCCCTCCCACTCTTAATTGCATATAATTATACTTTGTACTGTTTTCTATATTTTGGGAACAGTTGCTAACTATGTTCCTTCCCTGATATTTGTTTATCAGTCCGTGGACAGAACCCAAGCAGACATGATAAATGTGTGTTTTATATCTATATCTATATCTATATAATCTATCTGGTTTTACCTTTTTCACAGGCGGTGGCAAACGAGTCTGGACTGAACTTCATATCTGTGAAAGGTCCTGAGCTGCTAAATATGGTATGTGCTGATCATGGGGCTTTTGTTATTTATGGAATTCTTGTCCAAAATGTGGGGCAAGCAAAATTCCTGGTAATTACACAACTGGTACTGGTGCAGCTGAAGTTGCTTTATTTAACCTCTCCTTAAAGTTTTTAGCAGTGAAGTTGTTCATGTGAAAAGAAAAAAGTCACCTGTGTAGCTTAAATACTTATATTAATTTAAATTACCTGGCAGGTAAACCTTCTTGACTTGAAGAGTTTCTGAATGACCAGCTGCATACATCACTGCTTTTCTGTAGCATGGAGGTTTTAAATGTCAACAGATAAAAGTGCTGTAGTTCAAATTATTGAAGCACTGGACTTAGGAGTGCTGTGATGTAACTTCAGTCCCTTTCAGAGTCAAGAGAATGTGCTGAACTGAGTAAGGTGGCTGCAGCTCCCACCTGGGGAGGCCTTTATCAGTAACGTGGAAGCTGAAACCCACGTACTGGATTTGATTGATCTCTTCCCAGACATTTTTATATGCCTACTTCAAGTACTGATACAGGCAGGAAATACAACACTTAAGTTAATGAGGAGCCAAACTTCACTGTGGAATAGGGAGAAAAAGGTTGGGTGTGGTTCAGAAACTGTTTTAACATACAAATTATATCAAAACATGTTTGTTTGGAAGAAATTAAGTGTTTGCATTTACAACTTCACAGCCCCTGTTCCTGCAATTCAGCATTCAAAGTGAAATTCTGGCTGACTTTTCAGTTCCCTACCATCAAGCTCCTGTCTTCCGGCAGCAACTCTATGAACTTCAGATATTCATTGTGTTCACATTGCTCACTGGGTTTGTTTAGGAACAGCTGAACAACAGGGTCCTTAATTAAGACTGTATTTGTTAATTCTCATCACCAAAATGGTGGCAAGTTAGAGTTATTGCCCAGAAAAAAGGAATTACTTTAAACTCTGAATGTACTGCGAATTGTCAAAAGTCAGCTACTGACAGTTTCCATGTAAATTATGATCAGTAAGGAAACAGATAAGAGACAGTTGTCAGAAAAAACCAGATGATAGGGTTGCATTTCTCCCTTGCAAAGTACTTTAAATAGTGTTTAAAACTATTGATTTTTTTCCAAGCAAAATCTTAATGTCTTACATAGTTTAAATGTTGTTTCTCTTATTTCTTTAGTATGTTGGTGAAAGTGAACGTGCTGTACGCCAGGTGTTCCAGCGTGCCAGGAATTCAGCCCCCTGTGTTATATTCTTTGATGAAGTTGATGCTTTGTGTCCTCGGAGGTCTGACCGTGAAGTGAGTCTACCTTGAGATATCTCCACAAATAAATACTCTCAGTCACAGCTTTTGGGACATTGCAGACAACAAAAGTACCCAGAAGGGTATCTCCCAAGAAAAGCAGTCCACTAGGCTTTTATTTGAGGGAATATATGTTGGTCAAGTTTTATAAAGCTTAATACTTTTTTCGTATGAATGTATAGACAAAATATCCAGAGAAATTCAGGTTAAGCTATTGAGTTTGGTTATAGGATGTCAGTACTATGGAATTACCAGTTACCTCTCAGTAGGTCACCTGCTTAAAATGTTGTTTCAGAGGTTTCAATATTTAAGGACTCTTTCCCCTCAAAAAACTGAATATTGAGAAATTTTGTGTGTTTTTGTTGAGGTAGATATCAGAATGACTAGTACAAGTATTTATATTACTACTTTAACTGAGTCCTTTAGTTTTGATGGGAAAGGTTTGCCATGTGTTAAAATACGGTTAAAATACGTAGGAAGCATGAATTTGGGATGGAGACATACTAAGAATATGAGAGAAGCAATCCACAATGCAACTACATTGAAAGTGTGAAAAAGAAACTTTTCCTTTGAGTAATATTTCAGTGCAGGGAGTTAGTAGATCTTTTGTTTCTTTTACCTTGAAATACTCACATTCCCACTGTTTCTTTGATTTTGTTGACAAACTTCTCCTTCCAAAGTCAGGAGCCAGTGTGCGGGTAGTGAACCAGCTTCTCACAGAGATGGATGGGCTGGAGAATCGGCAGCAAGTTTTCATTATGGCTGCTACAAACAGGCCAGGTAAGGACCCAGAATTCAGAAACAAGAAATCAGATGTCCTTGGTTCTCTTTTAGCAAAACCGTGTGTTCCTAAATATTTGAATTCTGTAACTAAGCCTGTTCTGTGCTTAAAATTGCAGTGTCTGCTCAAATCCAAAGCTTTTCTGATCAGTTAATCTGTTCCTTGTTCATGTGGTATTGTGAGATGGCAATCTCTTTGAAAATGTTTCTTACTTAGCACCTGGTACCATTGCTGTTTTAATGCTTTGAAAGACCTTTGTCTGCTGTGAATTATCTCCTTGCAATATATAAGCAGAAAAGAGACCTAAAATATATTTTTTTTCCTTTTTTGCTGCTTAAATTGATTTTCTATCCAAAGCAGCCTTATAGTTTTCTGCTATCTTTTTTTTTTTTTTGTCTTAAGACATCTGTCTCATGTTAAGTCATTTTTCCATTTGCTTATCTTTTGCTTCCTGGGCTCTATGTTCCATGCTAGACTCTGCTTGGAACAGTTACTCTCCTATTCCTTGACGTTCTGTCCAGCTTCGATATTGACAGCTGTCTATGCTCCCTTGCTGACTCTTACAGTTTTTGGTAGCTCTTGCAATTCCAGCAGCATCTTCTCAGTTAATAAGCTACACACTGATGTCTGCTTTACAAACATCATCAGAGATAGAAAGACAGCTTTCCATCTGTTTTTTGGTTTGTTTTGTATTATGGAGAAGTCTTGTGTTTTATACATAGCAAAAAACTTGTCTTTCCGGAATTTGAATTCCACATAGAAGCTGTGGGTTGTAAATAAAGGAATTTGTTGTCAGTTTAGAAAGAAACAAGTGTGAAGGTGTTGCACTTCCTTGGTTATGAGCATTTTTCTGAACATTGCAACTGAAATGAAATACAGGGTTACATGTCTGTCTTGGTAAAACCATACTGGTGTGGGTACCGGAATTCTGGAAAGAACTTTTGCACCTAGAAAAGGTATTTGGCAAATTCCTGCTTACAGTGAGACACAATTATTTGTTACCTGCATGTATTAAGTAAGGACAAGATGCCGAGTTTTGCTGAGAAGTGACTTAACAGGAAAAATAGTAGCATGGCTATTTTGGATATAATTTGGAAGATGAGAAAGTTAAAATACTTGACATTGCTTGTGTTCTATAAATTAAGAAATATTTGGTCTGAAATCATCTATAATAGGCATGAGGTGGGTTTTTTTTTCCAATGGTCAAAACCTTCAAAGATTTGGAGGAAGATCTATGTCTCGAATTCTTTGCACCATGACAGAGTTTCAAACCTTCTACATGATAAAGTATGAGCAGTAGGGCTTAAATCTCTACCTGCTTGTACAAATTCTTTGACTTAAAGTGACAGGTTTTCCTGGCATGAGCTTGCTGGTCCTGAGCTATCTAATGCAGTGCAGAATAGAAAATAAAGGCTGTGCTATGTATAGATGCAGTTGGATGTACCAAGAGTGTTTGTGGCAGTGTCATCAAGTTGCCTTAGGAAAGAGATCTCTCCCTAAATTAGTTGCACTGTTGCAAGCATTTGTGTCAAGCAGCCCTATTTGGAAGTGTTTCTCAAGGGCTTCTTACCTAATTACTGACTTCTTGTTATCTCTGCCTGGTAGCTTGGGCTGGGAATTCCAGCACTTTAAAAGTGAGGACACATCCAGCTGTACTTCCTGCAGTGCCTCCTCAGCCGGTTGGGCATGGGGCTGATCCTTTTTTGGGCTGCTCTGTGTCAGTGTTCTGAGCTAAGGATTCCTCTCATGGAGGCAGCTGAGTGCAAGCACTCCAGCAGCTTCACCAGGGCCAGATTAGGGTAAATATTGCTCAGATGTTAATTTCAAAATATAAATACTTATGTGTAGCAGGTTTGTCCCAATTCCTTGATTTAGATTTATACTGATTCAGTGCTTGCTTGCAGGTCTGATTTTCATGCATATGTGAAATAGACACCTGTTCAGTTGTTAATTTCCCTCTCTATAAGCCTTCTACTAGGTGCATTTTTACCCTTATGTGGTTAGAAAGTACCTCTGGAATGGCTTGGGGATCTTTTTTTTTTTTTCCCCCATTCAGTTTTAAAAAGTCACTATTGCCTTTTTCAGCTGCAGTAGCAGATGTACTGTTTGACCATACAGGAATAGTTAAAATTACAAAACTTTACCAAATAATGAGGTTTGGGCTCATATTTGAGGGCAACTGGGAAATGCGTAATGCATGAAATCAGCAGTGTATTATTAGTCAGTGACATTGGTGAAAAAAGGGAATTTGAGGTAAAGATGCCAAATGGAAAGAAAATGCAAAGGCAGGGATAACAAATACAATTAATTTCTATTTATTGAATTTGTAGATGAATTTATGTCCTTCAATTTGGTGATTTTAGCTTGATAAATATACAAGGAGTTGTTTTGCCAGCATTAATAAAATGTTTTTTTTAAGCTGGAAGATGCAGTTTGGATAGGATGGATGTCTTGCTTCAGAAGGACTGTGTATATGAATAACATTTTCGATAGGTTTAGACCATAATTTTTTCCTGTGATACCTGCATTTGTCAGTATGAGGAAATAGAGTTTCATCAGAACAATTTCTACTGAAGTTGTGGTTAAGTAGGGTAAATGGTTTTTCTCTCCTGTAGTTTGTGCACTGTTCATGGGGCCTAGGAGGAGGCAGTGTTCACCAAATGAAGTTTTGATGGTGTGGTCTGGGTAGTTGAAAGGAGCACACTGCAGGTAGAGAGCAGTGAGGTCTGTGCTAGTAAAGCACTCTTAACCACCTTAAGAATGCAAAGCCCAAGCAGAGACCTGTAGGACAGGCATAGCTTAGACTGGCTACTATATTGAAGTAGTTCCCACAAACAGTTAAAGTTGTGGAGCCTGAAAAGGTTTTTAAATCTTTGTAAGAAAGATTTTTCTTTCTTTCATAGCTGTGGTTAGTAGAGGTGCTGCTGGGGAGGGGAGTTGTGTAATGTAAATCTAAATAATACGTATCCCAGCAGAACTTCTGCAGTCTTCCACTGAGCCAGTGCTGTGAAATGTGAGATCTCATGGTTTTTAATCCATATTAGTATAATTTATTGGGAGAGAAAATGGCTTTTCAAGATGTTTCTTTTTTTAGAGTGATTGCATGTGTGGTGGCTTTGATAATTGGTTGCTGGTACTGTTCATGACTGTTGCCATGTTCATGTTTGTTGTCAGCATTGTAGCCTGAAATCATTGTGCAATAGGAAGAGTCCTCTCTCATAAGTTATTATTACTGTTGTTGTTACTATTATTGTTATTGCTATTATTGTTGTTGTTTTTTAAGAGTAGTTGCAGTTAGGATAGCAGTAGCTCAGCCACTTTTGGCATCAAGGTACGTTCCTGGCACAGTTGTTCCAGTGAGGTGTTGGCACCTGGGACAAGGTATTACTGTGAGATGGTGGTGGTTTATACCCCATGAAGACTGCCAAATTCTCTTTTATATAGCCTTTAAACACTTGGAAGGCTTTAATTCCCATTTTGGCAAAAGGGTAGGCACAATAGATTGGTTCTTTTGTTTATTATCTAAGCATGCAAGTGGTAATTCTTATTCTGACAGTGCTGAAAAAGCCCTTGATGTGTCCTAAAAAGCAGGATCTTTGGATGCTTTTTGCACTTACTCAATGACTTTGAATGTCCTCTGCACATATTTTTTGACTCCTTCTAAATTAGCAGGGATGCAGTATTCCCAACTCAATCTCTTTCCACCTAAATGCAGAATCAGTGTCAGACTTTGTCTGAAGAGGATTAAACTTTTAAAGCAATCAATATCATTCGACAGAGAGAGGGAAAAGAATAGAGGGAGAAATGTCATGTCTTGTTGGTACCTTTATGGGTCAGAATACTTACATTCTTTTCCAGCCTATTTACTTCCCCAAATTCAAGAGTAAATACTGCACAACTGCCAAACACTACTGTTGAATGAAACCTCTAATTTCCCACAATTTTCTAGCTACCAGCTTGAATTTCAGGATGGGATACTGCTACATAAATTGTGATGATGTTTTGCTTTTATTCATGGCCTCTTTCTCTAGCTTTCTTTAATTAATCTTGCAAAATTCCTCTTCTGCTTTTACCTATGAGCACAATCCTAGTTTCAGTGAGTTCTATTTTTGTTAGCAAGTTTGTTTTCATTTTTTAAGAGCTATTCACCTGAACCACATGTTTTGAAACACAATTAAAAAAATAATCACCAGTCTTTAACAATAGTTACAGTTTGGGTTTGGGCATTGTTTGTTTTCACCTGTTTATACATGTTGCTGAATTAAAGGCAAGATAAGATCTAAGAAAAGCACTTAATACGTGAGGCATGGAACAATTTCTTTCATAATAATTGTGATTCACACAAATTATATTTCTTCATTTCAGCAGCCCTTGAGTGTTTTGAATCTTTCAGAGTCACTTCAGTTGATAAGTGCAGCGTTCACCTGGAGTCTCAGAAAACCTTTTAGGGCTTCTGAGCCTGCATTTCAGAACATCACAAATGGGAGGGCCTAGATCTTGTGTACTTCAAATATATTTTTAAAAGCTGGAGTGAGAGCGTGGGAGAAGTTTGATGGACTCACACAACAGCTGTCATTGCTGGTATGCACTGACCATGTGCATACTTCTGTAAATGTGCTTGGCTTCTGTACAGTTGAGATAAGAAACAAATAATCAACTGGAAATTAATGTGGGACTGAGAGATTCTATTATAGAACAATAGAATGTCACTGTATAGAAATATATGCACAGACACTTTCAATGGAACGTAATGATTCTGTAAGAATTTGCAGTAGTTTTAAGAGCAGTGTAGCAAACTGAAATGTGACATAATTCTCTAGAGGATACTGCCTGTTTGAACCCTTAAAAACAAAGCAAGGAATGGATGTACTGTATATATCTTCTCATATAATTTTGCCAAATTATTTGGAAAATTATACTACTGGCTTCTAATGACAGTCAACACCATTGACCACCTCAGAAATGCAGGAAATTATTAACTGGACATTTCTCCCAATAGAAATATATTCTGTCTGTGAGACAACTGCTTGGAAAAGGAGTGCTGTGTTTTATCACATTTCCATGCTTCACTTTCCTTCCAACTTGAGGGGTAATAGTAGGCTTTGAAATAGGTATCTGCAATAACTACCTTAATTTCATTAAAATAGTAAATGTTTTAAGATAATAGATATGGAGAGAGTGTTATGATTTACCAGGGTGGAATGCTTTGAAATTCCTTAAAGGGGAACCTCACTCAGTTCTTTTAAATGGATATGAAGTCCATCTTACGAATGAGTTTGTCCAATGAATAAGTACTAATTTTCTGGATTATGTGAATTGAGTTTTCAAGAACTTCAGGCCCAGGTCTGAACCAGAAGAATGAAATGAGTTGATTCATAAGGAGGTGGGGAGTGTAAATCTGTATTTCAGACTTTGGTGTGGTCTTGTTGCTGTAAACCACCGTTACTGCAGCTTATGTAGTTCTGTCAGTCGTGGTAAATTTTTGAATGCAGGCAGTGTGATCATTTTCATATAAAAAGATGAATGCAACTTCAGACCACATTTGTTGTCTTCATATTGTTGGACAAATAGCAAGTACCATGTTCTCAGTGTGCAAAACAGTATTTTCCATAGCAAGCTTAATATTTTAAAATATTATTTCATACTTTATTTTTGGAACATTAGAATGGGGCAGTCAGCAAGTGCCTGGTGTTGTAATGCAGGCCCTATTGAGAGTATTTGTTTTGGTGTTTGTAACAGATCCTTTGAGAGAACTTTGTCATCTTCTATTAATAATGTGACAAGAAACACAGAAACAGGAAAGTGCACTTGTGTCAAAACCAAGACAAAGTGTCATTTGGAATGATGCACAGATGTATAAATAACATGTTGTCTGTGTCTGCTATGACAGGGATTCTGTTTAACCCTTGTTACATCTGGTCTGGATTAAATTAATACAAGTAATTTTTTTTTTTTCCCTCACCATTCTCATCACATTTGCAGTAGCTGATTTTTCTTCCATGGATGCTTCTGCTCATGACTGCTGTATCCTAGGGGAAAAAATGCTTTTGTCCAAGAAAAAGATAATGGAGTTGTCCTTTAAGCATAACTGAGAGAGCAACTTGAACAAAACCATAAATAAGCATCTTTAAAAAGTGGATCAAGACCATACTGTGGTAGGATCAGGTAGTTCAGGGCTTGACAGAGTTAAGCAAACTTTTTTCATTTGCAAAAAAACTGTAGTTTTACTTCCCTGCTGCTGTTTTAGGGCTTGGTGGTGTCTGTTTTCTTTAAAGTATCTGTATAGTAAAGATTAGCAGCTTCACGTTTTCCAGTCCTTTAATGTACAGGAATGCAATAGTTTGTCTGTTAGCTTGTTTTGTCAGGAGGGCAGAGCCAATGTGGGGTGCTGCAGCTTCACTGGGAGGCCTTGATAATTTCCAGCTTTAGACTTAGGTGGACCTATCAACTGTCACGTTTGGGAGAGGTTCTTGCAGTAGCTACCTCACACATTCATATTATTTATATACTTTAAAATAGTTGGTTGCAGTAAAATTATAAATTTCTTTATATCTTCTGTGAGTGCTTCTGTGACTTTGCTGCTCACATTACTGTGGCATGTAGAATATCAGAGAGTCATAGAATCATTTAGGTTGGAAAAGACCTCAAAGATCATGGAGTCCACCTGTCAACCCAGCACTGCCAAGTCCACCACTAAACCATGTCCTCAAGTGCTACATCTACAGGTCTTTTTTTATCTCCAGGGACGGTGACTCCATAGAATTCCTTAGTGGAACAGAGCAATTAATACCATCATTGGGTTTTGGTAGATGGGGAAACAGGGCATCAAGAAGCATTGAGAAACATCATGTGGGCAGTTTGTGCTGAAATACAGGCAGGAATTGAGGCTTTGTCCAGGTTATACACCCTGTCTGTGTCTCTTGTTATACCAATAATCAGTATTTACATCCTGACTTACTTTGTGTACATTCAGTATTGAAGCCTGTGGTGCTAAAAGGCAGCTACACATTTCTGTTACACTTAAGCTTGAAATGGTTTTCTAAAAACATTTGTGATAATTTTTGCTTTCTTACTTCTCCACACATAATAAATTCAGAGTCTGTAGTTCTCCCTGGGAAAAAATTTCTGTACTTTGCAGCTATCTTTGGTATTTTCCTGGGTTTCCTGTCTTACCATTCAGATAACCATTATGTAGTAGAAATGCAAATAACCAATAAAATTTAAGTTTGCATATGGATGGTTGTGAATGGCCCTGTGTGCTTGTTATGCTTGCCTTATCATTGTCCCTTTGGCTAGAGTTCCTTCCAGTAGAACAAACTGCTAATAATTAATGTGGAATTCTTCAGCAAAAATGTTCTAATTCTGTATTGCCAAATAGAGAGTTGTCTTCTTATCTGAAGAGATGAAACTGGTATTTATGAGCCATCATTGATCAGATATGGCTTCATTGTACTGGGTGTTAGAGACTTGTTGACAAAAATGAAACTTTTTCAGTCAGCTCCTTTAATGCTCAGAGCTTCAGTCATGGCATAAATGCTTCTTTGAGTCTTGGTAAAAGTATGCATGTATTCCTTCTCATGTGCACATGTTCCTAAGGGTGCATCTCATATCTGGATTAATTCTTTTCTATTTTTCTCCTCCCTAAGATATAATTGACCCAGCAATCCTGCGTCCTGGTAGGCTGGATAAAACACTCTATGTGGGTTTGCCACCACCTGAAGATCGTCTTGCTATTTTAAAGACCATCACCAAAGTGAGTATTTGGAGATATATCCTTAATCTTGAAGCCTGGTTGAATGATGTAAGACAAATTAAATATTACAAAGAATTGCAGGATCCTGTCTGATGAAACAGCTATTCCTGAGATCATAAAAATAATCCCTCAGCTCATCTGTTAAATTTGCTCTGGGACTGCAAGGGGCTGATGAATCTTGAGTAAAGCAAACCTGTTAAACACAGAAGTTGCTGCCTTTATAGTCACAGTTTGAACAGATTTAATTAGAAGATTCCTATCTGAGTGAGTAATGGGCCTAGAAGTGTTTTGTAAGCTTTTTTTGGGGGGTTCCAGACATTCAGCAGAATGATTCACAAGCTCCATCTGTATTTGCTCATCAGTAGTTGTGACACCTAATTGGCTTTGGAATTAAAAAAAAAACAACAAAAAACTTGTGATGATTGAGGTTGTAGATTAAAGTAAATGTGAAAATGTAAAATCTGTGCCTTCATAGGTCTTCCCTGTGGTGGACAGCACAATCTGCCACTTCAGAGACTTGGATTATAGAATTCTGTGTGTTTCTCCTAGTATGGCACAGCAGGAATCAAGGGCTTTAAAAACAACATTAAAAGCTTTATGAATTATTTGGATATTTCCTACTTTTTTCCAGTAGATCAACATTGATTGCTAAGACCAGGTGTTCTATCAGATATTTTTTGGAGCTGCAAAGGAGACAGTCTTTACTATAGAGAAAAGATAGCATTATGAGAAGTTTGGCAAAAATTATTTAGTGTATTTGCAATAAAAGATAATTCAGATCTGTGTAACCTTGAAGCTGTGTTGTACAGGCAATAGTCGATTCAGAATTCAGAAAGTAAGAACTTGTTCCAGCCTGTTCTTTCATGCCAAAATAGATGTTCAGAGGGTGATCTCTCCTTACAAATTCAGGATGTTAGACTTCACTTCATTTGTTCTGTGCCTTGTGCTTCATGGATGAAAATAGATTAAGTGTTCACGCATTAGCTATTTGCAATAGACCAGTTTGTTGTTCCTAAGTTTTACAGAAATACTTCAGTTAATACTTTTTACAGCCCTGTTGTTAATGGTCTTCATGAGACGTTGAGAGGAATTGAGTGTAACATCTGTGAATACTGTAAGGAATCATAATTATTATTTTACAAAATTTATTTTTAGAGGTAATTAGGGGTTTAGGGGAGTAGTGCAGCAGAGCTAGGTGCTTTGCTCCCTTCACTGGAGCAGAGGGGACATTAAAGAGAGCTGATTTCTCTCTCTCACAGGTTTCCATTGCTCGCACACTCACAGCCACGTGTAGCCACCAAGATATATGAAGCCACGTGGCAAGGGCAGGATCACTCATGGGCAACACTGAGGACAAGGAACTGTACTGAGCCCTCACTTCATGTTTTGGCTTTCTCTTGTCTGTCAATGACCAGCTGGTTATTAGGGAGAACTGTTCGCAGTTTTCCATCAGGAATCAAGTTGAGAATTGCGTTTACTGCCATAAATCTTGGGTGAGGTCGCTGAAAAGTGTCCTTGCTCCCTTCTCCTGGGAATCTTTGTGCCTACAGTCCTGTCTTCCTGTTGGGATAACACCAAGAGGAGTGGCAATGGGATGTGGTAACCCTGTTATTATCCCACTGCCAAAATATTCTTATCTTCTGCTGACAAATCAGCTTTACCTGCTTATGGGCCTTCTTGGCAGCAGGAATACTTTGCACAGTGTTTATCAGCTTAGTTTTTGTGGATCCTGTCACTGGTTATCATGTTGCTTGTCATGCTTTTTGGAATGCAAGATGCTTTCATTCATGCTTAATTCACACTAGTCTGACTATTTTGATTACAGATCCTTGTGGTGAATGAGGGGTTAAATCTTTAAAGATGTGTAGGAGTTATGTGAAAGAAGAACATGGAGTAGGAAGAGGGGAAAATGTGTTAAATTAATTGAAATGCTTTATTTTTCATCAGATTTCATCCATGCATTCTAGGTAGGTAGGTGAAAAATCTGAGAACACATTTGCTCAAGGCCAGAGAAAACAAATTGTTTGCAATGTGCAGATGTGAGTGGCTTCTGGATGATGACATACATTCCCAGAAATCTCCAAGTGGAAGCAGTTCTTGCTGAATGAAAACATGGCTGCTTAGAAAGGCAGCATGAGGGACAGAAAAGGGACTGGGGGGAGGAACAGGTTGTCAGGAAGACAGCCTAAATGTGGGTTGAAACTTTCTTGTAAAAGACTTCCATTTCAGTTAACTTGTACAAATCAGTCATTCCCAACTATGCATATTATGCAAGAGAAGCCTGTCTTCACATGTTTCAGTTACTGCTGTACTTAAACATTCCTGCAAGCTGCCTCAAGCTCCTCTGCTGCACAGAGCTTGGCACCAGAGCAGGGAGAGCAAAAAATGCCCAATGTATTTGCTCCACAAAGCAATAGGTAAAACGTTTCTTTTTAGCAGAGGAGGTGTCTCTCTGGCTTGTAATTTCCTGTAAGAATTACCAAAGTATCCCATATGAAATTGTATAAAGCTTCCTTCTTTCCAGGTTAAAATCTCTCCTTTCAGATGTTTTAAAATCAGGCTTCTCCTTTATCTTTTTGTTGTGGTGTTATTCTGGATCTTTTCTCTTTCTAACTGTTAAAGAGTCATTCAAGATTGTTTCCTTACTGTGCCTAGCCCTTGACAGGTCCACTGTCTGTTAAGTATTCAAGTGTTTTAACTTGACAGTTACTATACATTTTATTTTTTCCTCTTGAAGGTATTGTAGGTATGTAGTATATTAGTTCCTCTGAAGGAGTCAGAAAATAATTATGTGAATTTTTGCATTTCTGTCAAATGAGTATCTGGCAGAAATTTATCATTGCATCATAAAAGTGTTCTTTCCTGTCAAAACTCAGATATTGTTTGATCAAAGAGGAATCTTGAATCTCTGTACTATCATGATAATACTTTGCTGTTGTCTAAGGATAACAAGCCTACAGTGTTTGGAAATTTGTTGGCAAGTTTCAAATAGCATTTATGTAATTTAAGACTTTTGCTGTTGGAGATGCACAAATTATAACAAAATAAACCACTTCTGGGATCTTTCTGGAGGAAGCAGTAATAATATGGAAAAGTAGTGTCCAAAAATCTACAGTATATCTAAACTCCTATAAAATCTAAATGGAAAGCTTCTAAGTTTGAAAATCTATATCCAGAATACAAAAGATATACAATTAATTTAGTCTTAAAGGTGATAAGACAACTGGCATGCCTGTTTCTTAGCTGTCTGATTTCAACACACAGTAAAACTAGAAAAAGTTCAGCTAAACAACCTGTTGAAGCAACCAGCTATTATTAAAATAAGCCCACATGTGGAATAGTGTTGGTGTTACAATGCCCTGGGGCAAGCTGGTCATAATTTCCTTAAAGAAAATCTAATCTGTGGGTGACAAGTTAAAATTTATCATTGCTTAAAATTTTCTAATTAAATGGTTTTAAGGCTGATTATCCTTTTTGCCAGTTTGAGATTAAAAATATTTGTGTTTGTGGGTATTGCAGGAAACTTGTGAGACCCCTATGTGATTCCTGATTAAAGAAACTTAATCACTTCAGGGATGACAGATGTAAAAAAAAAGTTTTCTTACCTTCTCTTTTTTCTTACCTCAACTCCTTTAGGGTGGCACCCGGCCTCCCCTAGATAGTGATGTGAGCCTAGAGGAAATTGCTTACAGTCAGTACTGTGATTGTTACACGTGAGTATCTTCTAGTTTTGACTTTCATACTTAATGTGCAGTGCCAGCAGTCTTTGATGCATGATCTGCTGTGTTTTGCTGGTATTATTAAGAGGGTTTCTTAACTTTGTAAACCTTTTCCCTTAGGGTATTTTTCTTGCTTTCCCTTGGGCTTTTTTCCAAGAAGTAGGTAGGAATATATGGATGCTAAAGTCTTCTTCATCTGGAATAGTCTTCACGTTGCAAATACAGAACAGTGGAGGCCTTTCGGTTTTCTTTGGTTTTATTTTATAATTCTTGCATCATCTAAGAACCACAGAGTTAAGTGGTTTAAGTTGTGGGCCCATACACAGTGGTGATGAAAGCAAATTGGTTAAACAGCCATAGCCAACTTCTGTGTCACAGAGTTGAGAAAAATCTGTTTGACAAAGTAATGAGAGCCCATTTCAACTTGTACTTTGGGAATAGGTGTGGCTTTAGGGAAATCTTGATGACCATACCTGTCAGAATAATTTGCAATTATGGGCCATAAAACTTAAAAAGCTTTAAGCTATTCAATAATTTAGTAATGCTCAAAGTTTTTATGGAGTTCACTGACGATAAAGTTTATGACAGGCTGCTTGCCATAATATTACTTGGGAAAGATGAGTAATTTTTCTTTCTATACCTTTCACTCACTGGTTTATAATCCAGTGGGTTTTTTGTTCAGTGTGTGGGGGTTTTGGTTTGATGTTTTGTTGTGAGGTTTTTGTAGTTTTTTGGTTTGTGGTTTTGTTGTTTGGTTGTGGGTCTTTTGATGCTTGGGTTTATCTGTATTTTGAGTTTGGGGGTTTTGTGTGGGTGTGTGTGTACGCATGTGTGTTTGGGTTCTTGTAGTTTTGACGTCTTTGGTTTTGGTTTGTTTGGGTGTTTTATCTGGTTTGGTTTCATTTTTGATTTTTAAATACTTTATGTCTAGTACTCCCAAATGAAGCATGGGGAGTTAATTTTGAAATTTTTTTTGGTTCGATGGCTTTCACCAGCTGGAAGACATGTAAAAAGCTCCAGCTGTTCCAGTTCCAGGAAACTGGAAAGAAATACTTAAACTGATGTGACCATGTTTTGTGGATACTGTTATTTTAAGAGCATGTTAACTTTACTGTTGATGCAGCTTTGAGCAATTCCTTTTTGTAATGGTGAAGGATTTAATTTGAATCTTCCGTAAGATTTATAAAAAACAAGAAGTTATGTTCCTGAGAAGTGGCACAATATTAATCAATCCTTTGGCATTTTCAAAAATGCTGAATGGGGGTTTTACCTCTTTCCGTGTTTCTCATTAATTTGATCTTAATTTGTGGCTAAAATCTGAAGGCCATCACTCTTTAATGAAGGCTGCAGACTGCATAATCATCAGGCCTCTTTCTAGTGTTCTTAAGATGAAACTTTGAGACAGCACAACCAAATTTTAATGTAACTTTTAATGTCTTGTCTTTCTATATGCCATCAGCAAAACTGAAGTTTATCCCCAAATAACTTCTTGTTCGTATCCCTAGGGGGGCAGACCTTTCAGCTCTTGTGCGTGAGGCTTCCATCTGTGCCCTGAGACAGGAAATGGCCATGAAGAATACTCAAAGTAAGAAGGGTAAGAAAGCTTTAAAAATAAAATCTTAACTGAACAGTGACAATATAAATGGAATATAAAGTATTTAAAGTAGTTGAATACAAGCATAAGGCTGTGAAAGCTGTAGATCATTCACTGATTGACTTCTGACCCAAACAAAAATTAAGTCACATAAAGGGAGGTAGAGGAGGGTACAGGAAAAATGGTTACGCTAGAAGTCAGCCTAATTCTTATTTTTAAAGAATTGAAGGTTGCAACCTTACAAAAAAGTTTCTGTTGAATGGTTATGTAAACTGATTCTTTTCTAGACTAAATACCCCTTTGCCAATTTTCTCTGTCACTACCAAAGACTAATTATGCTGACGTATTTGAAGGAGGGTTATAAACTGCACATTCCCTGATTTCCTACCTTTGGCACCCAGCTGTGTTGTGTAACTGAGCCACGTACATCCAGCACTGATGGAGTGGGAAAATTTCAGTGCCACTTTTGATCTTTGGTGCTTAACTCATCAGTGCCTCATACCAGGATTTTAACAGGGAGTTATAAATTGATTCAAGTGCAATCTCTGCCCTTTCATTATCTGTCTGAACTACTGATTTAAGTTATATTTTCCTGGGGATCTTTAAATTATGGATTAAAACTCTTATATAAAATGCCTGTTTGTTTAGATTTTTTCCCAGTAATTTTGTTTATTTTACCCTTAAGTCAAAATGCAAAGCTAAGATGGAATTGTGACCTTTCAGATTATGTCCTTGGAAAATAATGTAGGCTTTCATTATGCCCCTGATTTCTTAGAGCAACACTGGTATTTTAATGACTTTGAACGATTCTTTTTGATCTAGTACCTATCCAGTCTTGTCTGGTTTTTAGGAACAGTAGGTTACCAGAGCACAGTGTTTGTATTCCCTGTTCTGGTCAACTAGAGGAGGACAAAACCCCGAGCTATAAAAACCTTCCCTGTTGTATGACTTGGTTACCCATTTTGCTTGCTGTAGCTGGATAAAATTCTTGATCTGAGGCAGAAATATCTGAGTGTATCCTTACCATTTTTATAATTGTTCAGAAAACAGCAAGCTTTATTCAAAGCTGTTCATCCCTTGAATTCAGCCTTCACAGTTAGGATTGCAGCCTAAGCACTGACTATATGAATGTGTAGGCAGCCAGCAAGTCCATAATACATGTACAGCTTGATTTGCATGTTTATAGCAGCTGCTTGCTTGGGCTGTCCTTGGGTTTCCCAGATGTCAGCTCTGATTGGTATGAAATACCTGATTGGTACTGGTATACCTTTTCAGTATGAAAACATGTGAAGTGGTTTCTGATTTGAGACCCTGTTCATTTTTATCTTCAAGATAAGACTGGAGATTTTCTTCCTTCAGTGTTCAGCAGGACACGCTCAGCTGCCTCCCACACTCTGCTTGGCTGTGGATGGGTGCTGAGTGTCCTCCTCAGTCAGTCCTTTGGAATCAGGGCTGCTCCTTTCTGTTCTGGAGAAACTGTTGCAACTTGTTGTAATACCTGATATCTTCCCTCTGGAATAAATTCAGGGGTGGGGTTTTTTAACACTCAGCAGTGGTTTGCTTGAAGGTAGTTACAGAAAGTGAAATGGAAAGGTATCCTTTTTGTGATATTTCTTAGGAGAATTCAGAAATTCTACTGCCAACCTGAACAGGCCTAGGCAAGCTGATCATGTTAGTCACTGTGGTCTGAGAATTGCCAGAGACATAAGTTTGTAGGGGAAATTCCTAACAATTGGGCAGATTTCCACTTTTATGAAGTACTCCTGGATTTCCTCATCATTGGGCCAGCGCTGACTGCCCAGAAAGGTTCACTGTCATTTGCAAACTTGGGAGTTTCACTTCTGCCTCCCCTCTCCAAACCACTGAAGATGGTGCATAAAAGTGGTTTCTGCACCAGTGCCAGAGCGGGACCCACCCTACTGCAGCCGTTCTGCAGTTTCTCAGTCAAGTTCCTCAGAAACTCTGGAACACCATGTGCTCCTGGTAACTTCTTCCCACTGACATCTTAACCCACCTGTTTAGCTTAATCTTGTATATATCATTCAAACAGATCTAGTTACACAGAATGTACAGGGTATGAGAAATAATAGGAAAGATTCTTACTATTTCAGCTGCAGTGACAAATACAGACCTTCTAAACAATTACCCTTTTTGTACATTTTTATAGAAGATAGTCAGTGGCACCACATCACCTGCAGTCTGTAAGGCTGATCCTAAGCAGAGAACCTATGAGACTTTTTCTTAGAGTAGTTAAGAGCAAGTGTGGTTTAACAAGTGAGAATAAAGTTTTGCATCTTTGCAGTTAAATCTGAAAAGCAAGATCTGGTCCTTATTTGATAGGAAAACCACCTATCCCTCGCTCATCTATGTAAACAGGAAAAGACCAATTTGATATTTAGAGTTTTCAGTACCTTGTCTTATTTTTAAAAGATTGTACCTGCTGATATACTTCATTATTTTAATTTAACAATATAAATGGTTTTAAACAATAAAATATTTCTACCTTCTTATTCAGACTAAATGGTTTTGTCATCAGAAATTGAGGCAAAGTGTGTTAATGCAAATAGCAAAGGTCTAGATTACTCACAGCTACATTTTCTATGTGATCAAGCTTTGGGCGAGCTTTTATCACATAGTAAGCGTGAAGTAGTCTAACTTGCTTGCAATGAGAGGTCAGCTACCTAGCAGGAGATTTTCTCCCTCCCTATAGCATTGTCACAGTTTGATTAAAAATTACATGCTTAAAAACAAAAGTGAAAACAAAATTAAATTCTAGTAGCTTCATTTTATTGTATTATGGAGTTTTAATGACTCAGTCTAAGAATAATCTATCTTCTGGGAAGGTTCCAAGTTGAACCTTTTCCTTACTGTAAATAGTATTTCCTTGGGGAAATAGGTTAAATTCCTGATATTTTAAACTTGCATCTTCAAATTTTCCAGGTATAACTTTATCTGGTAATAGCAATGTTGAACATGAGCTATCCAGAGAAGCTGGAGAGAGATGAGATGAGATGAGAGCTGTGAGGTTGTGTGTTTAGTTCAGTGAAATTTAACCTTCATCTTTAACACAGGTAATAACTGTAGGCTATTTGATCTTCTGCTTAATACCTTAGACAAAGTATATTTAAATTTTAATTTAGTATCTTCCATTTTCTATTTAGTCTTTTACTGTGTCAGCAGATATTTTATTCAACTCGGACTCAAAATATATTAACGTTAAGAGTTCTTTCATATTGGCACATCCCATTTCACGTGGCAGAGGTGGAAATAAAAGCAATGATCATCCTAGTGAAAGAGATTTAAAAAATGCACCAAACAGGACTACAGTTTGTATTTCTTTCATATCTGATACCTGTGCATAGTGTTAGCTGGTAATTAATCTTTCTGTAGTGGCATCTTTAAGTCCAGCCAGATTAAACAAGGTACTTGCTTGTGACAGCAACAGAATCCATGACTTATCTGAGGTATGCTTATGTTTTAACATACTAAGAAAACCTGTTCAAAAGGTTATTATTAGGAATAATTACTGTGGATAGCTGCATTAAGGTCAAAAAGGCAATTTGCATAAACTTAAAGACAGGGAGTTGTAGCAGTGAAAGCTTTCATCACTTCTGGGTAACACCAGAGAAGGCAATGATATGAAGCCAATTATTTAGAAATTGAGTAGAATTGGAACTATAGCAAAATGTTTTCTAGGTACTTCTTAAATAATAGGGAAATTTAATATTGAATTTATGTTAAAAAAAAGCCCAGAACTAGAAGCAGCAGAATTTGAAGGATTCATTTCCAGAAAGGCTAAGGGAATTCAGTTATATATATATATATGAATACTGCCTTGATATACATGCAACAGTCACTTGAGTGTCGCTTGTTTGCAATTTTAGTAATTTATTATGCTTTGTTCTTTAAGGAGAAATCAAGATTTCTCGTAAACACTTTGAAGAAGCTTTTAGGAAAGTGAAGTCTTCAGTGTCCAAACAGGTAAGATAATATTCAAGCTTGTAAGGCTCATTACTCTCTAGGGAAGGACACTCTTCTGATGCTTGAGACTGGTGGGAATGGTTAAGGTTGCAAGATACTTAGATGGATTTCAAACTGACACTACCTGTTTTCTGCATTAAACAAACCTGATGTTTGTGTTCAGGTCAGAAATTAAAGCCTCCTTTTTCAGCTGCAGATGATGCACAGTGTGTAGATGGCTTACCAAGATACCAAGGTTATTTTTTAGTGTGGTGCCTTGGACTTCACTCACATTCCCAGATTGATTATTAACCTGGCCCTAAGCTCTTAGGTCTGCTGAGTTTTCAGTTAGAAGCCAAGGCCATTAGAGTGTACCACATCCTCCCCCATGATGATGACTCACAAAGATGTTCAGCCTTTTCTGTTGATGTGCAAGAGATGTAGATTTGAGATGGGACATAAAACACACTTAATGATCTTAGTTATTTCTTCTCACTCTTTTCATTATTTGGATTTGTCAAGGAAGTTTGTTGTAAATGTTTCCTTATGCCTTATTCCTTTTAATGACTGAAAGGAAAGCTGTTCAGTCATCTTAATTACTATAATTTTGAAGTTAATATATAGGAATTGCTATTATTGCAGAGCTTGTGTCTAGGTCTCCATGTGTTGCCAAGAACATACTGCAGCCAGAATACATTAACGTATTCACATGTAACGCTAGCCAGAGAGAAGTTACTAAAGTATTTCGTTATTATTGTAGTTTGATGGTCAGTGACCTTTCATAAAATTTAAAGGTGATCTGTGGCTCCAAGAACTTTTAAAGATAATGCTGGTTGTTGTTTTCCCTTTGCTAATCACTAAGCAAACAGCCACAAAGATTTAAAACATCTCCTCTAACATAGCAATAACTGTTAAGTATTAGAACATATTCCTTCTGGTTAACCAAAAATGTTATTCTGCATTTCAAAGGCAACTTAAATATCATGTCTGAGAGTCCTATATTTCAGTTATATTCATTTGAAGACTTTTCAGTTAGGTATTTTGAAATATCTTTTGCAGTACAAGATACTTATCTCCCTTTCCCAGATGCTACTTCCTATCTGCTAGACAAATTCAGTCTGACAAAATCTCTACAGACCTTGCTACGAATACTGGAAATTTTTTTAAAAAGGTTAAAATAGTTGCATCTTGGTGATCTAGTGCACATCCTATCCCATACACATCTCTGGTTTAATTGGTTGACTGAAGATAAGCAAAAAAAATTCTTAAGGCTGTGGACAGACATCACCTTCTGAAACCAGTTATTTCAGTGGAAGTATTCTGTTCCTCAAAACTCATTTTGAGTGACCAGTGAAAAGGGTTAAGGAACAGTTAACTTAGATTAGCAAAGGATGATCTTGTCTGTTCATTGTGCAGAACTAGATGAGGGAGGAAAGTGTCAATTCAGCAGCTCCTGTGGTGAAGAGGGCAGTGCCTTCTCAGTGAAGCTGCCATCTAAACTAGCATGGCAACAGGAACTGTAAGTACTCTGCCTGAGGCCTCTGAACATTACACACCATGGCTGACTCTCCCTAGAGAACCTCATTTAGGAGCCAGGGTAGTGGGGGTTTGTCTTATTTAGGTTTTTGTTTGTAAATGTTTTTAAATGCAGCTAGTGACTCATTGAGCTGGTTTGTTTCACTTGCTTAAATAATACACAAAGTCAGGTCTAAATATTGTGTGATTTACCACTGTCTGAGGTATTTTTCCTCTTCTCTTGGCACTGTTAGGATCAAATAATGTATGAAGAACTGCATCAGTCGCTATGCAGGTGATACATTTGGACAATTCCCAAAAGAGACTAACTCTACACTGGTGAAGAGTTCTGCAGTTCCTGTGCCTGTTTTCAAGAGGCAGGTTGGAAAGAAGCTGTACTAAATCCATCTCTCAATGTTTTAAACTGCACCTGAAAAAAAAAACATCACAACCTACTGCTCTAAAGCATCCTTAACCAGAATAAAAGATACAATACATGCTTCCTTCTTATAACCATTTACATTTTCTAAATTAATTCTCTTAGTGCTAAAATGCTAATACTATTCTGACCTATTTGGTGCCCTGAATCAGAAATCTCTGAGGCACAGGCTAACCCTTCCAAGTGTTTACACTGCTCAAATAGCTGTTTTCAACCATCACAGGAAAGTGCTGTGTTTTCCAGAACAAGGACACTGAAAGAAGCACGGGGAGAGGACAGAGCTGTGAAAGTAGGCTGGGCAAGTGCTGCACTGGATGTTATCACACCATTAATCATGCATTTCCCGAGTACAGTGACACATGATTGTGCCAGCACAGGTCCTCAGAGCTGCTAACAGCTTCATTCCACCTTACCAAAATAAACCACCCACAGATGGCAAGCTGGGAGGGTTACCTAGTAGAGAGTAAAGTTTGGAAACTGGAGAAGTGCTATGATACTATGATTCAACCTAGGAAACATTTGAATTAAGACGTACTTAACAAGTTGGTTCTTAATTATTTTTCTTAAACAGGTAAATTTTCAAAATCAGGCAGTATCCAAGTTAAGACAAAACACTGAAAAATGACAGATTACAAAACCTACAAGCCTTCAGGGAAAAACCCCAATGAAGTAGTTTTTATAAGCAACATCTAATCTGTAAGCATCCCCCCACTACTTATTTAAACACTTGAGAGAGATCATTTAATCTCCTACTTGAATTAATTTAAACAAATACCCTGAACAACAGATCTGACTTGAAGACTGACCTTGACAGAGAATAGTACATCTTAAATTCTTCTCAGAATGGCCAGCTAACAAGAAGTCTTGCTGCACCTTTTTACCCTAAGGTAGATGTTGAAGATTAGCACACGTAACTTACCACCACAGACTTGCATTTTAAAAATACTGGGGCTCATGGCAGTTTGTTCTTACCACTGAGATTTTTGCTCAACATGGGATGACATTCCCTCCCTTTCCTAGGGAAGCTAGAGCCTCAGTGACTCAAATTCTGACTCATAAGACTAACAAATTAAGTCCCTGTATATAAAGCAGATGATGATGTGCCTGCTTTTAATTGTAAATCAAGCTTGAAGCTTCAGCTATGATTCCCAGAAATTCAAGATGAAGCATCATCATTTTCAATCAATACCAGCTTGGAAGGAAACCTCAGCGATCACGTGGTTCAACCTTTCTTGGCAAAAAGCGCAGTGTAGACATGATGGCCCAGCACCCTGTCCAGGTAAATCTTACAAGTGTCTGACAGTGGGGAATCCACCACTTCCCTGGGGAGATTTTTCACAATGAGAACAGTCAACTAGTGGAGTAGTTTTCCTAATTTCCAATTGGAATCATCCCTTACCCCTCATCTTTTCCATGTCACTCTTGTAAAAAGGGAATCTCCCTTCATCTTCTTTGTAACCACCCCTGGAACATGGTGTTAAGTTCTCTCCCTAAGCTGTATTTTCGCTCAGTCTCAGCTCATAACACTACAACAGTATAATAACAATAATAATAATGATGATACACTCAATTCACTTGAGTGGCTGAGTGGACCAATGAAAAGAGTAAGTGATTTCTCCTTTATGGATATACAGAGAAGATTCCTGCTACCATACTTGAGGATAGCTGCAGATGATGAGCTTAGGCAGGAGGGGAGGCCTCAAGCCCTAGCATATCCACCTAGGAATTTTCCTTTCCTTTTATGATGATATTCATGTGTATGTATGGATCAAGAAAGCAAAGTAGGACTTGCAAGGCAGAGGAAATGCGATCAGGAAGTAGCAATGGCACTACAGTCTTATCAAGAGTGCCAGCACAAAACATGTTTATTATTTGAGGTGTCTCATGATCATTCTTCATAACAGGTAATAAAGGAAGAGAAAGCGGGGTACAGGAGGGTTTGAATGTACCAGAAAATCTGAAGTTAAGGTGAAAGGCAGAAAGAGCCAGATGAGTCTAGTGTCCATATCCTGTCTGCTCACTTTGTCTGGGCTCCACATGCAGCAAGGAGCAGGCACGCCTGCTCACATGTGAGTGTTGCACCCACACTGCTCCTTGTGGGAAGTTCTGCTTAGGCTGTAGTATGTATCACTAAATAAACTATGATCCTTTGTACACAGAAGATGGGAACTGCTTTAAGGAATGAGCCTTTTCACCCAATAGAGACAAATATTTTTTTCTGCATATACAGCTACCACTCCTCGTAGCAGACATGCCTCGAGGTTTTGCCTCCAGTCATCTTCTTTCTGTTGTGACAAGATCAAGAAATTGTTCGTCATGCCATTCTCCTCTCCCTTTTCCTGAGGCTAACAACATATTGAAACCACAAGAATGATCTTGTCCCAGAGTATAGCAGATACTAACTTCAGCATGGATAGGGGGCAGAGGCAGTGCTGAGAACTGTCAAAAAGAGAAAAGAAAAATGCTGTCTTCATTCTTGGCTCAATAGGAATTTTTTTTCCACATCTTTGTTGTGGCTAAAGGCTTGTATCCCACTTCAGGTTTGATTGTGAAATAGAGGATTTGCTAGAGGAAAGATAGTTGCATGGAGTTGCAGGTTGCTGTGTAAAGGCAGATCCACATGATTCAGACACACCTATTTATCACATTGTTTTCCTAGGACCTTGCAAAAGCAATGTTGGCAGACCCAGAAGTGGCTCCTGTGCCTTGCAATGTGCAAGCTAAACAGCAGAACTTGCTTTGCTGCAAGTCTTTTGAGACTTACAAATTACAGAGGAGTACAGTTTCCAAAAGCTGTGCCAAACTACTTACACAAGGTTGCTGCTTCAAAGTCACTTTCCTCCTCTTAGTCCAGCAGGAGTAGGGCAGCCTGCAGTGTGTAGCATTGATGTTATCACCTGTTGAACCTCATCATTAAATAAGGAATGAACTGCTTTGGCTGCTACGGTATGCCACTTCATCTGATGGAAGAAATAAATGTCATGGAGGCAGAGGTGAGCCACTGACCTCAGCCTCTGACAGTGGCCACTTACCATGAACAGCTCCACAACTCAATACCCAGAGACCTTTGTCTTATGTGTTCACTTAACGAGCTCACCAGAACAGTTCCGAGACATGCAACTGGAAGTCTCAACTGACCTCTGGTTCCAGGGAGGAAGCCCTGCCCTGGGTCTGAAACATGGAGCTCTACAACCAGACAGATGCATCCACTTAGCACATTAATGTTGGGAAGCAGACAGGTTCAACAGCAAATCGGGAATGCCAGAGGCAAGGGTTGTTCTGAAGGAGGAGCATACCCACGCCTGTCCTGTGAGAAAACTAATGCCTAGTACAATCAGATTCCAGGATGCATTACTTACTCTGCTTAAGGAGCTCCAGATAATTGGGGGCAGGGAGTGTTAAAAGCCATGAAAGGAAATTTATTCTGAAAACTGCAGGTTATTCTAAAAGCAATGAGGGGGATTCAGAGCTCTGCACAATTCCACTGCAACTAAAATACTTGGGTGATAGTTAAAATTCCTGACTGATTTCACATAAAGATGTTTTACAAACTGACAAACTGAAAGCAACAAACCCTAATAAACATGTAGAAACACCAAAGTTAACTCATTCCATCTGAATAGATTTAGAAAAACAATTGGGTTAACTGTCAGGGTTCATAATGCTCTTTAGGTTTAGTTTGTTCTTCACCAGTAAGTCAAAGCTCCCTCCAACTTTCAGATAAAATGTTTCAAAAATTATAATTAACCCCTTTCTGCCAGATAAGTTTTCACTGTATTAATGAAAACTATTTAGTTCCTTAAAACAGTAACTTAATGGTTCATATGTGTTTTTTTAAAAAAAAGTTAATGTTTCATATTTCTATGTCACATGCCTTTGGAGCAGACATCAATGCTTTCTCCAGTCATACTTAAATTCATTTTGATTTAGAATATATCAAGTCAAGTAGGGCCAGCTGGTGTTACTTTTACCACGGGTTCAGAAATGCTTCTAACTTTTTTAGGGATGAAACTATGCTGAGTACCTTTCAAATGATCTGCTTTTATCAGTTCTTATTATTTATGCTAGCTGCTAAAGCTTTTTATGTATTGCATAAGAATTATATGCCTAAAAAGGGTTGCTACCAATACTTGGAAGAATCAGACCATTGTTTAGATCCAAACAAATCTCACTGGCTCCGATTAACCTAATACAGCAAATTGTTTTCCAACAGGTAGCCAGGAGCAGTGTTTCAGAAAGATTATGGCAAGCAAAGATATCTCCCCCAGAATTTCCCACTATTCAGTAGCTCTTGAAGTGAAAATAACATATTTATAATTAGAGTTGGAAGGGAAAATGATAGTCAGAACACCTTACAGCAACACTTGCAATTCTAGACAAGAAAGATGGCAACTTCAGCCCTGTTTAAAAGCAGGAATTCCATTAGGTAGGTAGCTAACTATGATACATAGTATAGTAGGTATAAAATTTTTACTCTGAAGTCTGCTTATATTCATGTGGGATAACTGAGTATCTTAACTTTAGCTCTTAGCCATAAAACTTTGTAGACACTTTCCATCCTTCATCCAGCTGTGATAAATCATCAACACCAAAGATAATTTAAGAAACAGAGTGATATTAAGTGGCTCAAAAAGAATCTGGTTTGCAACTTCTCGAGCCTTTACAAGTATTTCAATCCAAGTTAGTTTTCCTCTGAGTAGGGAGGAAAGGGAGTTAGTTATTCTTTACAGGTCATCTATATCACCACATAATAGAAAAATCTCAAATCTGCTTTAGAAATACCAAATTTCTCTTAAGTCCTTCAGTATAAGAGGACCAATCAAAAATTCATCCAATATTACTTTAATCTTTGCTTTTTAATTACATGTAAAAATACTGGACAAAGTCTATTTTGACATTATCCTTCACCCTGAGCAACACACTGGCTATCTTGCAGGTTATGAGCATAATGAAGTCACTCTGTAGATGGCTGGCAGACTTTCATACCACTTCTGTTGCTTAGCCAAGATAAGGGCCCACACTTAAAACACGCATTAAAACAGCACCACAGTCGAGACCGAGTTAAGATGTACCAGTACAATCTTTTCAGGCACTCACTTTTTCAAAACAAGTAACAAACACCCCCAAAAACCACGCCAAAATACAGGTGTTGAAGGCATGTGAAATTTAGTTACAGCAGCTGCAACTGCCACCTTCCTCAGCTTCCATCTTTCAGATTAATGAAGAACATACTACAGAGCCACCATTTGAGATTTAAGGGTGAGTTATAGCCAGTTTTGACTGCATAAAGCCATCAATAATGCATTAGAGGGTACAAGGCAAATATAATGTGCTGAGGTATGGAAAGGTTTTTTACTGTCCAGCAAGTCTACCTGTTCCCAATGAAAAATTTCCTAAGCAGGAAGTTTGATATCACCACCTCTCACCACATTTTAATATGTAAGAAAGACAAGTATTTATGGAAGGTACTGTAGGTTTAGGGAGGAAAAAAATATTATTTAACAACCTTTCTATGTACACAAATGACTGATCTGCTAATAGGTAGCATTGTCAGTGGTTGTAGCTAGACTTGTTTGCCAGAATAGTATCTGTTTCAATCCATTCAATTTTCCATAAAAGCCAAATTTCCAAATAAGTGTAAATATTTATATTTGAAACCATAGTAACATGGTATTAATTTTTCTTTGAAAGATCAGAAAACCCCCAAACTCTGTAACAAGATTTTTCCAACATGAAACCCCACATCAGGTATATTAAGTTACCTAAATGCCACCTGCTCACACTACATGCCAACAGAAGCAGCTCAGGCAGTAGGTGGGACCCTTGGAGTTGGCAATACCCCCTTTTTTCTTTTTACAAAGAAATCATAAAAGCCATCTCAAAGATACCAGTTTCATTCTGACAGATTGCTCCATTAAGGTACTCGTGGTAGAAAAGGTGGAGCTTTAAAGCATTGCTTCAAATGACACATATTTAAACAAAAGCAGACTGAACATTTCTGTGCAAATTTAGTTCTTCCAACCATCAGTTCAAAAACATTTTCAACAGAATGTTTAAGTTAACAAATCATGTTAGTTTAGAATTAACAGTAAGTACAGCATTTTGAAACTAGTCATCTAAATAGCATGTTGAGGGCAGTATACTACATTGAGAACTTTTAAACTGTTATGAGTCAGACAAACATTTTATATAGATTTAACACCTACCAAAGTAAATTCTGTAACAAAGTGATTTTGCATTATGCATATAACACTGATCCTTAGGCAAACAGAGACACATTAAACCAACAAATCTGAGGACTGTGAGGAATGTTATGGCTGGTAGGAGTCTGCTATAAAATCCTTAAGGATGCATTGCTATGTTGCTATACATCTTAATTCAGGACACATGTGAACAGCTTTAGCAGGAAACCTTTATACCAGCCACTTTAAAGCAAGCAGACATTTCAAAGTTTTTTGGTTGCCAGAAGTTTAATCTTGCTTCACTTCACCCTTTAATTGCCTTTTCATGCGTGAATATGGGCTGATTGTGTCATCCATCACGAAGTCATACAGTACTTTTATCCAAGAGTTATACTGGGGCAGGTTGTCATAGTATTCAGCTGCTATTTTCTTCACCTGAAGGAGAGATACGAGGTTTATTTACTGGTTATATAAGCATCAGTTGTGACCACGTTACAACCCTCAGTGTGTAACCCACTGATGTGTAACAACACAGGAAGTGTAATTCCAGAAGTTACATCCTACAGGAAAGGCTACTCGTGCCACAAAGTGAACGCTCCTTGAAGGAAAATGCAGTTCCCAAGTTATGAAGTAAATTTCCTGTGAAGTTCTTGGAGCTGGCCAGAACAAACTCTGCTAACTCTCTTAAGTCCCTTCACCATGCTACCTACCTACAGGATGATGGAGCTCACCAAGCAAGTGGTTTGGTAGCTGTTGGAAGTGTGACTCAGTTCAGTGCTGACTCCTAGATATACAAGTAACAGTAAAAAGGATGCTTTTAAGTTCTAGGAAGAGCTGTTTAACACAGCTATTTTTACATCTAGTTTCAAATCTCAGTACTCAGAGGAGGCATTTTATTTCTGAAGAATATTTTGTTTCTGAAGACAGACTTCAAAGAATGAATATAAACTGCTTCCAAAGACTGTTCTCAGTTACACATGTTAACTAGACCACTGTTTAGACTGAGAGCAGCAGGTTCAGCTAGGTGCCTGTACTGCTATTTAGGGTCAACCACTTAAAGCCTTAAAAACATGAACAGAACAAAAAGGATTTTTCACAAAATTCCACTGCTTTAGTCCAAAGAATAATCTCAATCTGTATAAGCAACAAACAAACCCAAGGTATTTACATGGCTGGTTTGAAGGCAAAGCTTGTTTTGACCCATCATCACACCTAGTGCACCTAGGAAATGTACTTTTACTCAACAGTAATAACTCTCAGCTCAACAGTGCTGAGGAATCAAGTGTTCAGTACTTGATTACTAGTACACAGCACAGCAGAGTCCAATCCAATCAAATTAGCTGCACTGTTCCAGAAGAAGGCTTTGTTTTCTTATCAGAGCTGTGGATTACAAATCCTGCAGCAGAACTGGGTATCTACCCCTAGAATTAAGTACCTGGAAAAATTCATGCCCTACTTAAAGTACCTGTCCAAGGAGTGAAATGCTGGTTCACAGCACAGACCCAAGTATCAAAGGTGAGTTAAAGTAACTTTTGCAGCATGTGAAAGATTTAAATCTATGAATAAAAGCAACCATCCATCTTTATAAACAAAGGTAAAAAAAGAAACACACAAAGCCTCAACAAACCAATTGCATGATCTACCTGCCCTGCTAGAAGTGCTGGCATAGTTATTTCAGCTGCAGTTCCACCACTGACAACAGAAATACCAATCAAGTTTAGACTTCACCAGAGGGATGATCTTACAAGGTCGCGGTATTGCCAAATGCAATAACAAAGCTGAAGACCAACACCACAGCTGCTGTCAAATTGCAAATTTAGTGTCTGATGAAAAACTGAAGATTCAGATTTAACCCTGAAGTCTGTGTTCCCATGCTTCAATTTGGAAACACGGATACAGTGAGAAAGTAGCTCTGCCTGTAAGAAGCAGAGCTTGAAGCGAGAAGAAATGTCACCTCTGCTACTCAAGCAGGCATGACAGGTCTAAGTCCTGGCTTAGAACTCTTAACTCTGCCTGTCCCATACTGCCAATGTACAGCTGATACTTAATTTGGGTTCAAAGGCTCTTGATAGAGGAAACTGAAGTGCTTCGGACTAGAGAAGTTATTAAACATCAACAGCTCAACAAACATTAACAGTACCTCAAACCCTCTCTTTTCCCCCACCAGAGGATGTCCCTGATAGAAGAGACTGAAGGATAAGCACACATTACAATACTGTCCTTAACATTTCAGTGACAGAGATAACAGATCTCCAGAGTTATCTGCAACCCCTTAACTAGTTTTTTGCATACTTACAAACAAGAATTCAGAAGACAGGTTGTAATTACAGAAAGCTAAAGTTAGTGCAAAACATAAGACATGCATTCCCTCCCCTCAACTTTTATGGAAGAGGACTGAGTAGCAACAAACTAGAAGCTTGTTCAGGATACCACTAAAATGCTATATAATTACCTCCTTTATTACTCAGCTTATACTGTGGGGTTATTTTTGTTTTTAATCTCCCAACTTCCATTCTTCTGTCAGTGTTCTACCTTATTTTCATGTTAAAGTAGGCCTTAATTTAAGAAAAAGTAATAACCTTAGAAGTTAACTTACCAGTGGAAGGCTCTTGCCAGGAATATTGGGGAAGTCATGATGTTCATTGTGATAGCCAACATTAAAAGTAAGCAAATTAAGTGGACCATAGTAGGAATAGGTTTCATGTCCTTTTAAAAACATGTAATGTTCAGCTATAAAGTGTCCTGAAATTGGGTGCAACCCAAGACCAAGTACTGAACCAGCAAGCATGTAAAAAATGGATTTGACTCCCCATAAATAATATATTGCCACATCAAATACAAGCTGAGCCAATAAATTGATTACTTCAAGTCGAGTAATTGGTTTAGGATTTATGCAGAGAGGTCTAATGGCATAGAAAAAAGGCTGAAGAACAATCCATATGAACTTCCTAAAACGGGTGCAAAAGAACCAGCCTTCAAAGTTGGTAGGAATATCCACATCGATGCCGTCACCGCCTAAGTAACGATGATGATCCATGTGGTATCTCTTGAAGGATATGGAGTAGGGGAGACCAAGAGGGAGGTTGGCAAATATTCCAAACCATCGATTCCACATGGCTTTGCTGTTGCCAAAGGCACTGTTGTGGGAAATCTCATGAATAGCCAGAGTCATGGAGTGGCTAATACAGCTTCCAAAAACATAAGCCCAGAAGACCACCCATTTCCAATCCAAGTCTTTAACCAGATAGAATGCAGTCAACTGTGCCAAAACCATCAGCACAACCACCCAGATCAGGTTGTAGTCTGGCTTCATCAATGCTTTTATTTCTGGATGTTTAGCTAGATGGAAAAAATTAAATGAAAAAGGAGTTATTTCAAAGCTCTCCTCACAGCCACCTATCCCAATTACGTGACAGTTTTTTCTTCCCTTTGTCCCAGTTAGGAGTTGTCAGCAACGGTAATGAAAGCGCTTGACCTTTCCACTTGTGATATTTACTGCTCTAATGAATCATTTGGAATCAAGTAATTTTAGCACTTTTAGGTTGCTCAGCAACTAGACACGTACATGGCAAGCAGCAGTACCACATCCAGCCTCCTCAGGAAGGAAATGGCTCTGAGCCGACAACCCACCCGTAATTCAGAAAGGCTCATGAAGGCTCAGCCCCGATTTTAGCGCCGCACTCGACGCCGCTATCCGCCACCCCCGGCCGCGGGTGCCGCGGTCACCTCTGCTCACAGCGGCCCCAGACACCGCCTTATCGCCCTTCCGCTGGCAGGGCGCGGGCGGGCAGCGGCCCGGGGCCGCCGGGGAACCCAGGCTGCTGTTCCGCCGCTCGGGATGGCAGCTCGGGCCTCCGCCGCCCCGCGCCTCGGGCTCGGCCCCCGCGGGCGGCCGCCCCCCCCTTTCCCCGCTCCTTCCCTTCCCCTCCCCCGCCAGCGCCGCCAAGGCGGCGGCTCCCGCCTCCACGTACGCGGGCCCGGCCCGACTGCGGCCGCCCCGGCGGGAGGCTCTGGGGGGCCCCGCCGCCCCCCGGCAAGGACGGCCATCTTGCGGGGTGTCCGTGCGCCTCCCGCCCGCGCCGCCACGCAGCTGGCAAAAAAAAGCGGCGGCGCCGCGGCTCCTCACCTAGGATCTCCTTGCGGCGGTCGGCGTGCGGCTGGTCCGTGTAGACCCACTCGAAATCCTCTCTAGCCACAGTATTCCCCATGGCGGCAGCGCGAAACGCCCTACCCGACAGCCCGTCCGCTACGCGGACCCCCCGGTACCGCACTTTATAGCGCGGCGGAGGCGGCCCGGGGCCACGCCCCCGCCCCGCCCCCGCCGCCCATTGGCCACTGCCTATTGGCTGCCGCCGGCTGCCGGGCGCGCTCCCGCGGCGGCGGCGCCCCCTGGCGGCGGGCTTGAGGGGCTCGCGGAGCGGGAAGGAGGCGCCCTCAGAGCGGGGCCCGCGGGGCCGCCCGCAGCAGCCGCGATCCGCCGCCCTAAACCCGCGCTCCCGTGGGCCGGTCCCGGCCTGACCCCGTGCTTACAGATACCCTGCAAATTTACAACTGCAAATGCCTGCACCAAAGTCTCCGTTTCCTTCCCTTTTTGTAGTAAGAACTTCTTTGACAAACTCCTCTGGAAGAACTAACCTCCATTTAATCTGTCACTACATGTATTTGTCATAAAACACTGTGCTGGCAGTTCAGCGAGAAAGACTACCCTATGTAGAAGTTGATCTACTGCTTCCTTGGAATTTCGGTTGTCTACTCATAATAATCTAAATCAGTAGATCAAAAATCCACTCAAATTAATCTAAATCAGCAGTAGTGATAAAACCAATGGAGGCTATTATCACAAAGTAAATTATACCTTATCTCTTCATGGAGTATTGGTATCTCAAGGTTTATGATTCATCACTTAAAATTTATTACCAATAATGAGTACAAAAGGCTTACGCCTGCAAGCTGCTGGAAGTCCCACGTGCAACAGGGCTATTGGAGGGGAAATTCAATCCTTGGAAATGTTTGCAATGTGAAGTGGTGGACAAAGCACAGGATCCATAAAACAAAACACTTTTGTGAATAGTTTGGTTTGCATACATTTTTGTTAGTGCATGTTTAGGGTGGGATTTAGAAATGGAAAATGTAGCAAGGAGGAGAGACATGGAAAAGGCTTTGCTCAGCCTTTCCCTCCTTAGTCACAGAATCTGAATTGTGCAGACTGTGAAGACTGGTGCAGCACAAGAGGCAACGCAGATGTCTAGATTTAATCGAGGCACTGTGACCTTGCCAGGTTTACTTTTTGGTTAGTGACCGTTTCACAATAAACCTGGAAGCTTTGGGGTTGCCAGTGCTGCAGCTGACTGCAGAATTGCCAGGGTCACAAGCGTTTCATTCAGCTGCACTCCAAAAACCACATGTAACATTTCTGACAGTATTCCCTTCTGGTTGGAGTTCAAATATTAGCACTGCTATCCATCATTGTGCTAAACACCTCCTCATCCATGGGAAGGATCCTGCCAAAAGAAGGAGTGTAGCAGTGGATGACAGGAGCACTGGAGAAGTGACAGCACATTAGTTCAGTACACAGAGGCAGGTTTACAGCACTACTAACATACGTAGGTTTGTAAAAGGTCAAGAACTTCAAAAGGGCAATTAAACAGAAGATCCCTGGTTTATAAACTAAACATTCCAGAGCAGTTAAACAAGGTTTAAACAACTTTTAAAAAAAAAAAAAAAATAGATAGGAAAGTTTTGAACAATTTAATTGCCTGAGTGTACTGGAGAACAAAGTGCCCTTTGTATTTAATCACTGCCTTTAATCAGTCTGGTTTAAGCAGTCTGTGTAACAAATCCAGATTCATTAGGTCTTCAGCAAGCCAACAGTTTTTCTATCTGACATTTTCCATTCCAGACACAGTGAGATCCAGTACCTACTGTGTCTTCAGCTGGGGCAAAGCTTGGACAAAAATCCTGGAATGTTCCCTTACATGTACAAACCAAAGCCAGGAGTGCATCCTTAGAACACAGAAGGCGAGATCCAGGAAAGAGAACTGCAAGAGTGGAGAGCTCATGGACAAAGTACAGTGGCTGGGCCACGTACAGGGCAAAGTAGCACAGAAATCCAACTGGAGTCAAACAGTAGTTCACAACTAACAGACATGTTGCTGTAAAATAGTCCTAACTGAATTTACTTATTCATGACATAACAATCTATCACTATAATTTGCTGGTTACCCTTTTAAAACCATCAGGAACACCAAGGAATCCTGTGCTGAGACACCTTCCACTATATCCTACATCATCCTATTTTCAAGTGGCTCTTAATGTTGAAAATTCCTTTGGCAATCCTAGTGCTCCCCACAATTCACTGTTAGAAGATCTGAGTAAGAGCAACTGAGTTTCTGTTCAATTCTGTCTTACCTTTTACATTAAGAAGTTACATGCAAGCATCCTTTGTAGCATTAATAAATTTGGTGATTAACATGCAATGCTGAGCATCAGGAACTGACAAAGTTCCATTTGCTTCCATCTGTTCTTTAATCTGTGAAATTTATCTTGTTAAGCAGGTAGTCTTTTTTCCTTCAGCACTTCTGTTACACCCATTAGCCCAGGTTTGGAGGGTCCTTACATACTGTAGTTACACAGATGCTGTTCAATTTGGGAAGCAAGACCTTGTTGCAAACAGCTTTTCCCCTCAAAAATGTACCACTATGGTATCTTTTGATCTCATTTTCACCATGGTCACTAGGTACACAAATTTGTAAAAAAAATCCCCAACCTTACTATGAAACAAAAAGCAGTTCCTAAGCAAGTGCTATTTTTAGAAAAGCAGTAAAGCCGACCTCAGTAGTTTCAAGTTATTTTAAGAAACTAAATATAAGACACTTAAAATTGCTCTCCTTGTCAGCTCTGATCTTTCTTTCAGTTTCAGCCCTTGACACAAGTACTAAAACTGAAGAGTGGCTGCAAATTAATCAATTTTTCATGTAATTTTTCAACTTACATGTCAGTCTCACTGGTTTAAGGCTCTCCCTTGAACAGATGATACAATCACTAATCACTTCCAACACTACTTCAAGGCTGATACACCAACTCACATAAATGTGCACAAGCACTGAGAGTGAAAAGAGATTTAGTTTTACTTCAGGTGATTCATCAGCTTGTTCATATATTTCAAATGAATCCTTTTTATTTAACAAGGGACAATATGGTGTCACAAATTAATGTTCCAGCTATTTTGTCCAATTACTTCATTCTGTTTTTCCCACGTGTATATTTTTCTGGCGTACATTCCAGCCAACAGCCATCAGACTCTTCCCTCTCTAGGATGTGAAATAGAAGACACTGCTGTATCTTCATCATGGAATTTCTGAGCTGCCTTGTAACCATCCCCTCTACCCCTTAAGTTTCATGGGCCTCATTCCATTTCACTATCAGCACACGGAGGAGCAGGATGCACCTGCAATCCTGGAGCATGTGATACTTCCTTGAGCTGAAGGTTCCAAGTTGGAACTGTTCCCAGAGAACGTCTCCCGTAACAACTGGCTGTTGTTTTCCAACTCAGTTTATGGACACACAGAGATTCCCCAGCACATCCAGAAATGCTACTGTGGGGTAACCTGAAACAATCTGTATGCTGGGATGGTGGGGAAGGGGAAATTGTCTGCATATTCTAGAAATTAATAAAGAAACTAAAGTGAAAAATATTCAAAATGTATGAATAAACCTTTTCAGTAAATGCAATTTAAAAGTTTATACTTGTTTGGAAGTATTTAACCACAAGTAGCTGGTAATTACTCTATTACAGGAATATTTTATCAGAAAAAAAACGTTCAATGAATTTGTATCACACAGTAATTCTGGCTATCATGCTGACCCTTTGACACAAAATTGTTTTTTAGAAGTTAAGGTATATGCTAGTATTTTTAAGCTGAATAGCAGGAACCTATCTCCAAGATGGACTTACCCGTAAAAAACATCCTGAGCTGCAGAAAACCAGTACAAGCAAATCCTCCTTCAACAGTTTAAGTCTGCTCTCAGACAGCCTTTTATAATTTCCTTGATGCTTAAAAAAAATGCCTTTTTCTTTGGAAAAGACTCAAATTACTCAAGAAGTTTATTTGAAAGCTAAATGTCTGTCAAATATTAGGCATTTGCAATGTTATTTCTGGTATGAGCTACCATGTTTTAGAAGTAAAAATTGTAGCTGAAGTTTCAGGAAAAATGTCAGTTTTCCATGATTATATAATATCTGACCAGACAACTTCTGATTTGTTTGGTGCTTTAAATACAGCCACTAGGTTATGCTGACAGCCATACAAAATGAGCTTGCACTTGAACCCACAGCAGTAATATCAAGAAAGCTACAAATGCAGCATTTGCATTTTCAGTGCCAAACCAAGTTGAATTCAGAACCACCTAAAGACAAAGCAGCAGCTGGTTAAAAAAAAGAAAACATAAGTCAAATTATAAAGCTACATAGTTTAGTACATTAAAACAAAACCAAGGACAATGGTATTTGTATAAGATTCCAAAAATATACAGATGGCAGGGGGGAATAATCACTGTACACAACTCTGAGGTGGTTAAAGTGACCAGAGAGACTGAACAGTGCAAGACATGCTTTTCCAGTTACAAGCTCAAAACAGAAGTGCAAAAGAAATTAAAGCTCTGTCTGAAGTGGTTTACCTTTTAGGATAAGGAAAGCTTAGAATATTGTCATCAGTGTTACAGAGAAATTTCCACCCCAACCCCAACACAGACACACAAAATAGTTTAAGTTCTTCCATAATACAGCATTTCACACAAATGATGTCCCCAGAGCTCGGTGACTCCAGGGACAATTTGTAGGTGTTCGGTGTTGGCCTATGAACCAAGTGATGCACAGGCAGCCTCTCCATTCTCCAGCTTTGGCTAACAATAAATCCCTTCCTTCCAGGCAGGGCGAGTGGCAGCCACACAGCCCAGGCTCAAACACTTCTGCCGCTCGCCTTCCCAGACCACCTCGCTGTGAGGAAGCCGCTGTGCTGAAAGCAGAGATTGAGTTATGGCTGAGGAACAAAGGAATTGCTTGACAGGTCTCTGTGCTCTCCTCCCAGAGTTTGGAACAGTTTCAGGCAAGTGCTTTTGGCAGGCTGACTAAGCTGTACATGCATCTATCCATGCAAATGTAGAATATGGCTCCCAAGACCTAGAACCAGGGTGTGTGCATGTGAAGACTGAATAGAAGGCCCTTCCATGGAAGTTTACAAAAATATATAGCCGATACTGTAGCTTAAGAAGTCAGTTTTACTCATTACAGAGAACCCCAAAAAGTATTAACTACTTTTCAGACATTCCAGACAAGGTCACTTGTAACAAAAAAGGTCAAGTTCTCAAAAACAAGGATTTAAAAGCGGATCTTTCCTTCAAGTGAACAGGACATCTGTTTTTACTCTTAACCATTTAGTCAGTTAAGACAATTTATTTAAGATTTTATGTGAACATATGCATAAACACAAATAAGTTTACTTTAAACACATCTGCACGGAAAAAAAAGGTTAACCCTTCAAAACATAACAGAGCAGGTGTGGTTAGTATGTAGCTATTGCAAATCTTAAAAGATTCTGTGCATTAGGCCCACCCATATAGAAAGCAGGGGAAAAGTCAATGAAAGAAAATTACTGTTCAAGTCTAAGTGGTGTTTTGAAGAGCCAGCAGCCTACGTGACACCGTGAAGCTGGTCACAGTATCCAAACAAGCAGGCCTGCCTAGGCTACTAGAGCAGTGTATCCTCCTGAAGGTGCCATTTCCTTCCCAGTTATTTTCTGTTCCGAAGGCGTTTAGATTTCCTAGGACAGTCTGTGGAATCCACCGCCTTCCTCCGTTTCCGGGGAGATTGTTCATTTGAGCCGGAACCTGAAGAATTCCCTACTGTGCTCTCCATCACCTCTCGCAGCTTGCGCTCCAGCTCGGCCAAGCGGGCGTTCTGTTCCCCAATAATTTGGGTTTGCTCAAGCAGTTTCTGGTCTTGATCCTGGAGCTGCTTCTGCTGCTCCTGCACTTTGACGCGCAGCTCTGAGATCTCCCGCTTTAGCGCCGTCAGGCCCGTGCCGTTGGCTTTCACCTGCTGCTGCAGCTTGGTGACTTCCTGCCTGGAAGGGCTCTGTTTGGAGAACAGCTGCATTGTTGTCAGTGCTGCAGAAGGTCCTGGAACTTCAGAGAGAACTGTGATTAATACCCTGTGACTTACGGGTAGAAACGGTGTCCCAGTGTTCATATTTTGCTTATCTCTACTCCCCACACATGAACCCAAATACCCACTGCAAGTTACGTGAACAGGTAAACAGATTTACAGTCACTGAAGTGTCTAACAAGAACATGTGGTAATCTCAGAGCACAACCAGTTTAATTTAAAATACTTACGGCTTTTCAGTAGCCTGGAAAAAAGTTCATAATTCATTTCCTGTATATAAGCCCCCCACCTTTTGCTGTGTTATAAACTGTGTAGAACTACTACTGTGTTGTCATCTAGACTTCGTGTCAGAGATGTTAAGACAAAACCCCACAAAACAACTATAAATTACTTAATATGGAATAATTAAGACTGAATAAATATCTTTCATTAGACCAGCAAAATTCTGCTGTCTTAGTTGCAGACAGCTGAAGTTCTAAAAATTCATAGTTTGGAACTTAACAAGGTATTTCAGTATAACTTACATTTTAGAAGAAAGGAATTTACTTTCCATGCTTCTTTAGAATCACTCTTCCTAAGCACTAAAACCATACTGGAATCTGAGCTTGGAACTGTTGATTCTAATAAAGTTCCTGCAAATCAAGGAGACTAACAGCTACTGTATAATTTCTTTCACTTTTTCTGCCATATATCTATCACTTTTGCTGTCATTATACTTTACTAGCAATGCTGTGCAAGTAAGGTGCAACTTCAAGCGCTCTACAGACAGAAGTCTGGAACAGTCATCTTCCTTTTCCTCCTTTTTTTCCATTAGGATGCCAGCACAGCTACCATTATGTGACACTAAGGGGTTGCTATTGCAGAGGTTACACCCTTCCCTTAACAAGAGAGAAGCATTTTATGCACAAAGCCTTGGCCTTGAGAAGTTGATTGACATCAGCTCTGTCAAGTTTGGGCAATACTTCCTCAACTGAGAGGCTCAGTATATATTAACACATATAATTAAAAGAAAATTAAAATCACATATTTTAAAAAAGGTATTTAATTTTAAAAAAAATAAAGTGTAACTAACAGGATATAATTAAAAGGTCGCACGCACACTTACAACTAAAAGGATGGATAAGACACAAGGAACAAAAGCATCTGCAGTTAGGCCTATTGTTTTTGCTTAAGATGTATTTTTTTCCCCCAATTTTTACTAAGGTATCCTTCTAGAGAGTTAAATTTCACAGTTCCTAAAGTGTGAACATTTCCTGTATAGGGAAAACTCTACAATTTTACCAATCTTCTGCCTTTTACCATTAGGAAAACTTCGGCCATGAGGCTACTACTTTAGAGTCTGGTTCACAAAAGTTCTGGAAAGTGACAGAGTATAGGAAGGACCAGTTTAATGGCTTATTTATAGACTGTTATTTCAATTGCCTTTTCACTATTACCTCTAACTATTTTGCTTGTTAGTGCATAAAACAGTACCCCCAGTAAAGTAAAAAAAAGCCCATTCTAGCCCTCTGTGTAGCACTACCACTTAGGCAAATTCATTTGCACCTTGTCCTAAAAATAAAAGGCATCCAGTTGTCATCTCATGTGCCTAATTTCAACCAAATGCAGTGATAATGTCTCATTCATTGGTGGCACAAAAGTATTTGTTTAACGAATACACACTATGCATAATTCTAACATACATTCAAGTGACTGTTCTTTTGGTAGTACAAAGGCTCCTTAAATTTCAAAGCAAATAAATTTCAGTTAGCATTCTTAAGAAACAAGTATCATCAATATTTATGTAATAAAGCTCCCATTTAAGGGAGAGAGTTTTGAAAACATACAGTGCTGTATTTTTTGTAAAGAAAAACTAAATAAAACTTAACTATATGTTGGAATTAATACCTGGGGCAGTTCCTATTAGACGTCCCGATACATCTGACCCAGGCATCTTTCTTTTCAGTATTGGAACAATCTTCTCATCAAAATATTCCATAGCCATGGAGGAAATGTCCCTTAGTTCTTGAAGAACTTCATGAGCTCTCTGAGGAGCTCTTGTAGAGTTTACATATCTTAGCACTCGATAAATTTCATCTATTACCTAAAACATTTAAGAACAATTAGGATTTTCTGATAAAGGCAAGATTATTTCAGTTTGTTCTAGGAATTCTGGGGTTTTTACCACATAACAGTTGCATACTACTTCATGTTTTAGTTCCAGATTAGCTTTTTGAAGTGCTGTTCATGATATATCAGAGAAGTTATTAATTTTGTCTATCACAACAGCTGTCTTCAAAGTCACGAAATAATGCTCATTGGGTGAAATCTGAAGTACAGCCATAGTTGGCTTGCAAGTTACATAATCTATACCTCAGGAGAGCATGATCATTTCCTTCAGGAGAACCTGAAGCAAGAAGCCCCAAAGCAGAGCAGTCACTACCCCTGCCAGTAATGAAACAGAATTCAAGTAGCAAGAATTAGCATTATGTCAGTCTGAAGAGCTGTAAATATTTACTTGAGTCCACTTCCACACACACAAAATATTGCAAATTCAGATTAAGTCCAAAATATATTCATTTACAAAACATCAATCCACTTTTGAAAGAGAACAAAATTCTCTTGACAGGTTTGGGAAACAAAAGCCCTTTGGTTAGGAAGGATACAGAGAGACGAAGGGTATCTCACTAATTTATGAATTAAAGTCTGAGGCAGGTCAAGATAGGAGTGCTGGTCTCTTAGCCAAAGCTACAGGTATTTTGCAGAAGATTAAGAATGTCTGCAGAGTTTCCTGAAGAACCACACGTAATAAGAACTTTGCAATAAAGTTGCACTTTCTGTTCTGATAAAGGAAGCTTAGCTAAAAAGTCCCAAAAGCTAGACAAGACCTAAGTTTCTCATCAAGCAACAAACAACAAGACTTCTCTAATTTCATCCATGTTATGTCCTGTTAGCAACAACATCCTCAATATAAAACCTTGCAGCAGTGCTCTGCTATCACAGAGAATGCTGAACCTCAAATCAAGATTTGCATATTGTAACACCACTTCCTGGCAGTTCTGTGGTGAAATTTCCTGAGGGAAGCAAAGCAGGTGGGAGGGAAACCACAGACTGTAAGTGAACATTAAGACTTGAATCTGATTGACCAAAATATTAATTAATGGGTGAACTGGTAATTGTGCTGAGAGAGCAGCAATGCTAGCAAACTCACACACTAACTAATTAAAAAAAACCAATCCACCACAAACATTTTAGCAGTTGTATCAAAATAAAATCAAGGTCCTTACAAGTTGGTGCCCACAGTGAAAAGCAAACTCACCCGCCCAACTCCTGCACGCCCCTGATCTAGGGTGAGTACTGCCTTTCCCTCTACTCTTCAAAACAGTAGGGCAATATTTTTTTAAGTATCCCGTTTACCATGTAAGTATCAGGGACTTAAGTTCATTTGACTTTGTTATATTATTTTTGAAAAAATACATGGTATATAAAAAGATAATGTAAAGTCAAATAAGAATGTAATTTGAAATTAATAAAATATCAAATCAACAGGAGTGTACAGAAATAGTTACTTCTTCAAGATAAAAATACATTCCATGCCCACAGCTTATCCTACCACTGCATGCATAAATGCCTGCATGCTTCCCCAGAACCCAAGAGATAACTTTTCCATTCATCCTACTGCAGTTCTGTTCTACGCCCACAAAAATGTAACACCAACATATCCGAACCTTACATGGAAAGATCAATGAACAGAGCATTAGGATAATGTTCACTGATCTCATTTAATCCCTGAGCTGTACCAGTCTTCCTCTGAGCATGATTTTGTCAATTCCCCTGTGCACTGGTGATTTCACAGCTTATAAAACATCAGTATCTCCAATGTACATCTTGCCTTCATAATTTATATTTAATGCTGGGCTGGTATTCTAAAACACCAGAACTGTTCAGTAATGTTCCCATTTAACACACTTTACATTTCAAACTAATTCCACCTACTGTACAAAAATATACCATTCACTGCAATACTGAACAGTATTTTGACATACTAAATACTTAATTCAATTAACCTGAAGTACTCAAGCCCTTAAGAAAGTTGCCTAAAATCTTGATTGACTGACTGCTTAGTGTTATGTGTAGTCTAAATTACTACATCTTCAGATGGCCTGATCACATTTTTTTTCTAAAAACGAATGTAGAGGATGAGTATACCACAAATCAAACATAAGATTCAAGAGAGAATCTAAGGGCAAATAGAAATCAAATTTAAAACAATTAATATTTAAATACAGACATATATATATATATATGTACACATTATGTGTATATATGTGTGTGTATATATATATATATATATATATACATCAATTTTCCCCAGCTATGCCAGGCTAAGTTACAATCCTATTTTTTAAACACATATACATATTCACATAATATAGTCTACATTTTACCTTGCCAGGTATGAAGCAACAGAGATTGGAATCCACATACTTCATGAAAGTCATATTTAAGAGAGAGAGTCTCGTTTCCACAGCAGCGAGGATGTCTGCATGGCGAGCTAATGAATGATTTCTCCTTTCTGACTCCCGTCTGGAAAACAGACCACAAGGTGACACTGATTTAACAAAGAGTCAAAAAATCAAACTGTTACATTTGTCAAGTTAATTTCACCCTTAAAACCCTGTAACCACTAACATTTGTCTTCATGGAAATAAAAGATACTGACTGAGACCCAGCTTGTAACAGCATCCTACACTTTCTTAGAAAAATTTGTTCTCTAAATAATTACTATACCTTATGCACTCCATAAATTTTGTATGTAATTTAGGACTATTTAAGAACAAGGCTGCAGTACTTGCATCAGACACTTGAGTCAGAGAGAATATTTTTATCCCACTCATATGGTCAGTACTTCAATGCAATTGAAATAATAAATGTAATATAGTAGTAATGAAGTTTACGTAGTGAAGAACTACTATGAAGTTAGGTTGAGATAGAAATGCTTTCTGACAAAGGTTCTCTATGCTAAGTAGCATTTAGTTTCTTCACTCTGAATGGGAAATCTGACAGGACACAGCAGCAGCTGCACTTATTCACTGGAAAGAGGAAGAAAGACATTGCTTTACTGAGAAACCAGTTCCCAGTAACGCTCACATCAAATCCCTCTTCCTTGTTCCTGTTTAATCCTTGCCCTTTTTTTAAAGCAAAGTCTTTGATAAATCATCAGTAAAGGCAGTTGGTCTTGAAAAGGAATGGAATTTATTCATTCCCAGGAATCCTCGCTTGATTTGCCAGAAGAGCTGAGTAATACAGAACCCAGACTTCTCTGAAATACCAGACACACTTTTCACACCATTATTCTGTAACTAAATCTAAGGTTCAAGATGCTTTTAGGAAAAAAAAAAAAAAGAAAAGAAAAGAAAAGAAATAGAGGCGAATGTGACTCAAATTTTCAAGATATATGAGAGGAAGTATCCAGAAAGGAATTCCTTTTCAATAATCTGCTTAAATGAATCTAACAAAATTAAATTTAATTCCAGTTTAAGCTGGTACATACCTTGGAAGTTGAGCTTTAACTTGCTTTTGACACAAGTTGTGGTATCTTTCCACTTTCAGAAATCCCTGATTTAACATTCTCTGGCAAACCACGTCCATTCGCTTACAAACCTGTATTTAAGTAAAAAGAAATCTTAAGGCTCAATTAAGGCCACAAGTCACTTTTACTATTATCTTATCCCTACTTGCCACGTAGCAAAAGATTCCCTTACTATTTTCTGCTCAATTTCAACAAGCAAAAACTGCAGTTAAAATTAAGGCATTCCCATCTCCACCAAAAATCATGATACTCCAAAGAAGAGCAGGTATGTTTCACGCAGTTCACAAATAAATCTATTGATTTTGCCTAGCAAGAGACAGTAGTCTCTTGTTAGGCAAAGCAAGATATATTAGAAACAAATACAATTTCCTCTGATTTTAATGGAAGTTGCAAATGCCTATGTTTGGCTTCTAGCATGGTCTCCAAAGTGATTCTGGTAGATGAAATCAGTATTTTTTAGTCTCAAAACCAGAAACCTTTAAAGACAATAAATTATGGTGGTTTTCTTCCAGTGTTTAATGTTTATGTTTTTGAAGTAAAACACAATTAAATTTAAAATCACATGGAAAACTGCACATGGAACAAGATTCTCCTTTTTGTGTAAGAAAGTCTTTTCTCCTCTGCTGAAAGGATTGATTTATTTGCTGTTGGACCCCAAGAGTCTCAGGGTTTTTTTGCCCCATAGATTTAGGAAGAAGGGAGATGAAAAGCTGCAGAAGATATAATAAACTGCTGAAGTTAAACCTTCACAAAGTTACCAGTTACAGGAGAAAGCCAACTCATACACACGTTTAAAGCAATTGCTATTCAGTTCTGAAGATGCAAGAGTTCAGTGATCCAACTGTTCTTTGTAATTGTTTTGGTTTTGCTGGGGTTTTTTTGGGTACTAAATTCCACAGCTCCCACTGTGACCCCACTTGCCAATAAATACACTTGGGTTTTGGGTTTTTTGTTTTGTTTTTTTTTTTTAAATGAACACTCCTTTCCTCCATACACTCCTCATTTCATAACTTTAAAGTCTATGTAAGTTTACACCTTGAGGAAGAAGATTCTCACCTCTCCCAGAAACACCTGCAATTACTTTGTGTCATGCCTTCTGTATAAACAGAAGGAACTTCTGCTTTGTGTCACAGCTGGTTGAAGTTCTGTGAGAACTGACCACTTTCAGACAGATCCGTATGGACTGCCCATTAAGCAGCGATTGTGGATCTGTCTGTGCTGCTCAGTATCAGATCTTTCTGGTTAACAAAGAAGGATCAGACAGGCAAACTGCAGAGGGAGACTCTCAGCATACTCTCCCCCACATTCAGTGATCCAGTTAGATCATCTCCTGTATATAAGGAAAAATGCTGGCCCTTCCTACAGGAAGGAAGGAATCGTTCTTTCCTCCCTGAGCTCATAGCTTCAGAGGCGCACGGATTTAAATTGTTTTTTTAGTTCAAGGCTTTGCCGCTTTCTCGCAGCTCTAA